AGAGATAAATATTGGAGGTGTGAAGATGTTCAAACACAAAGTAGACACGTTACAATGAATTAACCACACATGTTTGTGGTAAAACATGCACACAAACATTCTTCGATAATGTATGCATTGTGCTTGGAACGGATTGTCCTGCACCAGAGATAGCCTTCTTCATGGCTTTGTCGCGCCGTTTTGACAGAATAAAGACCGCCAAAATGCGACCAGTACAAGCACGATGCAAACGGCGAAGCAATAATAGCTCAGATTCAGCAGTTGTTATTTTTTAAAAATCATCTTAATACTGACAAAAATGGTCCCAAAGATAAATACACAACGGGGACTCGCCCCGTCGTTACGCCAAACTGCGTAGGCACAGCGGCGAATTTAATCTGACGTTACTCAGACGTCTGAAACGGACGCTGCTGTCCGCTTCCGACTGACACTGCTCGCTCCGTGCACAAAGCGGCTCCCATTCACCATCACACTGGGCTGGTGTTCGTATCTGCGATTCCCGCTCACGGCCATCGCCACCAGTGACGAATATCTGAATCGGTCTTGGGCCTCCCCTAGGTCGACTCAGCCTCTAATTAGTACCTGGTGCGATGTGTAAACACCGCCACGAGAGGTACAAAGGCGGTCGGGCGTGGTGCTGTCCACACATCCCCTTCGTGTGCCGCGCCGGCATTCATCGGTGCTGCTCGTTAACAGCACTTGTTCCAAAAGTCTGTTGTGTCTATACGGGGGTTCTTTGTCTTTGTCTCCTGTGTGCCGCATAAATCCGTGCCCGCGTGGCGGCTGTGAGCTGGAGAGAGCGCCATGTGCGCGGGGCAGAATTGTCAGCGCCACCCCCCCCACCCCCTCCACCTCTAAGCGGATTAAAGAGCCGGTCTCGCCGAAAATCTGGGAGAATGATTTTCAGGGATTAAAAATAATAACGACGTGGACCACAGTTTTAGTTTGAATGTATAAATACACACAACGCGGCGGAAAAAGCGGTGGTGGTGATGGTAACGGTGGTTATGTGGGGGGTGACAGTGGTGGTGGTGGTGAAAAGTATTGATGGTGGGAGTGGTGATTGTCGCGGTGGTTGAGATGGTAGGGATGATGCAAGAGGTTATGGTGGTGGTGGTGGTGGTAGGGGTGATAGGTGGTGGTGATGATGATGTGGCCCGTAGAATAGCGGTGTGTATTCATGATAAAGTGGTGGGTGCGCTGTGCGCATTGAGTGATAATGTGGGCTGGGGGAGCGGCTGCGCAGAAGTTGGTCACGAGTTCGATTCCCGCTCACGGCCACCAACACCAATGACGATTATCTCAACCGGTCCTGGGTCTCCTCCCCTAGGTCGACTCAGCCTCGAATAAGTTCCTGGTGGGGTTGTGTAAACATCGCCACTGCGAGAGGCAAAGGCCGCTGAGCGTGGTGCTGGCCACCCACATTCTCGTGTGCTGACCCTCATAGGTGCTCGCTAACAGCACTTGCCCCAACGGTGTGTTAAGACTACACGGGAGATGTTCGTCTCTTGCCTATCAGTGGGACAGAAAGTGAGGCTGGCAGGATGGGGGAACGCAGCGCTCGATATTCATTTCTCTGCATCCTGGGTCGCGGATGATAATCGCGCAATCTGTCGCGCGATTATTTTTTTTTTCCCGGCGCAAATACTTTCGAGCTGATGGTGTGACGAGGCAAGGCTATCTCCCTTTCTCTCTCTCTTCCAGACTCCGCTTCGACTTGTACGCTTATGTGTGTAACCAGAGTGAGAACTCAAGAGACCAGGATGGAGTCTCGTCTGCAAGAGTGACCTGGGGACATCAGTTTGCCAGTTGGGGGCGATGGTCACTGCTGTGTGTGTCTGTCTGTCTGTGCGTATAATCACAGTTGAGTAATTGGCAGTTCAATTTGTCCAATTTGTGCAAATTTGCGCCCTGACGCCGGCACACGACGGCCTCTTCTTGCGAATCACGCCACAGGATCTTTAACGTCCACCGTGAGTGAAGGAGACGGCGCGCGGTATCGTTGTGGTCACTACACCCGCGCAGTATTAATCGGGGCGGCCGATGGAATCCCAACCGGGAACCTCTATCCAACGCGCTACTGCTAGGGCATACAATGGAGTAAAAACATGTTTTATTATTCTTTTATTCTCGGAGCTGGATCTTCAAATTAAAAGCTTCACGTGAACTCCGGACATCGTCGCAGCAGCGGCTTTTGGCTCACCATTGAACAGAGACGTTGGCCACCGCATCACGCTGCGCTTTCAGATGCACTTCTGCGGCCGTCTGGAACGTTCTTCCTTCCGACATTAGGAAACCACTGGGAGCTCTTCATTTTTGAATCAGATTGAAAACTAATTTCTTAACAACTGCTTTTTTGTGTTTAGTTTGTTGTCCTTCTCCCGCACCCCCGATGAGCACGGTTGGCTACGTACGGCGCGAAAGAAGTTCAACGTAGATACGTGCATGCGCTCCACTTGAGAACCCCATTTCACAACTGGGAGCTGCCTCGGTCCAAGCCCATTGCTCTGAGCGATGCCGACTCAGCGCTCGCACCTCCGAGCCGCCCCGCGCACCTTGGTTGAAGGTATTCACTTATTTATTAGGGTCCCAGGTTGAGGTGTCTGGACATTTCAAAATTCGTCGGGAAATATAACTTTATAAATGCATCAGAATCAAAATTTTTATTCATGCTGGAGGAATTCGATGACCTATAAAGCTCTTTTTCACAGATGTCCATAGCACTGTACATGAAATAATATGAATAACATTTGAGCATTTAGATCGACTGAGAGGGGGCCACTTAAACAAACCTGGAGTAAATCCCAAACGCACGACATTCCGAAAAGAAAATCCATGAAGATACAAGAGGAGGTCGTTCCTACTTGCTGTACTGTCTCCGACTGGGGACACCTGCGCGTGTGCCCGTTGATCTCTATCTGATCCACCAACCCCGTCGCCCTAGTGTCTCCCCCCACCCCCGCCCCCCACTAATATTCGAGGCGTGGCTCATAATGGCCATGACCTCTGGCAGCTGTAACCTCTTGAGCTGTCAATCAATCCTCCCTTCTCCATCCTTGCGAATTAAGGATCGCCGCGCTCCCTGTGGGCGGGCAGCAGAAGGGGGAATGTCGGTATGAGCGAGAGTTGTATTCGAGGGGCACCACGGTGGCGAGATGTTTACAACCTCGCCTGGTATACAGGAGGTCGTGGGTACGATCTCGACCCTGTATATTTAGAGTTTGCGGTGTTGTCTCTGCCCGTGGTCGCGTGGATTTTTCTCCGCGTCCTCAGGGGTTTACCTCCACAATTAGAATGAACATCACCACACGTTTAAAGTTATTTAGCTGCTGCTATAAATGTCCACGCGATGAGCCACTTCGTTGAGCGAACATTTGTGGCCAGATCGCTTCTGAAAAAGAGCTACGTAGCTCAGTGGGGCCCTTACCTGGTAAAATTAAATTAAAAAGTGTATTTTTAGTTGAGCGAAGTGGGGGTCCCTCTTTGCCCACACACGCACACACCCCATCGTCGCCTGACCCTTCGCTCGTGGGAGGAGAGACGGTGGGTGGGTAGCAGCTAATGAGCGGGGGGGGGGGGGGGGCAAGCAGTGGGTGCCTTGCCCCCCGCTCCCTGGCGGCCAAAGCGACGAGTTTGGCCCCCCTTGACATCCACCATGAGATCTGTTTTCAACAATGGGGTCATATAACAACACACTTATTTAAAATGCGGTTTGAATGTGTTGTTTCGTGATTTTAAAATAATTCGTTTTTGAATTGCAGCAACTTGAGTCAAAGAACATTGGACATCGACTTCCGTTTCTGGGATATTGATTTCATTAGACACGCGTCAATAATATTTCAGAGGGGGTAACTAGGGAGCTGTGGTGGCTGCATTTTGTGAAGACGGAGCGCGCCCCTACAGCGTGAAATGTTCGAGACCGTGAGCGCAGCTACGGCGACGACGATGTGATGAGACAGAGAGGAGCCGCGATCTCTATCAGCCTCTAGGGTGCCCCTGTGCGAGACAAATCAAATGTTGGGGCCCCACCTCACCGACTGCCGCACATCCTGAGCAGGCGATGTCGTTAGGGGCCGTCCATAAATGACGTCACGCACCTGGGGGGGGGGGGGGGTCAGACATTTGTGACGATGTGTGACGACGGGGGGGGTAGTTTGAGAAATGTGACGTCACATCAAAATGCGCAACTTTAAAAAAATATAGAATTGTTATAATACTAATTGTTATAACAACACTCCTACAACATCAGAGTGCAGCGCCACATTAAATACGCACTACAATGACAATAGTTTAAAGCAATTTGAAGCATGTTTTATTTTTTTTGGGGGGGGTGGGGGGCAGAGCTTTGTGACGTCATATTTGAGGGGGGGGGTCTGACTTTTTGTGACGCCGTGTGACGAGGGGGGGGGTCAAAAATCGTCCACAATCGCGTGACGTCATTTATGGACGGCCGCTTACTACGCCACTGACGGGAGCAGTAGTGTAGCGGTTAGCGCGCTATCTAAACCGGTCCCTGGGCCTCCCCTAGGTCAACTCAGCCTAAAATGAGTACCTGGTGCGGCGTGTAGCAAACATCGCCACTGGGGAGACAAAAGCGGTCGGTCGTGGTGCTGGCCACCCACCCCCTCGTGTTCTGTGCCGACCTTCATAGGTGCTACTCGGCTAACAGCGCTTGCCACCAACAACACTGTTAATGGGCTTTGCGGTACCGGCAAAAAGGTCCCAGAGATATACCGGGGGGGCGGGGTCGTTGTCTTTGGTGGGAGTGGGAAGAGGGGGGGCACGAAGCGGAGCGACAGAAGAGAGGTCTGGGGGGGTGGAGTCATAGACAGGTGGGGGTGGGAGAGACACGGGCCGGTGGGGGGGTGGTGGAGAGACGTCGGGGGAGAGACGGGGGGGAGGGGTTACGGATTAACTCCTCTTGAGTGCTGTGCCTATCACGCGCATAACGCCCCCATCTCCTCCCTGTTATCCCTCCTCCTCCCGCTATCAACACCCCCCCCCCCAAGCCCCCATCACCATCGCCCCCCTCCCGTGTTATACCGCGTGGGTGACGGCACGGAGTGTCCCAGTGTCGCCCTTCTCCGTCTGTACCAGGTACGCGGGGTCCATGCTGCTGCTGCTGCTTTGGTGTCAGCGCTAACGGCTGCGGAGTGCTCTGTTAGCGAGCACCTATTAAGGCCGGCAAACACGCTCGCAAGGATTGGTTGTGGTGTGGCGAAGTAGTAAGAGAAAAAAAACGCGTCCCGGCCGCCTTTGTCTCCCCAGTGCTGATGATGTTTCGCACGCCGCACCAGACCGGTTACTGTGTACATACGGCGCGTCGTTGAGGCTGAGTCGATCTAGGTGTGGCCCACACCGATTGGTATGTCGCTCCCCACCGACGACCCTTCGTGGACTGGGATCGAACTCAGGTTCGCTGGCTCCCACTCCACCGCGCGGCCTCTTGCTCCGTGGGTTTCTCGGCAGGTGCGGAGGGGAGCGGTGGTGCTTCGGTTGGCGCACTGTCCCGCGGATGACATCGGCGGTAAGCGGTATCCCTCTAGGTCGACTCAGCATTAAGTATTTTGTTCGGAGCGTGAACATCAGCAATGGGAAGACAAAGGCGGCCGTGCGTGGTGCTTGAGGACGCAACCCCCCGGCGTGTGCAGTGTCAGCCTTAGCAGGCGCTCGCTAACAGTACTTTCCCTGACAGTCTAGAACAGTCTAAAATGTAAAGATGCGCCGCTGTTCATTTGCGAAAGGGTTTGGTGCCGTTCTCCGCGCCTCGCTATTCAATTCACTCTTATCCCGAGTCGCGATTATTGCTGTCTACCACACAGCACGCACACACAGCAGCACACACAACATACACACAGCACGCACACACAACACACACATCACACACAGCACGCACACACAGCAGCACACACAACACACACACACAACATACACACAGCACACACACACAGCACACACACACAGCACGCACACACAGCACACACACAACATACACACAGCACACACACAGCAGCACACACAACATACACACAGCACACACACACAGCACACACACACACAGCACGCACACACAGCACACACACAACATACACACAGCACACACACACAGCACACACACACAGCACGCATACACAGCAGCACACACAACACACACACAGCACACACACACACAGCACACACACACACAGCACGCACACACAGCAGCACACACAACACACACAACATACACACAGCACACACAGCACGCACACACAGCACACACACACAGCACACACACAACACACACACACAACATACACACAGCACACAACACACACACACAGCACACACACACAGCACGCACACACACAACACACACACAACATACACACAGCACACACACACAGCACGCACACACAGCACACACACAACATACACACAGCACACACACACACAGCACGCACACACAGCACACACACAGCACGCACACACACAACACACACACAGCACGCACACACAGCACACACACACAGCACACACACACAGCACGCACACACAGCACACACACAGCACGCACACACACAGCAGCACACACAACACACACACAACATACACACAGCACACACACACAGCACACACACACAGCACGCACACACACAACACACATAACATACACACAGCACACACACACAGCACACACACACACAGCACGCACACACAGCAGCACACACAACATACACACAGCACACACAGCACACACACAACATACACACAGCACACACACAGCACACACACACAGCACGCACACACACAACACACACAACATACACACAGCACACACACACAGCACGCACACACAGCAGCACACACAACATACACACAGCACACACAGCACACACACACAGCACGCACACACACACAGCACACACACACAGCACGCACACACAGCAGCACACACAACACACACACAACATACACACAGCACACACACACAGCACGCACACACAGCACACACACACAGCACGCACACAGCACGCACACACAGCACACACACACAGCACGCACACACACAGCACGCACACAGCACGCACACACACAACACACACACAACATACACACAACACACACACACAACACACACACACAGCACGCACACACAGCACACACACAGCACGCACACACACAACACACACACAGCACGCACACACAGCACACACACACAGCACACACACACAGCACGCACACACAGCACACACACAGCACGCACACACACAGCAGCACACACAACACACACACAACATACACACAGCACACACACACAGCACACACACACAGCACGCACACACACAACACACATAACATACACACAGCACACACACACAGCACACACACACACAGCACGCACACACAGCAGCACACACAACATACACACAGCACACACAGCACACACACAACATACACACAGCACACACACAGCACACACACACAGCACGCACACACACAACACACACAACATACACACAGCACACACACACAGCACGCACACACAGCAGCACACACAACATACACACAGCACACACACACAGCACGCACACACACACAGCACACACACACAGCACGCACACACAGCAGCACACACAACACACACACAACATACACACAGCACACACACACAGCACGCACACACAGCACACACACACAGCACGCACACAGCACGCACACACAGCACACACACACAGCACGCACACACACAGCACGCACACAGCACGCACACACACAACACACACACAACATACACACAACACACACACACAACACACACACAGCAGCACGCACACACAGCAGCACACACAGCAGCACAGACGACACACACACAGCACGCACACAGCACACACACAGCAGCACAGAGAGCACGCACACACAGCACACACACACAGCACGCACACACAGCACACACAGCACGCACACACAACACACACACACATCACACACACAGCACGCACACACAGCACGCACACACAGCACGCACACATCACACACACAGCACGCACACACAGCACGCACACACACAGCAGCACACACAGCACACACACAGCACACACACAGCACCACACCTCCACCAATACAGCAAACCCACTGCACAGGACACGATCACACATCACACACATAGCACATACACACACGTCACGCACACAGAACGAAGGCAGACATAGCACACACACAGGACGAAGGTACACATAGCACACGCATAGGACGCACAGAGGACGAAGACACGCAGAGGACACACATAGCACACACACATGACTAAGATACACATAGCCCACACACACACAGGACGCACAGAGGACGAAGGCACGCATGGCACGTACACAGCACACACACAGGAAGATACACACATAGCACACACACAGCACGCATACATGACGAAGACACACATAGCACACACACAGGACGAAGACACACATAGCACACACACAGCACGCATACATGACGAAGACACACATAGCACACACGCACAGCACGCACACAGGACGAAGACACGCACAGCACACACAGGACGAAGACACACATAGCACACACGCACAGCACTCACAGGACGAAGAGACACAGCACACACGCACAGCACACACAGGACGAAGACACACATAGCACACACACAGGACGAAGACACACATAGCACACACGCACAGCACACACAGGACGAAGACACACATAGCACACACGCACAGCACACACAGAACGAAGACACATATAGCACACACACAGCACAGACACAGCTGGACAGAGACACCGCTGTGTGAATTGATGAAACGAGCGAATTCTTTATTCAGCAAAGTAGATCGGCAACGTCTCCTTCACATAACCGTCTCTCGACATTAACAAATAACAACCATTCTTGACACAGCCCATCAGCCCCACGGCCTTCTGGGACTGAATCACTTCAGCAGCATTAATTCAGCTTAAGCAATACTCGGGACCGGTTTCTACACAGTCGCTCATCAGCAGAGTCGGGCTGACATGAGTCAATGCCGGTGAACTGCGAGATGTTTAGAGGGAAGGACTGGTTTCAAAACACAGTGGCTCATCAGCAGAGTCGGGCTTGCCGAAGCCAATCCTGGTGAATTGCCAGATGTTTCGAGGCTGGGACCAATACTGTGAGATATGGGTATGTTTGTTAAATACATTATCGAGTAATGCACACCACTCGACTGTTGTGATTAAGTGACTGACTGATTGATAGACCGTGTGATTGGTTGACATGTCCACCAATTGAGTAGTCAGTTGATCGATTCATTGAGACCTGTACTCCCCGACTGGATTCGAACCTAGGCTGGGAGTGGAGGGTGCCGTCGGAGTATACCTAGAGGAGGGATGCAATACATGCAGATAACCGAGTGAATAACTGGTTGGGTGAGTGACAGGTTGAATGAGTAACTGAGTGAGTGGGTGAGTAAGTGGGTGGGTCGGTGATTGAGTGGCTGAGACAGTGAGTAACTGAGTGAGTGGTTGGGTGGATGAGTGAGCGGGTGAGTTGGTGATTGAGTCCGTAAGTGAATCACACGGTGAGTGGGTGAGTCGCTGAGTGAGTGCGTGAGTGGCTGGGTGAGTGAGCGGCTGGCTGAGAGGCTGTTTTAATGAGAGGCTGGGTGGTTTTGTAGTTTAGTGAGAGGCTGAGTGAGAGGCTGGCAAGGTGAGAGGCTGGATGAGAAAGGCTGGCTGACTGAGAGGCTGGGTGAGAGGCTGAGTGAATGATACGCTGGCTGAGTGAGAGGCTGGGCGAATGATACGCTGGCTGAGTGAGAGGCTGGGTGAGTAAGAGGCACGGTGGCTTTGTGGCCGAGCGCGTGAGTGGTTAGGTCAGTGACTGGTCAACCGATTAGGGCCACGCATCGGACTGGGGTCGGGACTCCAGCCTCCTCGGAGATCCACGCGGCCTCACTCTCCTGACACGGAGCCTCACGAGGAGGGGCCCAGTGGGGAGATGCAGAACCTTCTGGGGCCCGCGTGCATCTTCCTCCGGGGTGGCCTAGCCGAGGCCCTCATCAAGGTCAGGGCTGGTGGATCACGCGCAGATGGCGTTTCCGTGCAGCACTGCTGCTGTCGAAAGTTTCGCCGTGATTGACGATGGTGGAAAATGAGCGGTGGCATAGCACGATTGGGCTCGGGCACTCTGCTGCGAGGTGATGATACTGCTGCCCATGAGGATGCTGATGTTGGTGGCAGTGATGATTGTGATATTGCCAATGATGAAGATGATGCCGATAATGTTTGATGCCGATGATGATGCTGCTGACGATAATGGTGGTGATAATTACACCACTTGTGATGGTGATGATACTGGTTATGCTGATAATGATCCTTATGATGCCACTGATGATTATGATGCTGATTGTGAAGCTGATGATGTAGGTGCTGATGACGTTCCTGATGATAATGGTGCTGGTGATGTTAGTGCTGATTATGATGCCGATGATACAGATGATGATGCCGGTGATGGAGGACACCCTGTAGGTGCAGTCAGCATCTCTGTAATCCTGGGATGGTGCTCCACTTATAATTTAGCTTGCCCACCGCCATAGCAATGTGGACTTGACACCATTGGATTTGGTCAATGATGATGCGAGTGGCTGCTGTCACTGTTCACCAGGGAGACTGTTCACCAGGATGCGATGGCATACATATGTTGAACTTCTTTCGCACTGTACGTAGCCGACCGTGCTAATTGGAGGCATTGGCTCGTAAACCCCATGGGTTGTCTCTGTGTACCCCAGAACAAAATCCGACCCTCGGGGTTCCTCCTCCCGCTGGGAACGGAACCCGCGTCGAAAAGTAACCGGATGCAGGAATCAAAGCGTGGGGTGGCTAACCCCTCCGTACAGGATTGTGACCTCTCTGTACGGGGTCGTGACCCCTCCGTACGGGGTCGTAACCCCTCCGTATGGGGTCATGACCCTTCCGTACGGGGTCGCGGTTCTGCTCCTGCGCGGCTCCCCCCGGTGTGCTGTCAGGTTGTGGCGCGTGCACCGTGTCCGACGTTCCCTTACACCTGCTGAGAGCTTCTACGGGAACCGGAGCTCCCAGCACATGTGGAAGTGTGAGGTGTGACGAGGTCAGGCGTGACGAGGTTTGGTGTGACAAGGTTTGGTGTGATGGCTATGCTGCGTATGGCTGCACTATGATCCAGCGCTGCGTGGAGGCAGCAGCAAGGGTTCGTGCATCACCCCACAGAGATGTTGCTAAACTCCCTTCTTCCCGTGGGCGTAGAGGAGGAGACCTCCTCTGTCTCACCAGGAGAAGGCAGTACAGATCATGTGGACTCCGCCTGTTCCATCTGCGTGGGATAGAGTGTTGCCCCCTCACACGTGTGGGTTTCCTCCGGGTGTTCTGGCTTCCTCCCACATGTCGTAAATACTCATGAATTGGCCGATAACACCTTCATATATAGAGGAGCGCAGAGCTTGGGGAGGGTTTTGGCTGCTGCGTTCTCACTTGCCTTTGGTTCCTTGCGCTTCTTAGTCGTTCTCTCTTGGAGAGCGAGCGAGTGCCGTGTGACGCGCTACAAGGTGAAATAATTTTCTCCGGGTGCTCCGGTTTCCTCCCACACGTATGGACCCTGATGAACTGGCTGAGAATATATTAATATATAGAGAGCACTGCAGAGCTTGGGGGTGGTAGCGGGAGGTGGGGGGAGGATTTGGCGCCGGATCGCCACGGAGCTGCAGTTGCTGTTTGTGGTTCCTCCTCCCGGTGCCTCGGAGTCGTCCTCCCCTCCCTCTCTCCTTCCACGAGAGCGGGGAGCGAACACAGTTCAGATATCGTGAATATGGGCGCCACGGTGGCGAGATGTTAACTACCTCGTCTGGTATACAGTCGTGGGCTCGATCCCGACCCTGGTGGAGTTTGTGTGTCTCTCTTTACGTCCCCGTGGTTGTGTGGATTTTTCTCCGGGTCCTCCGGTTTTCCCCTCCACATTTAGCAACAGGCATTTAGAGTATTTGGCTGCTATAGATGTCCACGTGATGAGAAGCCACTGCGTTGGGTTGTCATTTGTGGCCAGGTCGCTGCTGAAAAAGAGCTGCATATAGCTCAGCGAGCCTTACCTGGTAAAATAAAAATAGTAGTAAATAGTTATTATATAAAGAGTTATTATTCACTAACAGTATACTCCCCCCTTCGCCTCTCTCCCGCCTCGGACACAAGGAGAGGGAACTTCGTCCCGAAGAGATTGAAGGTGTGGATGCACAGACACCCCGATTCCCTTCCCACGCTAACCGCACTCCGTCTGCGCAGCAGAGATACGCTCTCTCGGGCGTGCTCCCATCTGTTCTGAAAACGTAAATTGCCCAGTAAAGACGCCAAACGTTGGGTCAACGTTGCGCCAACGTGTGTGTAGGTGCGCCGTGTGTGTGTGTGTTATCCGTATATATATTTACAAATGTGTTTATATATCCTCCACAAAGGGTTTATGTTGTTTAATTTAGCATCGAACCAGGACCCATCTCTAACACAGACTGCCCTCCCCTATAAACATCTGGGCAGTCCGCAAGCATTGGTTCAAGCGAGCTTCACTCTGCTGATGAGACACCGAATGCCAAAACCAGTCCTTGCCTATTAACATTTGACAGTTCAGCATTGGTGCAAGCAAACCTGACTCTGCTGATGAGACACTGTACATCGAACCAGCCTTATTAACGTCTGGCAGTTCACCATGCAGCGTTGGTTCAAGCAAGCAAGCCTGGCTCTGCTGGTGAGACAATGATTGTCGAATTCGGCTCAGAGTTTGATTGCCTTAAACCAATAACTGCTTATGCAGAAAATGCACTCCGAGAAGAACTCCACGTGTGGCTGATGGTATGTTCTAGAACATTACTCTAGATGCATTATGTGGAGGGAAGGGATGCAGGATTCCGTCGGCTTGATCCGTATTTATTCTTCCAAAGGTCTACCCCGTGGCTCAATACAAAATCAAACATGGATAATTGTGCTAGCTACCAAACCCCACGGATATTTCGCCACGGTGGCTAGGAGATGTTAACTACCTTGCCAGGTATACAGGAGATCGTGGGTTCGATCCCGACCCTGACGCCTGCTGTATATGTGGAGTTTGCATGTTTTCCCTGTGGTCGTATGGATTTCTCTCCGTGTCCTCCGGGTTTTCCTTCCACTTTAAGCATTACCATGCGTTTCGAGTATTTATCTGCAATACATTTCCATGCGATAAGCCACTTCGTTAAGCTATCATTTGTGGCCAGGTCGCTTCTGAAAAAGAGCTATATATCTCAGTGGGCCTTACCTAGTTAAATAAAAAAAGAGCTTAGTTTAAATAGTTTAGGTGTTGTCTGCGTATTTACATTATAGGCTCATCACGGATACTTGGACGTTCTTGTTAATTACACACAAAGTGCTTGCCACGAATGAACCAAAATACCTTGCTGATCTCGTCAATGGGCATAAACCATCACGGAAATTTCATTCATCCTCGCAGCAGCAGCGGCTTCTGACTGCTGCCCTTCGAACAAAGACGGTGGTCACCGCATCGCGCGCTTTCAGATGCGCTTCTGTGGCCGTCTGGAACGCTCTGCCTTCCGATATTCGGAAGCCACTGGAGCTGTGCCACTTTTAAATAATCTCGATTGATAAACTAATTTATTTAGAACTGCTTTTTGTGTTTAGTTTTTTGCCTTTCACCCGCACCTACGATGAGCCCGGTTGGCTACGATTGGTGCGAAAGAAGTTCAACATACATACAACAAAGACAACGATCCCCCGTATAGCCTTTACAGATTATTGGGGCAAGTGCTGTTAGCGAGCGCCTATGAAGGCCGTCACGGCATATGAGGGGGTGGGTGGCCAGCACCACGCCCGACCGCCTTTGTCTCCCAAGTGGCGATGTTTTACACACCTCACCAGGTACTCACTTGAGGCTGAGTCGATCTAGGGGAGGCCCAGGAACGGTTCAGATAATCGTCACTATTGGTGGCCGTGAGCGGGAATCGAACTTGGGTCTCCAGGGTTCGTAGCGCAGGGGGCTCACCGTTGCACTCCATGCATGTGTAGTGGCCTTATTGACGTCGGAGAGATGTTCATTTGAGGCAACACGTATTTATTACAGACGCTTCAATTACAGTGGCGAATCTGATACTTGAAGGTAGCGGCCTCTTCACCCGTACTCTACAGAGGGAACGTTCCCCGAGCTCTAGCCCACGCCAGCTCCCCTGGTTCCCTCTATCCTGGTTCTCTCTCAGGAGGCTGTCTGACCTGGCCCAGCTTCGGCGCAGGTCCCGATCACCAGCCACACGAGTCCGGCCCTCAGAAGAACATCGGGCCTCGTGGCTCTGGTGTCACACCCTGGATTGCTTTGCCCGGCCCTCAAAAGGGCAGCGGGCCAAAGGAGTTCCAGGGTCTGGCTAGTCGATCTTCTTTCTTCACTGGCTCTTCATCTTGCTTGAGTCGAACAACCTCTCAGCTCCCCGGGTCCCACCTTTTATACAGTCCCTCACTGAGGGGCGGGGCTAGGAGGGATCACAGCATCCCCCACAGCCGCCCAGGGTGGTGGCCGTAGCGGACGTGTTTGTGGCCACCGCCCTACAACCGCGTGTCACCCTCCCGTCACACCCCTACACATGCACGGTTTGTTGAACGTCTTTCGCGGCCGCACGAACACACATCGGCCTGAGAGGCACGCAGCCGGGTTCGTGTCGTTCGTCTTCAACCGGCGCCTTTGCCACCATTGCAATTAACACCCCCTCAATGATCTCATCGATCACATCTCACCATCATCACCTTCGCCTGATCACGCTCACCTTTACCTTACCATCATCATCATCACCACCTTCGCCTGATCATGCTCACCTTTACCTTACCATCATCATCATCATCACCTCCATTACCATATCCCTAACCCCATCATTCCCATCACCCTGTCCCTAACCCCATCACCCCTATGACCCTGTCCATAAAACCATTACCATCATCACCTTGTCCATAAACCCGTTACCCTGTTCCTAACCCCATCACCATCATCACCTTGTCCATAAACCCATTACCCTGTCCCTAACCCCATCACCATCATCACCTTGTCCATAAACCCATTACCCTGTCCCTAACCCCATCACCATCATCACCTTGTCCATAAACCCATTACCCTGTCCCTAACCCCATCATTCCCATCACCCTGTCCCTAACCCCATCACCCCTATGACCCTGTCCATAAAACCATCACCATCATCACCTTGTCCATAAACCCATTACCCTGTCTCTAACCCCATCACCATCATCACCCTGTCCATAAACCCATTACCCTGTCCCTAACCCCATCACCATCATCACCTTGTCCATAAACCCATTACCCTGTCCCTAACCCCATCACCATCATCACCATGTTCCTAACCCCATCACCCCTATGACCCTGTCCATAAAACCATCACCATCATCACCTTGTCCATAAACCCATTACCCTGTCTCTAACCCCATCACCATCATCACCCTGTCCATAAACCCGTTACCCTGTCCCTAACCCCATCACCATCATCACCTTGTCCATAAACCCATTACCCTGTCCCTAACCCCATCACCATCATCACCTTGTCCATAAACCCATTACCCTGTCCCTAACCCCATCACCATCATCACCTTGTCCATAAACCCATTACCCTGTCCCTAACCCCATCATTCCCATCACCCTGTCCCTAACCCCATCACCCCTATGACCCTGTCCATAAAACCATCACCATCATCACCTTGTCCATAAACCCATTACCCTGTCTCTAACCCCATCACCATCATCACCCTGTCCATAAACCCATTACCCTGTCCCTAACCCCATCACCATCATCACCTTGTCCATAAACCCATTACCCTGTCCCTAACCCCATCACCATCATCACCATGTTCCTAACCCCATTACCATCATCACCATTACCCTGTCCCTACCCCATCACCATCATCACCCTGTCCCTAACCCCATCACCATCATCACCCTGTCCCTAACCCCATCACCATCATCACCTTGTCCATAAACCCATCACCCTGTCCCTAACCCCATCACCATCATCACCCTGTCCCTAACCCCATCACCATCATCACCCTGTCGCTGTCCTCATCACCATCATCACCCTGTCGCTGTCCCCATCACCTCCCCCATCCTGCAGAGCTGCGCGAGGCGTTCCGCGAGTTTGACCGCGACGGCGACGGCTTCATGACGTGCCGCGACCTGGGCCTGTGCATGCGGACCATGGGCTTCATGCCCACCGAGATGGAGCTGCTGGAGCTCTCGCAGAGCATCAACATGACTCGTGAGCGCATCGCACCGCACCCTGCTGTACCGCACCCTGCTGCACCGCATGGCACCGTGCTGTACCGCACCCTGCTGTACCACACTGCACCCTGCTGTACTGCACTGCATAGCACTGCACCGCATAGCACTGCACCGGATCTCGCCGCATTGCGTGGCTCCGCATCGCAATGCACCGCACCGCACTGCGCTGTAAGTCTATGAATCCAAACACAAATCAACTGTTGCTGCCAGAGACAGACTCTACGGCAGTGAGCATTGGTGGCCATACCATGCTGATGAGTCCTAGTGCTGACGAAACTCGTTCCACCACGGTTTGCCTATCTCTGCAGCACCGCTGCTGCCACTGTCGCTGGCAGTCGGTGGTGTCGCATTTTGCTTAAATGCAATTCGTTTTGAGGGTGACCTGAAGACGTGAAGGATCACAATGCAGTTCTTCAGGAACTGCCGATGTTTTTTTTGAATTTGCAAGTTTGACAAATGGCTGTGTGGCTTTCGATACTCCAATGGATACCACGGGGACCGAGACGAGACTCTACAATGCCTCAGATTGCCATCGACGACACTGAGACCGTGACAGCAACAACAACAACAACAAAACAGAAGAATCGCCGACTAAACCCACACGTGTGATTTGGGGGGAAGGCAGCTCGTGTGATAATGGGGATGGTGGTGGCTGGGTCCCCCACAGGCCAAACTAAGATAAAACTATTTTTTGTTTCACCAGGTAAGCCCCACTGAGCTATGTAGATTTTTTTTCCAGAAGCGACCTGGCCACAAATGATAGCTGAACACAGTGGCTTATCACGTGGAAATGTACAGCAATAGCCAAATGCTGTAAACGCGTCTTGATTCTAAATGTGGAGGGAAAAACCGCAGGACCTGGAGAAAAATCCACGCGACCACGGTGGGAGAGAGAGAGAGACACGCAGACTGCAAATGCACATCAGGTGTCAGGGTCGGGATCCAACCCAACGACCTCCTGCATACCAGGCGAGGTAGTTAGCATCTCCTAGCCACCGTGGTGCCCCATGCAGGCGGAGTGCGCGTCTGCTGAGGGGGGGCAATTTGATCAAATCCCGCAGCCACGGCTGAGACAAGAGGAGTCCTTGAGTTTCTCTCATTCATCGTTAGAGCGATCTTACCGAGTAGAAGGAGGATATGCTGGTGGGGATAACGCCATGACAATGATGCTACTGTTATTAAAGCCGATTGTGTAAGTGTGTTGTTACGTTGTTGAGCCAGCTGGGCCAGGATTGGGAAAGACGTAGCCCCCACTGTTCGCCGAGGCAACTGGAGAGCACGGCCTACGAGTTAATCGCAGCACATTAGAACTGCCTACACTCTGTCATTCATCTCACACGATAATACCACACAGGGCTTGCTTGGGATCACTAACCTCAACACGCCTCCCTCTCACCGTGCCCCTCCCACCATGCCCCTCTCTCTGTACTCCTCTCCCACTGCCCATCTCCTCCTGCCCCTCTCTCTGTACTCCTCTCCCACTGCCCATCTCCTCCTGCCCTTCTCCCCCTTACCCTCTCCCCCTTACCCTCTTCTGGCAGAGGGTGGCCGCGTGGACTTTGAGGACTTTGTGGAGCTGATGGCCCCGAAACTCCTGGCGGAGACGTCGGGGATGGTGGGGATCAAAGAGCTGAGGGACGCCTTCCGTGAGGTCTGCTCTGCACTCACCATCCTCACCCTCCTCTTCACACTCAAAGATAACGCTCCCCCGTGTAGCCTTATCAGACTGTTGGGTCAAGTGCTGTCAGCGAGTAGCACCTATGAAGGCCAGAACGGGCACAGGAGGTCGTGGGTGTGTCAGCACCACACCCGGCCGCGTTTGTCTCCCCAGTGCTGATGTTTTTCACACCATACCGGTTACCTATGTAGTGGGCTCTACGGAGGCACACACTTGAACTTGGAGGCAACACGTTTATTCCTAATACCACAACGGGGTAACTACATAAACGTAACGACAGGTTAACTAGACCACAACGGGGTAACTACATAACGGGGTCAGTCAGCTAACACACTGCCTGACCCACAATGCCGAGCGTGAAGACCGAAGAGACGTAGCACCCAGGTTTCCATTCCAGCGGACAGCCGCGATCGCTCTCGGAACTTCCCTTCTATGCTCCTGAGCATGGCCTCGCTCCGCCTTCGGCCACGCCCCCTTCTGGATCTTACCAGAAAGTTCTCGACCGAGCATCACGTGTCCCTCAAGCCACCCTTTGGGCCCCCTCGCTACCCTGTCCCGGTCACGTGCCCTCTCGGGTTCACCCAGACTGTCACGTCCTCACTTGCCCTCTCTCTGACCGTCACCAGAACCATGTCCCCTAGGGCCCGCTTCCATGCCATACCTACTCTGGTTCCAGAGAGAGGCCCAAGACGCACAGTTCCACTCGTGTGACAGCTGGCGCTAAACGCCATAATGACTCCATTTACGTCACTACACCTATTTGAAGCTGAGTCGACCTAGGGGAGGCCCAGAAGCAGTTCAGATAATTGTCACTGGTGTTGCTCATGAGCGATAATCAAACTCGGGTGCGTAGCACAGCCCGCTAACCGCTGCACTACCGCTCCCTGCACCATTCTTACAGACGTGCAGATCTCTGCTGTAAGTTTATATTCTGTAATTGGAAGCTGCTGGTAAATTATCAGCTCCTGCTGTGATCCCAACCACCATCAGCAAACGCGCCCACGACAGTGGCGACCGATTGATCTCCACCTCGGAGACCTCGAACTGCAATCAGCTGGACAGCGGTGGCGGTGGCTACGCCGCACGTGGTTAGCTGTAATCCAGCACTCTGGAAGCAGCAGCGAGGGTTGGTGGATCACCGCACAGATGTTGTGAAACTCCCTGTGGATGGGCGTAGAAGAGGTGCCCTACCCTGATTCACCTGGAGGTGGTTCAGCTCAATAAGGACTCCACCTGTCCAATCTCTATGGGATAGAGCGTTGTCCCCTCGCACACAGGATTTTCTCCGGGTGCTCCAGTTTCCTCCCACGTTTAAGCACTCCTTAATTGGCCGATAGCACATTCACAAAGAGACAGTGGTGGAAATAGGCTGGAATGCCCAAAAATGCCAAAGTGGGAGTGAAAATTTGAACCCAGTGACTGCGTTCCATAAGGAATTAAGGATTCATCTTTTTTTTTTACTGCGAGAGACCTGCTAGGCTAACAGAGAGACCCACAGACACGCACATAGACCCAGAGACACGTACATAGACCTCACAGACATGCACAGCGACCCCAGACATGCACAGAGACCCACAGATGACCACAGAGACTTGCCGTCATCGGCGGCAGTCCCTCGGCGTTCGAGGATGACATCCATCAGATTTTGTGGTTGCTCTTGCGGTGACCGAGGAGTCCAATTCTGGATCTGCAGATCTTTGGGCATTGGGGGCGTCACGTGGTCCTCGAGGGAAGTGGAATCCGCAGTGCAGGGGTTGGCTTCCTTTTCCTTTCTGTTTTGGCTGCAATCCACTTGGGCATCGAGAAGTTGCGTCTTGAAGTGGGCAGCGGCCTGGTGGATTCAGTAGCGTCAACCGAGGTGGTCAGTAGCCTACTCCTCCCAGTTTTGAAGGCTGATTTTTGACTGTATCCTTCAACTGCTTCCTTTGTCCTCGTCTCGTCCGCTGCCCATTGTAGAGCTGGGACAAAAGGATCTGGTGGGGAAGGTGGTTCTCAGACATGTGGATGCAGTGACCGGTCCATTGGAGTTGCTTTTTTAGAAGTCAGCTTGGAGGAGGACACTCCCATTGGTGCAGCGATCTTCCCACTTGATGATCCCCTGGATTTTGCGGAGGCAGCGCTGATGGAAGCCCCCGAGCGCAGTGACGTGGCGCCGGTAGGTTGTCCACGTTTCGCGGCAGTAGAGGAGCGTTGGGATGACAACGGCCCAATAAACTCGGAGCTTTGTTGTCCTGCGGAGATCTTTGTTCTCGAGGACGGCGTTGTCGCAGTTTGTAGAAGGCGGCGCTGACGCACTGGACTCTGCGTTGGATCTCCTCGTCATTGGTGGCCATTTGGGAGAGATGACTACCGAGGTAAGGGAAATACTCAAGCGCCTCTCCATCGACATAGATTGTCGGGGGAGGATGTTTGGCTGGTCAGATGGCGGTTGGTGGACGACCTTTGTTGGGTGACGTTCAAGGTTAAGCCAAGTCTCCTATATGCAGAGTTAAATACATCGAGGGTGGTCTGGACGTGCTGCATGGTGTGAACTACGATGCAGCAGTCGTCCGCAAATTGCACGTCATGGATGTCCTTTGCGGTCAGCTTCTTCTTTGCCTGAAAACGTTCGAGATTGAAGAGCTTCCTGTCCAGACGGTACTGGATGCTGGCGGCAGATGGAAGGTGACCGTGGATAAGGAGGGTGATCATGACCGTATAAGGTAGTGAATAAGGTAGGGGCAATCACGCAACCCTGTCTGACACCCATTCGGATCTGAACGGCATCCGTTTCAGATTCCCCCACTCACACGGTGGCAGTCAAACCGTCGTGCAGGAGCCGCAGGATGGTGACAAACGGCTCTGGACAGCCAAGACGGTGGAGGATACTCCAAAGGGCTTCCCGGTTGAGGGAGTCAAATACCTTGGTTAGGTCGATGAATGCCAAGAACAGTTCTTGATGCTGCTCCTGACACTTTTCTTCAATTTCGGGCAGCAAAGACCATATTTTCAGTGGCCCGGGATGGTCGGAATCTGCGCTGTGTCTTTGTTAGGACCTCAGCAACGGGACTCAGCAGGATGTGGGCCAGGATATTTCCTGCGATGAGCAGGTGGGGTGATCCCTCTGTAGTCTCCACAGCAAGACTTGTCCACCTTCTTGAAAATTGTTCCTATGGTCGCATCCCTGCGGTCGCCGGGGAGGCCTTCTTCATACCACATTGGCATGATCAGCTTGTGGAGCTTTGAAGTAAGCAGGGTGACTGACAACTTGGAAGAGTTCAGCTGGGATGCCGTCCTGACCGCGGGCTCCATTGGACTTGATGGTTGGTGGCTCGCCGAGGTGTTACTCCATTTGGTGTTGCAGTGTGGCTTGGAGGGTTTCATCTGTCACGGTGGATTCTCTGTTCAGGAGCTGTGCGAAGTGCTCCTTTCCAGTGTGGACGGATGGTGTTGTCATCCTTCAGAAGCTGGGATCCATCATGTGACCTGATGGGGTTTTGTCTGGTAGACCGAGGTCCAAAGAAGTTCCGAAGAGACCCAGAGACACACTAAAAGACCCACAGACATGCTCAGAGACCCAGAGACACACTAAAAGACCCACAGACATGCTCAGAGACCCACAGACACACTAAAAGACCCACAGACATGCTCAGAGACCCACAGACACACTAAAAGACCCACAGACAGGCTAAAAGACCCACAAACATGCACAGTGATGCACACAGACGCGCGTATAAACCCACAGACACACACAGCTTACCACACACGGAGCAAAGCTCCTCCTCAGATACAGTGAGAGTGGGGGGAATCATTTATGAATTCCCCCAGTAATTTCTTCCCATTTCTAGCCCTGGGTACAGAGGATCAAAGCGCTTGGGCAATTGTTGGTAGTGCTGGCTGACAGTTGTGGCCGCTGCCTCTCTCCGCTCTGCGGTTCCACCTCCTGGTGCCTCAAAGTCGCCTTCCCTCTTCGATGGCGAGTGAACGCCGTGTGGCGGTGCAGCGTTACTTACACCTTGAGATTATATGGAAGAGGACCGGACATCCACTCCTTGTGCTGTGCGGGAGTCGTGGGAATTGTTTTAACTATTCACCACGCCGGTCAGTGAGGGTCGATGAGCACGTCCGGTCAGCAGGGTTGGCTACGTACAGTGCGAAAGAAGTTCAACGTACACGTAGGCTTTCGCAGCCCATATCGTCCATAATAGAGGTTTTTTTTGGGTTAGATCGCGTAAATATAAATGTGTCGATTAACCCATCATCACCCGACACAGCCAATTAGTAAGGTTTGTCACGTAAACAGAACATGCCAATTCATTACTAGTACAGCACACCGGTGTGTTGGAGAGAACATCCATTGTAAATGTTGTGGATTTGTTGTGGATTTGCTCTCCAACACACCGGTGTGCTGTACCAGTAACGAATTGGCATGTTCTGTTTACGTGACAAACCTTACTATTTGGCTGTGTAGGGTGGTGGTGGATTTAATGACACATTTATATTTACGCGATCTAACGCAAAAAAATATATATTATGAACGTACAGTCTGTTCTCCTATAACGTGGTAGTTGTGTTCCTGAAGAAGACTGCATTATTAAAAATAGCGCTATCCTAATATATAATATAAGGTAAAGCACAGTCTGCGATAATGCGTGAGATGCATACGCAGGCCGAACAAACACTGAGGCACGTGGGTAGCATCTAGAAGCATCCAGCAGCATCCCGCCTTGTTTGATGCGATGCCGAGGCAGCTTGTACAACCGCTTATTCCTACTCACGCAACGTAGTTCTATTCACTCGATTGCATTATATCAAATTCGCATCCACGTTATAAAAAAAAATGTTCCCTAATACATTCATCACATTATATCCAATTCGCGTTATGAAAACATGTGTTATAGCAGAGCAGACTGTACATACGCACAGCATAGACGCAGGAACATAGAAGTACTGTACAATGGCTTTCGCTGAAGTTCCCACTACTGCCCACCTCTCCTACCTTTGCCGCGTATGCGGCGCGTCCGCAGTTTGACACGAACGGGGACGGCAGGATCAGCTCAGCGGAACTGCGTGAGGCCGTGGGGCAGCTGATGGGGGAGCAGGTGTCGGCCCGGGACATCGACGAGATCGTGCGAGACGTGGACACCAACGGCGATGGACACGTCGACTTCGAGGGTAGAGGCGGCGAGCAAGCATCACCCACTACCAATACCACACACTGCCAGCATCACCCACTACCAATACCACACACTACCAGCATCATCCACTACCAATACACTACCAGCATCATCCACTACCAATACCACACACTACCTGCATCACCCACTACCAATACCACACACTACCAGCATCACCCACTACCAATACCACACACTACCAGCATCACCCACTACCAATACCACACACTACCAGCATCACCCACTACCAATACACTACCAGCATCACCCACTACCAATATCACACACTGTCAGCATCATCCACTACCGATATCACACACTACCAGTATCATCCACTACCGATACCACACACTGTCAGCATCACCCACTACCAATACCACACACTACCAGCATCACCCACTACCAATACCACACACTACCAGCATCACCCACTACCAATACCACACACTACCAGCATCATCCACTACCAATACCAAACACTACCAGCATCACCCACTACCAATACCACACACTACCAGCATCACCCACTACCAATACCACACACTGCCAGCATCACCCACTACCAATACCACACACTGCCAGTATCATCCACTACCGATACCACACACTGTCAGCATCACCCACTACCAATACCACACACTACCAGCATCACCCACTACCAATACCACACACTACCAGCATCACCCACTACCAATACCACACACTACCAGCATCACCCACTACCAATACCACACACTACCAGCATCACCCACTACCAATACCACACACTACCAGCATCACCCACTACCAATACCACACACTGCCAGCATCACCCACTACCAATACCACACACTGCCAGTATCATCCACTACCGATACCACACACTACCAGTATCATCCACTACCGATACCACACACTGTCAGCATCACCCACTACCAATATCACACACTACCAGCATCACCCACTACCAATACCACACACTGCCAGCATCACCCACTACCAATACCACACACTACCAGCATCATCCACTACCAATACCACACACTGTCAGCATCATCCACTACCAATACCACACACTGTCAGCATCACCCACTACCAATACCACACACTGCCAGCATCACCCACTACCAATATCACACACTACCAGCATCATCCACTACCAATACCACACACTACCAGCATCATCCACTACCAATACCACACACTGTCAGCATCACCCACTACCAATACCACACACTGTCAGCATCACCCACTACCAATACCACACACTACCAGCATCACCCACTACCAATACCACACACTGTCAGCATCACCCACTACCAATACCACACACTGTCAGCATCACCCACTACCAATACCACACACTACCAGCATCATCCACTACCAATACCACACACTACCAGCATCACCCACTACCAATACCACACACTACCAGCATCACCCACTACCAATACCACACACTGTCAGCATCACCCACTACCAATACCACACACTACCAGTATCATCCACTACCAATACCACACACTACCAGCATCACCCACTACCGATACCACACACTACCAGTATCATCCACTACCGATACCACACACTACCAGCATCACCCACTACCAATACCACACACTACCAGCATCATCCACTACCGATACCACACACTACCAGCATCACCCACTACCAATACCACACACTACCAGCATCACCCACTACCGATACCACACACTGTCAGCATCACCCACTACCAATACCACACACTACCAGCATCACCCACTACCAATACCACACACTACCAGCATCATCCACTACCGATACCACACACTACCAGTATCATCCACTACCGATACCACACACTACCAGCATCATCCACTACCAATACCACACACTGTCAGCATAACCCACTACCGATACCACACACTACCAGCATCACCCACTACCAATACCACACACTACCAGGATCATCCACTACCGATACCACACACTACCAGCATCATCCACTACCGATACCACAAACTACCAGCATCATCCACTACCGATACCACACACTACCAGCATCATCCACTACCAATACCACACACTACCAGCATCATCCACTACCGATACCACACACTACCAGCATCATCCACTACCAATACCACACACTACCAGCATCACCCACTACCAATACCACACACTACCAGCATCACCCACTACCAATACCACACACTGTCAGCATCACCCACTACCAATACCACACACTACCAGTATCATCCACTACCAATACCACACACTACCAGCATCACCCACTACCGATACCACACACTACCAGTATCATCCACTACCGATACCACACACTACCAGCATCACCCACTACCAATACCACACACTACCAGCATCATCCACTACCGATACCACACACTACCAGCATCACCCACTACCAATACCACACACTACCAGCATCACCCACTACCGATACCACACACTGTCAGCATCACCCACTACCAATACCACACACTACCAGCATCACCCACTACCAATACCACACACTACCAGCATCATCCACTACCGATACCACACACTACCAGTATCATCCACTACCGATACCACACACTACCAGCATCATCCACTACCAATACCACACACTGTCAGCATCACCCACTACCGATACCACACACTACCAGCATCACCCACTACCAATACCACACACTACCAGGATCATCCACTACCGATACCACACACTACCAGCATCATCCACTACCGATACCACAAACTACCAGCATCATCCACTACCGATACCACACACTACCAGCATCATCCACTACCAATACCACACACTACCAGCATCATCCACTACCGATACCACACACTACCAGCATCATCCACTACCAATACCACACACTACCAGCATCACCCACTACCAATACCACACACTACCAGCATCACCCACTACCAATACACTACCAGCATCACCCACTACCAATACCACACACTGTCAGCATCATCCACTACCGATATCACACACTACCAGTATCATCCACTACCGATACCACACACTGTCAGCATCACCCACTACCAATACCACACACTACCAGCATCACCCACTACCAATACCACACACTACCAGCATCACCCACTACCAATACCACACACTACCAGCATCATCCACTACCAATACCAAACACTACCAGCATCACCCACTACCAATACCACACACTACCAGCATCACCCACTACCAATACCACACACTGCCAGCATCACCCACTACCAATACCACACACTGCCAGTATCATCCACTACCGATACCACACACTGTCAGCATCACCCACTACCAATACCACACACTACCAGCATCACCCACTACCAATACCACACACTACCAGCATCACCCACTACCAATACCACACACTACCAGCATCATCCACTACCAATACCACACACTACCAGCATCACCCACTACCAATACCACACACTACCAGCATCACCCACTACCAATACCACACACTGCCAGCATCACCCACTACCAATACCACACACTGCCAGTATCATCCACTACCGATACCACACACTACCAGTATCATCCACTACCGATACCACACACTGTCAGCATCACCCACTACCAATATCACACACTACCAGCATCACCCACTACCAATACCACACACTGCCAGCATCACCCACTACCAATACCACACACTACCAGCATCATCCACTACCAATACCACACACTGTCAGCATCATCCACTACCAATACCACACACTGTCAGCATCACCCACTACCAATACCACACACTGCCAACATCACCCACTACCAATATCACACACTACCAGCATCATCCACTACCAATACCACACACTACCAGCATCATCCACTACCAATACCACACACTGTCAGCATCACCCACTACCAATACCACACACTGTCAGCATCACCCACTACCAATACCACACACTACCAGCATCACCCACTACCAATACCACACACTGTCAGCATCACCCACTACCAATACCACACACTGTCAGCATCACCCACTACCAATACCACACACTACCAGCATCATCCACTACCAATACCACACACTACCAGCATCACCCACTACCAATACCACACACTACCAGCATCACCCACTACCAATACCACACACTGTCAGCATCACCCACTACCAATACCACACACTACCAGTATCATCCACTACCAATACCACACACTACCAGCATCACCCACTACCGATACCACACACTACCAGTATCATCCACTACCGATACCACACACTACCAGCATCACCCACTACCAATACCACACACTACCAGCATCATCCACTACCGATACCACACACTACCAGCATCACCCACTACCAATACCACACACTACCAGCATCACCCACTACCGATACCACACACTGTCAGCATCACCCACTACCAATACCACACACTACCAGCATCACCCACTACCAATACCACACACTACCAGCATCATCCACTACCGATACCACACACTACCAGTATCATCCACTACCGATACCACACACTACCAGCATCATCCACTACCAATACCACACACTGTCAGCATCACCCACTACCGATACCACACACTACCAGCATCACCCACTACCAATACCACACACTACCAGGATCATCCACTACCGATACCACACACTACCAGCATCATCCACTACCGATACCACAAACTACCAGCATCATCCACTACCGATACCACACACTACCAGCATCATCCACTACCAATACCACACACTACCAGCATCATCCACTACCGATACCACACACTACCAGCTTCACCCACTACCAATACCACACACTACCAGCATCACCCACTACCAATACCACACACTACCAGCATCATCCACTACCAATACCACACACTACCAGCATCACCCACTACCGATACCACACACTACCAGCATCATCCACTACCAATACCACACACTACCAGCATCACCCACTACCGATACCACACACTGCCAGTATCATCCACTACCGATACCACACACTGCCAGCATCACCCACTACCAATACCACACACTACCAGCATCATCCACTACCAATACCACACACTACCAGCATCACCCACTACCAATACCACACACTACCAGCATCACCCACTACCAATACCACACACTACCAGCATCACCCACTACCAATACCACACACTGCCAGTATCATCCACTACCGATACCACACACTGTCAGCATCACCCACTACCAATACCACACACTACCAGCATCACCCACTACCAATACCACACACTGCCAGCATCACCCACTACCAATACCACACACTGCCAGTATCATCCACTACCGATACCACACACTGTCAGCATCACCCACTACCAATACCACACACTACCAGCATCATCCACTACCAATACCACACACTACCAGCATCACCCACTACCAATACCACACACTACCAGCATCACCCACTACCAATACCACACACTGCCAGCATCACCCACTACCAATACCACACACTGCCATATCATCCACTACCGATACCACACACTACCAGTATCATCCACTACCGATACCACACACTGTCAGCATCACCCACTACCAATACCACACACTACCAGCATCACCCACTACCAATACCACACACTGCCAGCATCACCCACTACCAATACCACACACTACCAGCATCATCCACTACCAATACCACACACTGTCAGCATCATCCACTACCAATACCACACACTGTCAGCATCACCCACTACCAATACCACACACTGCCAGCATCACCCACTACCAATACCACACACTACCAGCATCATCCACTACCAATACCACACACTACCAGCATCATCCACTACCAATACCACACACTGTCAGCATCACCCACTACCAATACCACACACTGTCAGCATCACCCACTACCAATACCACACACTACCAGCATCACCCACTACCAATACCACACACTGTCAGCATCACCCACTACCAATACCACACACTGTCAGCATCACCCACTACCAATACCACACACTACCAGCATCATCCACTACCAATACCACACACTACCAGCATCACCCACTACCAATACCACACACTACCAGCATCACCCACTACCAATACCACACACTGTCAGCATCACCCACTACCAATACCACACACTACCAGTATCATCCACTACCAATACCACACACTACCAGCATCACCCACTACCGATACCACACACTACCAGCATCATCCACTACCGATACCACACACTACCAGCATCACCCACTACCAATACCACACACTACCAGCATCATCCACTACCGATACCACACACTACCAGCATCACCCACTACCAATACCACACACTACCAGCATCACCCACTACCGATACCACACACTGTCAGCATCACCCACTACCAATACCACACACTACCAGCATCACCCACTACCAATACCACACACTACCAGCATCATCCACTACCGATACCACACACTACCAGTATCATCCACTACCGATACCACACACTACCAGCATCACCCACTACCGATACCACACACTACCAGCATCATCCACTACCGATACCACACACTGTCATCATCACCCACTACCGATACCACACACTACCAGCATCACCCACTACCAATACCACACACTACCAGCATCATCCACTACCGATACCACACACTACCAGCATCATCCACTACCGATACCACACACTACCAGCATCATCCACTACCGATACCACACACTACCAGCATCATCCACTACCAATACCACACAATACCAGCATCATCCACTACCGATACCACACACTACCAGCTTCACCCACTACCAATACCACACACTACCAGCATCACCCACTACCAATACCACACACTACCAGCATCATCCACTACCAATACCACCCACTACCAGCCTCACCCACTACCGATACCACACACTACCAGCATCATCCACTACCAATACCACACACTACCAGCATCACCCACTACCGATACCACACACTGCCAGTATCATCCACTACCGATACCACACACTGCCAGCATCACCCACTACCAATACCACACACTACCAGTATCATCCACTACCAATACCACACACTACCAGTATCATCCACTACCGATACCACACACTTCCAGCATCACCCACTACCGATACCACACACTACCAGTATCATCCACTACCGATACCACACACTTCCAGCATCACCCACTACCGATACCACACACTACCAGTATCATCCACTACCGATACCACACACTTCCAGCATCACCCACTACCGATACCACACACTACCAGTATCATCCACTACCGATACCACACACTACCAGCATCACCCACTACCGATACCACACACTACCAGCATCACCCACTACCAATACCACACACTGCCAGCATCACCCACTACCAATACCACACACTGCCAGTATCATCCACTACCGATACCACACACTACCAGTATCATCCACTACCGATACCACACACTGTCAGCATCACCCACTACCAATACCACACACTACCAGCATCACCCACTACCAATACCACACACTGCCAGCATCACCCACTACCAATACCACACACTACCAGCATCATCCACTACCAATACCACACACTGTCAGCATCATCCACTACCAATACCACACACTGTCAGCATCACCCACTACCAATACCACACACTGCCAGCATCACCCACTACCAATACCACACACTACCAGCATCATCCACTACCAATACCACACACTACCAGCATCATCCACTACCAATACCACACACTGTCAGCATCACCCACTACCAATACCACACACTGTCAGCATCACCCACTACCAATACCACACACTACCAGCATCACCCACTACCAATACCACACACTGTCAGCATCACCCACTACCAATACCACACACTGTCAGCATCACCCACTACCAATACCACACACTACCAGCATCATCCACTACCAATACCACACACTACCAGCATCACCCACTACCAATACCACACACTACCAGCATCACCCACTACCAATACCACACACTGTCAGCATCACCCACTACCAATACCACACACTACCAGTATCATCCACTACCAATACCACACACTACCAGCATCACCCACTACCGATACCACACACTACCAGTATCATCCACTACCGATACCACACACTACCAGCATCACCCACTACCAATACCACACACTACCAGCATCATCCACTACCGATACCACACACTACCAGCATCACCCACTACCAATACCACACACTACCAGCATCACCCACTACCTATACCACACACTGTCAGCATCACCCACTACCAATACCACACACTACCAGCATCACCCACTACCAATACCACACACTACCAGCATCATCCACTACCGATACCACACACTACCAGTATCATCCACTACCGATACCACACACTACCAGCATCACCCACTACCGATACCACACACTACCAGCATCATCCACTACCGATACCACACACTGTCATCATCACCCACTACCGATACCACACACTACCAGCATCACCCACTACCAATACCACACACTACCAGCATCATCCACTACCGATACCACACACTACCAGCATCATCCACTACCGATACCACACACTACCAGCATCATCCACTACCGATACCACACACTACCAGCATCATCCACTACCAATACCACACAATACCAGCATCATCCACTACCGATACCACACACTACCAGCTTCACCCACTACCAATACCACACACTACCAGCATCACCCACTACCAATACCACACACTACCAGCATCATCCACTACCAATACCACACACTACCAGCATCACCCACTACCGATACCACACACTACCAGCATCATCCACTACCAATACCACACACTACCAGCATCACCCACTACCGATACCACACACTGCCAGTATCATCCACTACCGATACCACACACTGCCAGCATCACCCACTACCAATACCACACACTACCAGTATCATCCACTACCAATACCACACACTACCAGTATCATCCACTACCGATACCACACACTTCCAGCATCACCCACTACCGATACCACACACTACCAGTATCATCCACTACCGATACCACACACTTCCAGCATCACCCACTACCGATACCACACACTACCAGTATCATCCACTACCGATACCACACACTTCCAGAATCACCCACTACCGATACCACACACTACCAGTATCATCCACTACCGATACCACACACTACCAGCATCACCCACTACCGATACCACACACTACCAGCATCACCCACTACCAATACCACACACTACCAGTATCATCCACTACCAATACCACACACTACCAGTATCATCCAAGATGAATACTAAATTACATTCACCACCAAAACGAAACAGCTAAAAACCATATGTTACTCACGAGCAGTTTCACACGTCGCTGTGACTGCCTGGGTTACCGTGGTTGTGCCCAGAATGTTTTCACGGGTTGTGTGGCGTTTTTTTAGCAGGATGCCCGACGTTTCGTTCCATGCAGTGGGAGCTCCCAAAGAAGCTCCAGCGCGTGAAACGAATCGCAAAATCCGCATCTGATCTCAGTATCCTCCTCTGCCCTCCTGCCCCCTCTCCCCTCTCTCCCTCAGAGTTCGTGAAGATGATGTCGCGCTGATGGGCGAGACCGTCCCACGGGCGAGCGGTACCGCGAGTCGCTCGACGCCGCCGCCGCCACTCATCCCACACATCGTACCCCCAACCCCCCGACCCCACCACCCGGCCCCCGGACCCGGTCACCCTCTCCCCCACCTGCGCTTCCCTCCCACATTGAAACGCGGCACCTCTCCGGCGCGCATTTTCGCGTTGTTGCCGCGTGCCGGTTGTTTGGAGCGCCATGTCTGACGTTTTGCTGCACATGCCGGGAAAAGCTTCTCCTGCTGGGAAGGAGGCTCCCAGCACGTGGAGCGGAGATGTCGCACATGGCGCCCAAATGGAACGCGGGCGACTCACGCGAGAGCGGCGGCGGGAACACCGAGGGGAGTTTGGGAGGGAGCCCGGAGCCGATGCTTTAGTCAGCGTTACCACCTTCGATAGCGTCAATCGAGCCATTCCAGCTTCTCTGTGTGGCCAACAGCAGTGACTCGTTTGAGAAACACTTCAAATGACCGACTGGGTTCTCAAGTAGTTCACTCTCATTCGCTCTCGACATACATGGGTAGTGCTAAGGTTTTGCTACATTCGGTGGCACCAGTTTCTGCTCTTGCCCGTGGGCTAAGCGTCTCCTCGCGAGTTCAACCACGAGTTGTCAATCCCTATCCTGTATCCAAATGTATTCACCACCACCCCTCGTATAGAGCTGCTCGACACACGGTGCGTTTCAGCGACACTTTCCGTGCAAGCCGCAGCAACGTAGACCAGATAACGTGACGCACCGTGCAATGCAAATTCCGTTCGTCCTTAACGTGCTTGTGTGCGTCCGCGTGTGTGTGTGTTCCTTGCAAAAGCGAAGGCCCTTGTCTGATGTATCTTCATATATATAACACACATATACTTTGGAGCTAGTTCTGTTGGTCCCCTGTTCAGTAAAGCTACCAGATTTCTGGGAGGTCATCCAGTACATGGTGACGAGCCGACAACCCCCTCCTTCCGTCAGGCCGCGCCGTTTCCTATTGGCAGGAGTTGAACAGCAGGCCAGAACAGCAGAGGCCCCCGACAAAATCCTGAGTTTTTGCGGTTGACATTGGGACAGACTTTGTGAACCCACCAAGGTGTGAACCAGAAACATGGCAGCTACCGGTACCGGTACGCAGCTGCCCTGCTGTAGCAACGAGAGGAAACGGAGGAGTGTGTACTTTTTAGCCAGAGCCGTTGTTATTCCACGCACACTGCCCGTGTCGGTCCAGATTCATTACTCGTGTCTTCCCCATAGTGACCCCACCGTTAGAGTCACGACCTCCGAGATAACAAAAATATCATGGTAAAGAGGAATATCTCACGATATCAGAAAATGGGAGCGCTATGTGTGAATTCATCGCTTAATTGGTGCATTATTATCATTCTTATTCCAGTGAGTAAAAAAAACAGAGACTTGTCAGGTTACAGGGAAATTGACAAGATTTGCCAGGATGGGAGCAGCTGCCTCCTGGGAAAACCAGGACAGGGTTGTTTTATGAAGCAACAGGGGTTGTTGACAAGCTGCTGTTGTGGGGCTACGTTGTCAACAGCAGAGGGCCGTGCAGCAAAATCCATTGTTGTACTGCACTTCAATGCTCCCGCGTCTATGCCCCGCAAATAGATTGACCCACACTTGACCACCGTGGTGAAGTGTGGTCAAATAACTTTAACACAAAGGCAGCTTTTACAAGCAATATTATTCACGATAAAGTTTTTTTGGGTTAGAGATCGCGTAAATGTAACTGTTGTACACCCACATCCACGCAAGACAGCCATTAAGGTTTGTCACGTGATCAGAACGTGCGAATGTAATACTTCTGGCAAATGCCTGATGCTGCTGATTGTAACCACCAGCGAGACATCGATACGTCAATTGTAAATGTTGTGGTTTTGCTCTCCAACACACAACCGGTGGTGCCAAAGTAGTAACCAATGTGCACGTTCCATTCACGTGACAAATCGTACTAATTGGCTGTCGAGTGGAGGTGGATTTATACGATCTCAAGCCCAAAACAACTTTATCTTAAATATAGTCAAATAACTGCCCAGCAACCCGCACGGCGTGGGTGGGGGGGGAGGAGCACTCATCCAGCAGTGGTTTTGCCGAAAAGGTCCGTTCGCGTTCCCCATGCGGCGCACGTGCAGGGAAGAGTCGAGCGAAACGTCTCTGGAGGAAGGGCCCAGTTCACACGACCATCCAGCAGTAGACTCCCTGTGCGCCAGAGCAGTGAGACCGTGGCACCACATCGTGCCCAGGCGGAGTGGTTGATGTTGCCCTGCACGTGCTGGAGGAGGAGGCAGTCCCATGGTCTCTGTGGCTACGTGGGGCTGACGTCCACACACATAACATCGACATACAAATTTATTGATTTAATTGTAATACCTTTTTCTTGTGTATCTGGTGCTGCGTGTAAAAACGTTCGCTAAATAAAAGTAGCCTCCCTTCCTCCGCACGGCTGCAAGGCAGAAGCATGTTTCTCCGTAACCGCAGGGAGTTGCGCCCCGCTTTTCTTTACGCTTTCCAGCCAAGGTTGAATCCTTTTGCATTTTGGCTCTGTCCGTCCGATCCTGATTCTGTCTGTGTTGGTAACGCGGGCTCGCGATAACTTTGCAAAGCAAGACGATCCTCCCGGCGGTTGGTGGCCCAAGTAACGTGGGCTGTGACCACACACAGATGTCACCAAATTCCCCTTCCCTTGAGCGTCAAGTGGCCATTCCGTAGCCTGGCAATAGACGGCAGTACATAATTCTGTACGAGATCAAGTGTTTGCGCCCTTGCACGTGTGAGTTATCTCCAGATGCTTCACACGTAAAAACAACTGGTTAATTGGCCGAAAAATATTTTAATATATAGGACCGCAGAGCTTGGGCAACTGTTGGCAGCGCCAGCTCGACGCCCTGGTCGCCGGTGCCCTTCAAGCTCTGTGGTTCGTCGGCGATTGCGAGGGATGCAATTTGCACGATGACGCAGCACGAAACTGAACTTCATCCCAACTCAAGAGAAGATTGGGCAAAACCGGTGGCATTGGCGACATTTGATCGGCCAATGGCCACGCGCGATGACGTCACGCCACGCACTCGTCCGCTCCCCGTCGACGTTTTTACGCAAAGCTGCGTCATCGCCGCCAATTAAATAACCCCCCCGAAAGTAAAACGCTCGTTGGAAAGCGTCAAAAGAATCCGCGCACGTGCAACGAATTCACCCTTTGCTTGAAATCGCTGTTCGCGGTTTTCTTGGGCGTCGTCTCTTCCGATAACGACGCCCCCCCCCCCCCCCCCCCCCCGTTTTCAGTGGAACTCCCTCTGCAGCAGTAGCTGCAGCTGGTGCTTTTAGGGGATACGTCCTCTCTCTTCTGAGAGTCGGCGCACGTAGCCGTTGGGGGACGCAGGCGGTGCAATCGCACCCTAACCCCCGTGGTACGACCACAACCACGACACCCGCTTGTGTTGCTAGCACTTTGAAGCTCCGTGTGACACCATTCCATCACCACTTACCCCGTAATAAAGCCTCGGATTAACAGGGACCCGTGCAAGCGTCATTTTGAACGAATGAACAAAGGTTAAGCTTGGTGAAATAATCGTCCCCATCCAGCAGTGGAGCGACGTGTGCGGGTTTTCAGCTCGCGTCTTTAATTCGAGTGAAACTGCCGTCTGCCTTTGACGAAAACCACTTGGAAGGCGCACGGAATCTCGGAAGCCAAGCAGCGTCGAGCCCTTGGGAGTGCACGGGACGGGCGGCCACCTTGCTCGACACGCAGGTGTCAGGTTGCAGGTAAACGTGTCAGGCAGGAGGGGGCATTGCGAGTAAGAAGCAACTGTTGTACTGTACTAGGGTCCCACAGTTATACAGACTGACACGTGCTGACCAGCGGGACAGCGTGCTCGAATAAATGTCCCGCACCGCTGGTGCTGGGGGATTTCGGCCAGCAGCGAAGGCGACTTTTTAACTGGGCGTGCGTGCAATTATAAACGACACGGAATGAGCATTCGAAACACGTGAACAGGTGGTACAGACGCGAGTGGGACGACTCGCGCGAGACGCTCACGGGAACACACCAGAAGGGAATTGAGCTCGCAGGGAACAAGGGGAGGGAGCTACGATGATGAATGCTGCCTTACAGCAGAAAATTAAAACGGAAATTTCGCTTCATTCATTAAAATATCCCACCTAACAAACCCCTGGAGAAGGGACGCCTCTCGTGTGTAAAGGTGGGTTGTCCAGCGGCAGTGCGGCGAGGACAAATTAAAACCGCACGTTGGACGTAACCACTGCCTCGTAACAGTGTGGTACAATAGCAGACGTTTTGGGTCGTGACCCTTCTTTAGAGGGGGGGGGGGGGGGTAGAGAGATGGTCGGCTTTGTGGATTAGAGATGAGTTTACACCGATGCAAATGTGTTTAGTTGTAATACATTTCACAGCTTTGAATCAGTGGGCAATCATGGGGTAATCCATCTAAGTAAAAAAAATATAAATCAAAGAAATACTAATGAGACACGAATGGAAGCTGACAATTTCTAACTCATTAGCTCTTCTGAGAAACACTATCTGCTCTTGTGATATTACGGGACTCAATTTGCATTGCTGCGTCACCCCTCTCACAAAATGGTGCTTAATTTACTCGTCCTCAAAGGAGTGATTGTTTACCCTGGCCTGTTGAACTCCCAAGTGCTTTGTTAGCGATGCCATCCAGCAGTCAAACAAGACTGTGTCATCGCCCCAACGCTCCTCAATATTCCTTGCCGCATTGCTTGAGCGCTAACTACTGCCAAACTTGGAGCAGGAGTGAAGCCGAGCTACCGAATGCATGGCAAGCTGTTCAACAATCAACAGACTTCGATCTAAAACCATCCCGATAGCAGTTGAGCTCCAGTATGCTGACGATGCTGTAGTGTGCCCACTCAGAAGCGGATCTTCAGGCAATCAAAACTATTAATAAAGAATTAAAGCTTTCGTGACTGCATAAATTACTCATTGTTTTTTTTTTCGGTAAAGTCACGTATGTAGAAATACAATAAAATTATATTAAAATAAATCAATCACGATGTTTCGACCGCAACACAAGCGATCTTCAGGTGTAAAAAAACAAATAGCGAGGGAGCACATAGGGTGACATCAACGCAACACATAGAGAGCGTTAAACTGCACGGAGGTAAATACAAGATGAGAGACGAGAATTCAACAAACCTAAGAAAAAATTACGTGATGCAAAACCAGTCGGCCAACGACAGTTAGACTTGCCTGGCGGACCACGATTTCAGAAGAGTGCTAAATTTCGTGTTCATCCTCTGGGTTGAACATACCAGCATAGAGTGAACAAATACGAGGTACAAGATAGCAGAAATACATAAACAGGGACACCAAGATTGATTTATTCTAATATAATTTTATGGTATTTCTACATACGTGACTTTACCGAAAAAACCAATGAGTAATCAAAACTTATTGAGGCATATGAAAAAACTGAGACTGATGCTTAATATTTTTAAGACTAAGGTCCTCCATCAACCAGTTCCCAATGAGCAGTCCCCAGCTCCGACAAATTACATCCACGTTGAGATTCTGGAAAATGTTAAGCATTTCCCATACCTCAGAAGCCTTCTTTCACATAATGCTATTGACAAAGAAATCAAAAATTTCCTGAAATGTACAAGTGAGGCTTCCAGTCGGCTGAGGAAAATGGTGTTGGAGGAGCGTGACATCAGGTCCAAAACCAAGCTCATGGTTTATCAAGCAGTTGTAATCTCTACCTTACTGTACGGAGCTGAGACGTGGATAACATGCAGGAGACATCTCAAAGTGCTAAGGTATCATTAACGCTGCCCTACGGAAGGTTCTTAAAATGAAGTGGGAGGACAGACGCACTGACATCAAAGTCCTCTCGCAAACATACACCACGAGCATTGAGACCACAATCATTCGACGTCAGCTTCGCTGGGTCGGCCACGTCGTCCGCATGCCCAACTCCCGACTCGTGAGGCAAGTCTTCTACTTCCAGCTTAGCCGGCGTGTGCGTTCAAGAGGCTTGGCAGAAAACGCGCTTCAAGGATGTCCTCAAGGTCAAGAAATGCTCCATCGGCACGAACTCATGGGAGATTCTTGGAGAGTCTATTACAAGGATCCAAACATTTAGAAACTCAACGGCGGAAACATGAAGAGGAAAAGTGGGATCAGCGGAAACAGCAACGCTGGCAGCCCGACTTACTCAACCGGTTTCACCCACCACTCTTTCTGGCCACGTGTGCCCGAGCCGCGGCAGAATCTGTCAACCCCAGAGAGGTCTCTTCAACAATCTTCGGACCCACAGATAATCCAACGTTCTTATTTAAGACCATAATCCTCGATTGCGAGTAGCCCAATGATGACACACATTTACACACAGCGTCTTCGCTGAACACATGACTTACCAGATGTCTTTATTATGAGATTTAAAGGAAAAACACAAACAATATAACCTAGGCGGCAGTATGCAGACGCACGCACGCGCGTTACTCAACGACGTCCGTCTCACATAAAGGGAACTTTGCACGGGGGGGGGGGGGGGGGGCGCTTGACGCGGCCCTCACCGCCGCAGTGACGGGGAACCGCGCGTCGAGACGCGAGCGCGGAGAGACCGCACACGTTCAAGCAGCGTGTACGACAACGGCGGCGCGTGTGAGGAGGGGGCGCCGGCATGTGGCTTCCAAAAAGCAACTTTGAACCGTGAGAGCGAGTCTGCCAGATGTAGGAAAGGGTCCAACACCTTCGGGACCTGCAAATCGTCGTGGCGCAACAGGGAGAGAGCTTCCAGCGCTGCGGTTTCGGGTTGTTACCGCACGTTGTTCGGCACGCGAGCAACGTCCCCGGGACGTTTTGCCACCGGGAGCTTCTTCAAGTCGGACATTGTGATGAACACGCGGTACGTACGCAAGCCCGAAGAGACACGTTCGTGCGCGAGAGAGAAATGAGGAACTACCCAATTCTCATTAGCGGAGAGACCTCAAAGGTGAACGTATTATTTTCGTGGGGCATGGTGGAACAATTATGGGGTCATTGTTGCGTGAATATGACGTAACGGATCAACAGGTTTAAAACAAAGTTGAACCAAAGTATAAGAGAAAATTTGTAACATTTCCCTGAGGTCCAGGAGGTTTGCATTCCCCATGTTCTGGGAACAGGAGTTACTTTCGCCTGCAACAAAAACCCAAAGCCACACGTTTACCCCGCAACCACGATCGCATCAAAATGAAGGTCGCACGCTCCCAAAGTGACGTGCTGCGCTCCTGCATACGTACAGCAAAGTTCACGGAGTAGCTTGGCGACTGACGCAAAAAACATCTCGATCCGAAAGCCAAATGAGCGCAGCGTGTCGGCTTGGGTGGAAAATTTTCTTTTTAAACGAAGCCCAGCGTCCCTGTTTAGCCAGGTCAACCGCCCGGGCGATGGATGAGCGGCGCAACACGGTCAGGTTAGTTGCATGCACAGCCCGCTACGAGCGCCGACCTTATTCAACAACCGTGAACCTCGCGCTGGGAACGAGCCGACGACACAAAAACGTTAATGCAATTAAAAAGTAACAAAGCCATGCGTGCATGCAAACGTAACACCTGGGAACGGGTGTTGCTGGGGTGAGAACGATTTGAAGTGAAATCAGAGGGATGCTAAGAACGGTGCTCGACGATGAAGGAAACACGGCAACACTCGAGGCATCTGACGAGAAATTGGGGACATAGTTTACAAGTTTACGTTGTTTAAAGTCTCGCTGTACCGGGGTTAAGCAAAAGGACCGTTTTACCACCGTTATTTAGGGGTGCTACGGTGGCGAGATGTTAAGTACCGGGCCTGGTATGCAGGAGGTTCTGGGTTCAATCCAAACCCTGACACCTGCTGTATATTTGGAGATTGCATGTTCTCCCCGTCGTTGTGTGGATTTTTCTCTGGGTTCTCTGGTTGGCCCCTCCACATTTAGAATCAACATCATGTGTTTAAAGTATTTGGCTGCGATAAATTTCAACGCAAAAAGCCACTTCGTTGAGCTATCAAATTCTGTCCAGATAGCTTCTGCAAAACAGCTAAATATAGCTGTGGGCATTATCTGGTAAAAAGAACAGTTTCGTTTTATAGCTTAGCCTAGCTTACTGAGAATATGAAAGGAGATGCAGGTCCTCAGCGGTGTCGGTTCAGAGCTCTGACACGTGAGCCACCCAGCCCTCCCCTCTTAAAGGAACAGTGGTCAGCGCAATGCGCTATGAACCCGCCACCAGCTCGTCGTTGTTCTACTGTCACTAAATTGAGAGCGATATCTACAATGGACCGAGGGCCCCCCCCAACTTACCATCACCAATGCCACCGCAGTAATCAGCATGGCGCAGTAGCGTCAAAAAAGCCCCATGGCTGTGTCACGGGGTGCAGGAGAGGCCTTCATCCAGAAGTGGCCTGACAACAAAGCCACTTTATGGATCGAAAAGAGCGAGGAGCAGAAGGGGACAGCGGTGAGCGGCGGTGGGCGAACCCGCCCCCTCACCCCACCGGCACGATGACACCAAATGGCGCAGAGCAGCGGCAGAGCGCGCCGGGCTCAGTCGCTCAGGGCCATTTTGCGGATCTCCGTGATCAACCTCTTGCTGTGTTCACTGGGATCGCACGGCCGCACCTCCATGATGGTCATCTTGATGCGAGACTCATCCTGTCGGCGGAGACACAAGGGGTCGGGGAGGTTAGGGGTCAGATTTTGGGGCACTGCAGTGGCGAGATGTTAACTATCTCGCCTCGTATGCAGGAAGTTAGCGGTTCGATCCCAACTCTGAGGCCTGCTGTATATTTGGAGTTTGTGATTCTCCCCGCGGTCAAGTGGATTTTTCTCCGGCTCTTCTGGTTTTTCCCTCTACATTTAGAATCCACGTCACACGTTTAAGAGTATTTGGCTGCTGCTATAAATTTCCACACGATAAGGTTGATATACATGACCGACAAATTGCCCAATTGGGATTTTGTACAACGGCAACATCGCCCCCTCGACTGCAAGCAAAACAAAAACTAATTTGGCAGGACCCTTCTACCAATGTGCCTGGAGACTCGGCCGAGGTTTTCCCGGGTAACGCGACAATACACGCCCCCACCCCACGCCTCCACCCACCGCACAACCCCCAGGCCCCCACCCCCTCTCCACCGCTCACGTTGTAATTCTCCAGCTTGACCCGCATGCGGAAGATGTAGGTGGTGAAGTTGGCGTTCTGGAAGACCTGCTCGTAGGCGCCTTGGTCATCCTGTACAAAGATAAAAGATCCCCCGTGTTTAGCCTGTAACAGACTGTTGAGGCAAGTGCCATTTGCGAGTAGCACCTATGAAGGCCGGCACAGCACACAAGGGGTGGGTGGCCAACACCACCAAGATAAAGTTCACCCATATAGCAACACAGATCATCGCAAGGGGGGGGGGGGGGGGGAGGGAGCCAAATATCATCAGCGAGTGCCTATGTTGCAATTGTGGTCAAGATTAACTACCTCACTAGGTATACATTAAGTCGTGGGTAAGATTCCAACCCTGACGCCTGCTGCTGTATATTTTTGAGTTTGCATGTTCTCCCCGTGGTCGCGAGGATTTTTCTCTGGGTCCTCCAATTTTTTCCCTTAAACAGTATTTGGCTGCTATAAATGTCGACGGGATAAGCCACTTCGTTGAGCTATCCTTTGTGGCCAGGTTGCCTCTGAAAAATAACTATATATATCTCAGTGAGCCTTACCTAGTAAAATTAAAAATATTTAATAGTTTTAAAGTAGTGTTCTGACCGTCACTCAACGGATGATAGCAGCATCTTCAGCGCCCGCCCCCACCCCCGCCACTCAGGACACACGGCGATAACGAAACACACAACGCCTTCCTTCCCGCGTGACCTTTGTCTGTGTTTTTCCGCAACCACAAGGTGGTGGCGCCCGAGTGGAGATCGTGGTGCCGACAGCGGTTTCTATGGCAACTAACCAACCAGAGCAGCAGCAACATCGCCAGTTACAGTAACATCACTGCTGCATTTGTAACCCCCAAACACCTAGCACCGGAGTGCTGCTGCTGGGCTAGCTGGAGTAAATCTGGGAGTGGATCAGGAGTGGATCAGGAGTGGATAAGGAGTGGATCAGGAGTGGATCAGGGGTGGATCAGGGGTGGATCAGGGGTGGATCAGGGAATGTATTTGTAAATATAGGAGTGGAACTCGAGTGCATCTGGATTTGGGGTTGATCTGGAGTGGTTCTCAGGTTGATCTAGGAGTGCATCTAGAGAAGTTCTGGAGTGAATCTGGGAGGGCATCTGGAGTAGATCTGGGATGGATCTAGAAGTGGATCTAGAGTGCATCTGGATTTGGGGTTGATCTTTAGTGGTTTTGGGGTTGATCAAGAGGTGCATCTAGAGCAAATCTTGAGTGGATTTGGGATGCATCTAGCAGCGCATCTGTAGTAGACCTGGAATAGATCTAGGAGTGGATCTAGAGTATATCTGAATCTGGGGTTCATATGGAGTGGATCTGAAATGGATCTGGAGTGGACCTAACAGCGATGTCTGCACCACGCACCGAGTCCTTAAGGTCCCCGAGAGCCTCCGTCTTCATGCCCAGGATGCTCTCCCCCTGCTCCTGGAAGCAGGTCACCCACTGGTTGTCAGTGTAGTCCACGATGTTGGCCTGAACCACGGCAACGATAAACACACAGCATCGCTAATTAAGCACACGCGCAACAAAGACTCCCCGTATAGCCTGAACAGACTGTTGGGGCAAGTGCTGTTAGCGAGCACCTATGAAGGCCGGCAAGGTACACGAGGGGGTCGGTGGCCAGCACCATGCCTGGCCGCCTTTGTATCCCCAGTGGCGATGTTTACACACCGCACCAGGTACTCATTTTAGGCCGACTCGACCTAAGGGAGGCCCAAGACCGGTTCAAATAATCGTCACCGATGTTTGCCAAAGCAGGAAACAAACCCGGGTCGCCGGGTTCAAAGCACAGCACACTAACCGCTGCGCCAGTCCAAACACTTACACACACGTGTATTACACCGTCCAAATAGACACACACGTGTATTACACCGTCCAAACACAGACACACACGTGTATTACACCGTCCAAACACAGACACACACGTGTATTACACCGTCCAAACAGACACACACGTGTATTACACCGTCCAAACACAGACACACACGTGTATTACACCGTCCAAAAACAGACACACGTGTATTACACCGTACAAACACTTACACGCGTTTATTACACCGTACAAACACAGACACTTACACACGTGTATTACACCGTCCAAACACAGACACACGTGTATTACACCGTCCAAACACAGACACACGTGTATTACACCGTCCAAACACAGACACACACGTGTATTACACCGTCCAAACACAGACACACACGTGTATTACACCGTCCAAACACAGACACACACGTGTATTACACCGTCCAAACACAGACACACACGTGTATTACACCGTCCAAACAGACACACACGTGTATTACACCGTCCAAACACAGACACACACGTGTATTACACCGTCCAAACACAGACACACACGTGTATTACACCGTCCAAACACAGACACACACGTGTATTACACCGTCCAAACACAGACACACACGTGTATTACACCGTCCAAACACAGACACACACGTGTATTACACCGTCCAAACACAGACACACACGTGTATTACACCGTCCAAACACAGACACACACGTGTATTACACCGTCCAAACACAGACACACACGTGTATTACAAACACAGATTTCATGGGTGATGCGGGCTCACACCCAGTATCACTGGACGTACAGTATGCACGTGCGCATGTTTGCTGGACGTACGGTACACACGCACACCCGCACTAGAGGCACAGCACGCGTCCACCTACACAAGGAACATTACGCACGCATGCGAACAGCGCGCACACGGGAACAACGCAGACACCTAAGGCTAAAAATAGCGCCGGCACACCGGAGGAACAGCATGCACACAGGAGCAGGGGGGAGGGGAAGGCACCCTGCCCTCTCCTCGTTACGCGGTAGCGTTGTTTGGCCGATGACAATACCCGGCTGCCATATGCTATCAGTACTTCTACCCAACTGCACCTGGGATAGGATGGCCCCAATCCCTACATGGCTTCCATCCATATCAAGCGTGAAGGGCAATAACAAATCTGGATATGCCAATGGTGGCAGATTTTTTTAATCCCTGTCCTCTTCCGTACCCCATTGGAATTTCTGCCCCTTCGCTGTAAGTGCTTGTAGGGGTTTCGCAATGGCCGGGAAATCTTGTACGAATCTGCGGTAATAGGAAATAAAGCCAATGAATCTTCTAACATCCGGGACAGATATGGGGGTGGGTCATTCCCTAACACACCGTGTCTTTTCGGGATCAGTAGCTACCCCCATTGCGCTATTTCTCCTAAATATGTGACGGGAGGCTGTGCAAGGTGGCATTTGGAAGACTTGAGTTTTAAATGCGCTTCCCTGATAAGTGAGAAAATCATCCTCAACCGGTATAAGTGTCCCTGGAAAGATCATCCCAACACAATTACGTCGTCCAAATATATCAGGCAAACGTCCTAATGGAGACCCATCAGTACCAGATCCATGAGCCTTGGGAATGTGGCCACGGCCGTTTGTAATCCCATGGGAAGACAGTTAAAATGAAATAACCCCTGGCGTGTCAAGGCGGTTTTGTGTTTGGAATCTTCATCCAGCGGTAACTGCCAAAATTCTAATAATAGGTCCAATTAATAAAAGTATTTGTTTCCAGCTAAGGCATTCAAGGAATCATCAATCCGCGGAAGTGGATAAGCATCCGCCATTGTGACCTTATGCAGTTGACGAAAGTCGACGCAAAACCAGAATGAACCATCAGGCTTTTTCATAAGGACAGGGGGCCCGTGGATGGCGAGATAATAGCAGCCCTTAACATCTCGTCCATCCCATTTTGTAGGTGAGATTTCTCGACCAGCCCCATGCGATATGCATTTTGGCGGATGGGCGGCATGTTTCCCGTCTCTATGTGGTGTTACATGAAGTTAGTGCACCCTAAATCGTATGGTGCCTGACTAAAGATGTCCTCAAAATCTTGCAACAATACCCGACGGATCTGGCGCTGTGACTCAGACAAGTTAGCATCCTGCGCTCTCAATGGATTCCAGCCAGAGGCGTTGCCTCCTCGCAGGATCAGTATCATCCGCCATGATTCCTGCCTGCACTTCCCCGCCCTCTGCTGGCATGGGTCGCACATGTGCCAAAACAGTATTATCACAGGTGTGGTTGCTATGTTTAAAATTTGAATAAACAAATGTTGGTGCCGACATAGGATGGTGACCGCTCCTGCGAAGGCGTGTCGATCCATGATCACCATTGTCCAGTCGAGCTGTCACCAGAGGTGTGCGATATCGAAGGGGAATTAAGATTTGTGCTGCTGGGGGTACAGTGAGCATCTCTTTCCGGACATTCCCCTGACGGCATTTCAATGCACCCCTGGTCCTTTATAATTTGATAGGGAACTGATTCAAAAAGTCTGTCCCCAGCAAACAGGGAACCGTCAACTTACTTGAGACAAGTGCAGGGCCCAATATGACCAGTTCTTCCACGCGAATTTGGGTCTAACTGTCCTAATATCCCTTTGCTCCCTGCATTTGCCGCTTCATAGGACAATTGTACAGGGCGCAACCGCTGGGCCCTGTGTGGGCCTGGCAAACCAGCTTGTGCTCGGGCCATGAGAGAGCTTCTGTAGGCCAAAGCTGATTCCCCCTCTTCCTGCCGACGGTTCTGGAATCGTCACTTAGTGCTAGATGGCGGGTCAAAAATCTTTGCCATCTCACGATGAACGGCTTTGCAGGGTGTTCTTTTTGTCTGCCGGGATGGAAGAATAAATGATAAAAGCTTTCAGTGGCTCGTGCTCCGTCCATTCCAAATAAGCGTACGCCGCCTCGAATCGGCGAACAAGTGCTCCCCAGTCCCATCCCTTAGCCACACATTTTTCGACATGACCTAACCTGAGTGGACGATCGGCACCTTCTCCTCATCGCCACTCCACTCCCCCGGGTGGAATAAATTCCGCGGCCTGGGCCGCGCGCGCCTCTGACCATTGCCCTCGCGGCTCCAACGCTCCGCCGCTAAAGCTCGTAGCAGCCATTACCGCTGGGCCTCGGGGGTCTATCTCTGCCCCGACATCCTCCTGACGTGACTCTTCCCCATCCCTCTGAAGTTCCAACTGCAATATTTAATTTGGGAGCCTCCGATGCACCCGCTGGGCCAGCGAGAATGGAGCCCGCCGATTGTGGTGCTGCGTGCTCACCCGTCCGCGGCGCTGGCTGGGCGGCGACTACCCCAGCCGTCGCTGTTGCTCGTGGCATCCCCAGAGTAGAACTTCCCGCTCAGGTGAGCGGAGAAGCCGCTGCGGACGCCAAGAGCGGCATCACTGTCGCCGGGCTAGCAGCCACCTTTGTCCTCCTGCAGTTGTTGCAGGAGGAGCGTGACCACCTCTATCTGTTGGACGACCCGGTCCGTAAAGGGCCTCCCCCTCCTCTCGCAAGGTCGAGGGCTCTCAGATGTGTTGCTCCTTGCTCCCCGCCATCTTCTCATAGTTCGGGGAGCCATTCAAACACCGTCTGCAGACCGTGCTGTCTCCGGATCACGGCCATTCGGGGCGATGGGAGTATAGTCACGTTCCTACCCTTCTTCGCTGGGATCTCTGTCGGGGTCCTTCTTGCTGCAGTGTCGTGGCATCTTGTCATCCCACCGCTGCCACCAGTTGTAGAGAGTCCACCAGATGAAGATCGAGAGTCGACACTTCTTTATTTCGCACAAGCTCACCCCACACGCGTCCACCCTACTCGGATTCCTGCCAAGAAGTGCCCCGATCGCCCCGCCTCAACTGGTGACGTCACCTCTCTCTCTGAAAGTTATCCGTCTTTCGCCCCGCCTTCTCTCTCCCTTTCCTTGTGACGTCATCCTAACACTGTAACCTAGGATCCCACGAGTATTTGTACCCATGGGTTTCATAAGTATAAGCACTACACCTGTACCAGAACGGCAAACACAAAAACAATAACCGTCATTCACTAGCGGTGCCAGGCTATGTGCACATTGAGGCCACGCAAGAACACACACACCTACAGCAGCACACACCTATACAGGAACGGCACCCACACTCACAGCAGCACACTTATCAACAGTAGCACACACCTGTACCGGGCAAAGACACACACACCTACAGCAGTACACACACCTGCAAAGCAGCAGCAGCGCATGGGTAGGGGCTCACCTGCAGGATGAGGCGGTACTTGAAGTTGGGCACCTCGGCGTCGCACTTCTCGCAGCGGAAGCTGCCGTTGTTGAGGTCGAGCACCTTCTTGTTGCAGTCGAGCTTGGGGCACGCCTGGTACAGGCAGTTGTCCTTCTTGATGGAGATGATGGAGCCTTTCACCGTCACGTAGTCGGCCTGCGTAGGGCGGGTGGGCGGAGACGAGGGTCGGTGGTGGCCTTGTGTGATGGTGGCAGTGCGTGCACAGAGCGCAGCCCTCTCTGTGGCGCCTCCCTGTATCCGTCTCCATCTCTCTGTCTCTATGCCTCCATGTGCACGTGTCTCTCTCTCTCTATGTCTCTCCCTCTGCCCGTGTGTCTCCCTACCCCCGTCTCCATTTCTCCTTGTCTCCATTTTTCTCCATCTGTCTATTTCTCTGTCTGCTTCAACCTTATCCATCTTCCTTTCTCTCTCTCTCTGTCCGTCTAGTCTCAATCTCCCTCTCCACCTCTTGCTCACCACGTGCTCGTGGCGAGGAGGGGCTATCGTCGCCATCGTTATTCCAACCCCCACACGCAGGACGGTGCAAAGTCATGTGACTATGGCGGCCCACAGAGATCAAAACCAATCTCTGTTTTCGACACATCTTCCCCCCTTCATCAATTCGACATACTACGAATCGCAAAAATGGCAGAGGGGTGGCATCTTACCTTGTCACCATGGCCAAGGTTTTCCATCTTCACTTGGGACAGCGTCTTCCACTGGCTCTCCATGAAGGAGCTGCCGCCGAAGCGCTGCTCGGAGATCGACACCGTCTCCATGTTCTGGCCCTCGCGATCGAACCTGCACATCAATAGCGCGGTTACTTCATGCGTTCCCATAACGTCACGGAAAGCCGAGTCAAAGAGCTTTCCTGCTCATATTTCCTGCCCTATTGACGCGAGGTTTGGGCTACAGAAATGTGTAGTGACTGTACTTGTCACTGTATGGTGCCGGGACTTGCGAAGTCACGGCCGGTAATGTTGTCATTGCGGGCAGCCCGGGTTGCGGGCTGCGGTACCAACACTAGCGGTGGTTGGGTGAGCGCTGGTTAGCGCGGAGGCACTGCGAGCAGTGCGGTGCCGGCTCCCGGTGAGGGAGCGAGGACGAGCGTCAGCCAGCCAGGGTTACTCTGGGGCATGATACTCTGGCTTAGAGGCCGACCGAAATTCGGTTTCGGCGCCGAAAGTTGGCAAATGGACACTTTCGGTTGCAGCCGAAAGTACATTTTTTACTTTCGGTCTGGTTTCGGTTTCGGCCAAAACTGATTTTGACTTTTGGTTGTCAACTGAAGATTTATTTTTAGAATATAACGCTAGTGCTAAGTCTATCAATCGGCACTAGGCAGCTTGCGAGCGAGGTTACAGCCGCAACCATGGTCTGGGGCCGTCAATAAATGACGTCACGCACCGAGGGGGGGGGCGGAAGCGACTGCGTAGCGATTCGCGCGCTGTGCTACGAACCCAGCGGCCCGAGTTTGATTCCCGCTCACGGCCGGTGACGATTATTTTAACTGGTCCTGGGCCTCCCCTAGGTCGACTCAGCCTCAAACGAGTAAGTGGTGTGGTGTGTCAACATCGCCACTGGGGAGACAAAGGCGGCCGGCAGTAGTGCTGGCACCCACCCCCTCGTGTGCCGTGCCGGCCTTCATAGGTGCTCGCTAACAGCACTTGCCCCCTACAGTCTCACAGGCTACACGGGGGATCTTTGTCTTTTCCTGTGTGTGTGGGGGGCGGGGCAGCGACTGCGTAGCGAATTCGCGCGCTGCGCTACGAACCCGGCCGCCCGAGTTCGATTCCCGCTCACAGCCGGTGACGATTATTTGAACCGGTCCTGGGCCTCCCCTAGGTCGACACAGCCTCAAACGAGTAAGTGGTATGTCAACATCGCCACTGGGGAGACAAAGGCGGCCGGCCGTGGTGAATCTAAGTCCCGAGCGAAGCCGGGTAGTAAAGCTCGTATTTAATAAATCTTGTGTTCGGTAACTTCGGTTACATACCTCTCTGTTTCGGTCTTGGTCGAAAGTGTAGTTAAATTTTGATTTAAAGCTTTCGTGACTGCAGTAATTCATATTCTTAGCTCTTTCGGTAAAGTCACGTTGAAGGGAAACAATAAAATATATATAAAACAATAAAAATTCTCACGTTTCGACCATAACACAAACGGTCGTCATCAGGTGTGACGACCGTTTGTGTTATGGTCGAAACGTCGTGATAATTTTTATTGTTTTACATATGTATATTTTATTATTTTATTGTTTCCCTTCAACGTGACTTTACCGAAAGAGCTAAGAATAAAGTGTAGTTAAACTTTCGGTTTCGGCTTCGGCCGAAAGTAATTTTTTTACTTTCGGTCGGCCTCTACTCTGGCTGACCTGTTGTCACATGACCGGACGATACTGGAGGGGGGCCACCGGTGGACAGGCGCCGAGGGGCGGTCACGTGGTCCCGAAAAACTCTCGGGAACATTCAAGAAGAAGCTAGAGAAGCCTGGAAGGTGGGTGGGGCTAAGGGCGGAGCCAGCCCCGGCCCGGGAGCATATAACGAGAGTTCCGTGAGGATCTCGGGGTTCTTCAAGTGTCGGTGTTACGAAGATCCACGTCAGGGAGAAGAAGCCTCTAGCCACGCGGTCCGGGACCCAGCTTGTGGTCCGGACCGGGATAGCGAACCGTGTCTAGTTCTGCCGTAGCGTGGTTAGATGGGCATTGGAGACCCGAGCGTAGGTTGTGTTATGTTACGTACTGTTATGTGAATAAAACGTGTTGCTCCCAAGACAACGTCTGCCACTCAGTTGGACTCACTACAAATGTGTCACGAAGCGATTTAAGCTAATTATCCTTGCTGATCCTGTCAAGAAGCATAAACCATTACAGCAAACTCCGGTTATCCTCGCAGCAGAATCGGATTTTGGCTAGCCATCGAATAAAGATGGTCACCGCGTCGCGTGCTTTCAGGTGCGCTTCTGCGGCCGTCTGAAACGCCCTTCCGATATTAGGAAGCCACTGGAGCTATGGACTTTTATATTATCTAGATTGAAAACTAATTTCTCTAGAACTGCTTTTTGTGTTAAGTTTGTTGTCCTTCCCCCGCACCTCTGATTAGCATGGTTGACTACGTATGGTGTAAAGGAAGTTAAACATACATACAATAATGGTTTCATTGACATTCGCTATAGCAGTTCTACTCAGAATGCAATGCATCAGAAATATTATATTACTTTACTTTTAATGAGTACAACTTTTTTGATTGTGTAAGGGTTGTGTCTGTTAATCAAGAGCTACTATTTGGTAACAATCCATATTCCTATTTAAAACTGTTCATCAGAAAAATGTTAGAACGTAATTCTCATCAGGCCCCATGGTGTTAAGGGCAGTCTACAAATTATTACTACCTGTCTCTAAGCTCTCTCTCTCTACATGCCCTGAAGAAGGGCCACTGCCCTAAACGTTGCCTATTACATATTTCTTCTATCAGTGTTATTGATGAACGTGTTGAGTGTTTTTGTTATTTGTGCTTGTGCACTACTTTCACAGAATAATTTTCTCATGTAAACATTGAGGCGACCTACATCACATGTTCACAGGCCTGAGCCAGTGATGGAAATTCCACATTCCTGTGACAGCAGCAAGTCTCTCCCTAGGGCAACCACTGTTTACTTGGCAACAGTGGCACTCATTTCATGGCGGCGTATTGGGGAGGCATTCGTCCAGCTGTGGATAGATCGTGGCTGATGATGCCAATTCTTGGCTCACAATGAGACACGAGCAGCTTTGCCAATGCTTAGATTAAGACTGTTGTTCGGGTTAAGTGTCGGGGCTCTTACTTGCACTCAGGCTATGGGAGAGTGTAGGGTTAAGTTGCAGTGAGGAGTTATGGGTCTAGTTAGGGTTGGGAGTTTGGGGTCTGGGTTAGGAGTTATTGGTCTAGTTACGGTTAGGCTTAAGGTGTGGTTATGGTTATAGGTCTGGTTAGGGTTAGCATTAGGGTCTGTTTAGTGTAAGACGTCTGGTTATGGGAAGGAGTGGGGGGGGGGGGGGGGGGGGGGTTACCAGCTGCGCAGCTTGTAGGCCTCAGGGATGTCGGGGTTCAACACCATGAGGCTGGAACTGATGAACGAGAGGGAGCGGCCGCCAAAGTCGGAAAGGCGCACGCCCTTCAAGGCCAGCACGGGCTGATTAGCGCCGTTAAACATCTCCGCCTGCACCAGCGACACACCGCACGGGATGGGTGGGGCGGTGGGAATTTAAGAAAATCGTACCAAGTCGTCTCAACTGCCATACTGGGAGATGGGAGTCGAACTGGCGCCATCTGGAGGCCAATTCGTCTGCTCAGCGTTAACCCAGTGGCAGCTGCCCCCTTTCCAAATTCAGAAAAAGTGCTCTTCTTGTTATTTTGGGTGCCGACACCTGTTCTAGACATTTCTATATTTGCCACAAACCGGTTTTTACTGGTTTATCTCACGCCGTTACCGGCAACGCAAAGCAACGGATTTCAACAACCCTATCAATACCCAGAATAAAAACGACGACGATGACACTCACCTCGGTGCCCCACAGGGTCACGCTGACCGTCTTGCAGCTGTCGTCGACGACCTGGATGTTGCGCTTGCTGACCTCACGGTTGCTCGATTTGATGGTGATCTTGGTGGGGTCCTCGAAGCTCGTGCACACGCCCAGCACGTCTACGCGCATTAGCCCAAAAGTCACGCGCGCAAATTACACAACGTTCCCCCCCCCCACCTTTCCCCACCTCCCTGCCGCAGAAGCGGATATCAAAGAATGAGTTTATAACATCTTTTAGAGTGGTCCTCCTATCCACACACTAGGAGGCAGCACTTACCCACCCACCCAGTTAAAGAGTAATATTAATACGCTGGTTTTTTTTTGGTAAAGTCACGTAGGTAGAAAAAAATTATAATAGATCACGACGTTTCAATCGCCACACAAGCAACCGTCTTCAATTGGGAGTGAGAAACAGGCTGCTGAAACAAGTCCTTATATATAAAGCTGAGAGCAGGGATAACCAAAAACATGTCCAAAATCTTGAACAAACACACGATCCAGGTTCGATTCAACACAGTACACAAAATTCGTGACCTGATCCCATCTGTGAAAGATGTGATTCCTGACATGCAATACCCTGGTGTCTACAAACTAAGTTGTGTCTGCGGCAGCAGTTACATTGGGGAAACGAAACGACATGTCTCGGACCGTGTTCGCGAACAAAAGGCAGATTTGAAACACGGCAGAATCAATACCTCTGGGCTGATCACTGCTTGAACGAGGTGGGCTCACACGACATTGTTTTTTTCCGAGACCAAGGTACTCTGCAAACCTTCGGGCTACCATCAAAGATTTGTCCATGAAGCCATCCAGATATATAGACACAGACATCACTTCAACCGAGAAGATGTGTACAAATTGAGCAATCATTGGAAGGACGTTATTAACTAGGTAAAGCCTTAACTGGTTCATCTTCTTTGGTTCTTTCGGTAAAGTCACGTAGAATGAGAATAATAATAATAAATTGATGTTTCCATCCTACCTGTCATTGTCAGCAGTTTTTTCCGACTCTCTGAGTTACATTACCAAGTTACATGTCTTTACTTTAACGGGCTAAATGTCTCACTAACAAAGCCAACGTTGCCCCCTTTCCCGTGATGTGGTGGTGGCTCTCGTTTTTTAGCAGACTATAACTGGCTGTGATGTTGTTGTGTGTGTCTCCCTGTATGTCTCTCTCTCTTTGTGTCTCTTTGTGTGTGTGTGCCTCTCTCTCTGTGTCACTTTGTGTGTCTCTGTGTGTGGGTGTGTCTCTCTGTGTCCCTCTGTGTGTCCCTCTGTGTCCCTCTGTGTGTGTCTCTGTGTGTTTCTCTCTAGGTGTGTTTCTCTCTAGGTGTGTCTCTCTCTCTGTGTCTCTCTAGGTGTGTCTCTATCTGTATGTCTGTGTGTGTGTGTCTCATCTCAGTCATCTCAGTCAGTCGATCCGTGGCACCTGGGTCTGCCCCGTGACCTCCTGCCAGCGGGCGTTCGATACTTCTCGTGGCCTCAAGGTGCACATGGCCTGGCACAAGCGTCGTGGTGACGTCACCGCCACTTAATGGTGAATGGCGGTTGTTGTTGTTGTCTCCTGCTATGCGCTCCATCCCCCAAGTGGCTGATATATCGTCATTACATTGGATCCTGGATCATCTCTGCGCCTTCCCTTCACCCTGTTCAGCGCGCTATTCCCCTAGTGGCTGATATATCGTCGATACACATTGATATGCAAATCTCTCACAATACAATGGCCACTTCCTCAGCATAAGCTCCACCCCCCCCCCCCGGCTCTATATATAAGGACTTTATATTTAAATCTAGAATATAAGGACTTGTTTCAGCAGCCTGTTTCTCACTCCCACCTGAAGACGGTTGCTTCTGTGGCGATCAAAACGTCGTGATCTAATTTTTTTTCTACCTACGTGACTTTACCGAAAGAACCAAAGTACGGATTTCTGCAGTCACGAAAGCTTCAACTCAAGATTGATTAATATTAATTTGATCAACAGAGTTTTCACGCATGGGTGTTTTGTCTCGGAAAGTATAAGAATAGCCGATGGGGCGGCTGTCAACACAAAATGCGCTTGCAGAGTTTGCGAAGAAAAAAATGTTGCCTCTTGTATGGGTCTCCAAATATTGGGCAGAAAGAAACACTTCGTAGAGGAGAAAAAAAAGAATTAATAACACAAATCAAATTGCGGGACAATTCACAGAATCGGAGCGGGTGGTACGTCAAACGACTCCATTCTCTCTCGCCCTCCCTCTCTCTCTCTCTCCGCATCACTCACCCAGGATGGAGTCCTTGTCACGGTCCTGGAGGGAAGCGATGGGCTGGAAGTCATACTGCACCATGGGCAGCTCGTGGGTGTCGGGGCACGGCACCACAGTGGTGTCATTATTGAACGTCATCTCGTAGTCGTTCTTGATGGCCGTGAACTGTTTGTTGGCTGCTTTCAGCGACCCCCGGGAGATGTAGTAAACCTGTACGGGACAAATGCGGACGCGTTAAAACGACGACGACGAACGGTGGGGGCAGGTCGGGGGGTTCGTAGGTTGACCACCGGAACCTTGGCACCGTGGGTGTCGTACCTGGTTCATCTGGATGATCGGGAAGAATTTGTCGCACTGCTCCTTGAAGGCTGTGGCTCTGATCTCTCCCTGCGGGTGGAACGCAGCAAACGCAACGCAGTCAAATCCCGATCACCCGGGATGACAAAAACAACCATGTCACGTGGTGGGTGGTTCTGCGGCTGTTTGCAAAGTTGACTTAGTGAGAGCTCAAGAGACAAGGACGAGTCATTTGCCAAAATGATCCCAGGGGGTCATCATGATGACAAAAGCAATCAACATAAAAACAAAGCAGAGCAAATGAAGCAAAACAGAAATCGGTGCAAAAACAACTGCACTACAAAAGTGTGCAAATGGCACAAAAACGTAACCAAAGTTAAATAAAAAATAAAATAAAAATAAGTTTCGCTCCAACTCACACTCTCATCCGTCAGGTCCATGGAGAACAGCTTCCCCTCCCCGCGCGAGTTGCTCCACGTGCGGATATTCTGCTTGTTGGTGACCCGCGCACGGATCGTCCACCTAGGGGCACCACGGTGGCAAGATGTTAACTACCTCACCTGGTATGCAGGAGGTCGTGGGTTCCATGCCGATCCTGACACCTGCTGTATATTTGGAGTTTGTATGCCCACTAGGGCTCCGTAGCCGCGTCAATTTTTCTCAGGGTCCTCCAAATTTTCCATCCTCATTTAGAATTCACGTGTGTTTAGACTATTTGGCTGCTATACATTTCCACGTGGTAAGCCACTTCGTTGAGCTATCATTTTTGATAGCTGGTCGCTTTTGTAAAAGAGCTACAAAGCTCAGTGGGCCTTAACTGATAAAATAATACTTAATTGTTTAATTTATAGTTTTGAACATCAGTGGGCCGATGCGCACATCTCCTTCATGAATGGCAAAATAAAAGTCACAAGCTACAGTAGTGCGATTGTGGCCATCTAATCCCAACTATGGACCCGTGCATGAAACCACCGTTAGTCTGCGCTCCTTCAACGGAAGAGGAACAGCAAAACTACACAAATGCTCTCTCTTCTCTCTCTCTCCTGGTGCCCTCTCGTCATGGCCTGCAGACCTTGATGTGGGTTATCTAGCTCCTGAACACATTGCACCAATACACAGGAATGAAATAGACGAACACACAATTAACACGTTTCGTACAGCGAACAGCTGGATTGGAAATGTTCACGTTGAGGTCGCGGAGTGAGCCAGTGGACGGCTTCGACAGGCCGATGGAATGCTGCGAGTGAATGATCAAAGCGGGTATTTGTAAACTGGGTGGAAAAAAAGGGCCAGAAATAATTTTTCTAATTATATATTTTTTAACCAGAAAAGGAACGCCATTGTTCCGTGAGCCGACCGATGACGCACTTGTTCTGGTAAGGGTTGAGGCTGGTGATGGGCACCACACGGACGGCCGAGCCGCCAGGAGTCATGGGCGGAGCGGGGTGGTACGCGGAGGAGCCGCCGCTCGCTGCCTTAACCATGGGTCCCCCCCCGCCAGCACCAAAGCCACCGCCACCGCCACGACCAGTGCCGGCACCGCCTCCAAGGTACCCTCCACCTCCCGCGCCTCCCCCACCATTTGCCGCCACTGTCTGGTTACCTGTGGGACACACAAACACACAACGATCACCGGTATATCCTGAGCAGACTGTTTGGGGTAACATTGTTGTTAGCGAGCGCCTATTAAAGGCCGGCATTATTTCCTCTATAGCAACGGTGAGACAAGCCAATAAAAAGGAAGCCGTCTCTGGTGAAGGCCAATCAGTTTCAAAGACAGTGCATACGTGATCATCAAAGCATATTTGTTTTAATGTTTTACCACAGACTTCATGCCTATTTAGTGATTGAACATTTTAACATCTTCTGTATTATTGCCAGAGAGGATAAAGCCTTTTCTTTTTGAGCAGCTGAGATCTGCTGCTGCTCCGAGGTTGTGGGGAGCGGTGGCGCAGTTGTTAGCACGCAGTGCTACAAAAACCCGGCACCTGAGTTAAATTCCCGCTCACGGCCCTGGTGTGGTGTGTAAAAAAACATCGCCCCTGGGGAGACAAAGGCACCGGGGCGTGGTGCTGGCCACCTACCCCCTCGTGCACTACCCCAAAGTCTGCAAGCAATGGCGGAGCCAGGATTTTCAGGTGGGGGGGGCAACCCCTCCAGCAATGAAAAATGATAGTTGTTAGTAAGGACTTGTCCCTTGCTGTTTATTCGATGCGTGTGTGGCGATGGCACAGCCATCGATCGAGGGTCGAATTAGAAACCGTGATCGGCATCGCGCTCGCTGAAGGTGAATGCCTTCAGGGAAGTCGTGTACTGTATACGCAACTGCGCACAATTCTGTGAGTCACTTATAACTGCTTTGCCGTTACTTATTGCTAATTATGGACTCAGACTATTGTCCTATCATCTCAGAGTCCCTGGCATATATTAATATGCTACACAGTGGCAGTGGGGGTCGCAAAATGCCGATTTATTACGAATAAACCCCAATGATCTGATCGAAATCCCTAATTTCGATTAGGGGCACGTGCCACCCCACCCCGCCCCCCCCACTGGCTCCGCCAGTGTCGTCACGCAAACTCAAGCTGTGCATTAAGCATCGCCCACAGTAAGATTACGCATTACATTTCACAGTCTGCAGTGACTTCATGCAGAGGGCACCACTGATCGCCCCTGCTAGTTAAGTCAGCCCATCATCATCTGCTTTTTGTGTTTTGTTTGTTGTCCTTCCCCTGCACCTCCGATTAGCCTGGTTGTCTATGTACGGTACGACAGAAGTTCAACATACATACATCATTGCCATCTTTCTAGAGGGGTGATAAATTAAGGACCGCTTTTCATTTGAAACTAATATTTTACAGCTGTAAATCTGCAAGAGAAATGTAACATTTTCTACCATCGTTTGCAACTATTGCCATCATTTTTTTCTACATTATGCTGTGGTTTTGTCCAAGTTATTTGTACCAGTGAGTCCATATATGAGTATGTATGAGTAAGTCTGGATATTAGTGAGTCTGTGTACGAGTGAGTCTGCGTACAAGTGAGTCCGAGTACCAGTGAGTCTGTGTACGAGTCTGAGTACCAGTGAGTCTGAGTACGAGTGAGTCTGAGTACGAGTGAGTCTGTGTACCTGTGAGTCTGTGTACGAGTGAGTTAGCGTACGAGTATGTCTATGTATGTTTCTGTATATGATCCTTATGGCGGTACCCCGGGGTACCAAATAATACAAATTGGCCGAGGCAATTTAATATTTTATTTCTGGAACACTTTTATTTCTAGGGGTGTCCTTAACTCCGCGACTGGGGTACCAATCAATCCGAAATCAGTGCTACTCCGCTATGTCGAAACGCAGCGAGGACAATTGCGCTGAGAACGCTCGTATGCACCATAGTGCATCGTGTACAGCTCGTCGAGATGAGTCGATTGCCGCATCACCGACCATCAACGGACTAAAAATGACTGCATCACAGACATTATGCGAGAGCTGGGGTACTATGGTACCCTGGGGTATCACTATAAGGTTCATATGTACGAGTCTGTATATGTATGAGTGTGTGTGATCGAGTCTGTGTACAACTGAGGTTACGCTCAATTGTTTATTTTATCTACGTAACTTCCTCTGTAATGTTTCTGCAACGCCAACCACCAACTAGGGCTGGACACCTGTGAACAAAAGCTTCACACCACATCGACCACTCCCAGCCGCAACCAACTCTGTGTCTACAATCAATAGAAAGTCAAACTTGGGCAGAGGTAAACCGACAGACTGCTCCCGATCACGGCAACGTGCAAAGTCACCATCACCAGTGGCACGAGGAAGCGGGGAGCGAGGTTTGTGCGTCACCTTGCTGCGCCTTGCTGCCTCCATCCGTGTGGGGCTGGGGGTTCCCGATCTTCCCGCCTACCTCCTCGGCCGACATCACAACGTCCATCTCCATAACGACGACCACTCTCCTGCGGGGGAATCGCGACGGCAACACCACCAGCGACGACGTCAAGCAGCGCCCCCCCACCCTCTGCACCACGCTCCTGATCGTCGTCGCCTACACGAGTAGGGAAGTGGAGCCCAGTGACCTTTTGCCAGTCCCTATCCCGATGCAGTTCTAAAACGGGTATATTAATACATGTGTAGTGTATGTCGACTGAGGCGCACACACACCGTTGTAGGAGGCAACGCGTTTATTAAACAATTCACTGTACACCGGGTTCTGTTGCTAAGTGTGGCTAACTTGTTCTAGGCTGCTCACTATGTGCACGTCTGTTAACTCTCTTGATCCCCAAATCCCCCTCGCGCTCCCCCTTTATCCCTTGGCCCCGACCCCGCCCATTGCTGTATCAAGGATGGCGCCCCCGCTCCGGCCATGTGTCCTTAACTCCTCCAATCAAGACACCGCTTCAAGTCACGTGCCCTTGACTCCTCCAGAGAGGAAGCAAGTCAGTCTGGTAGTCAACATGGGTTGGCAGAATCCTCACTGTACGTAGCAACCGGTTAGCACGGTTGGCTATGTACGGTGAAAAAGAAGTTCAACATAGACACGTGTCAAACTAAGACCCATATTTATCATACAGGGTCCCTGCCATAGCACATCTGGCAGTTCACCAGCATTGGTTCAAAGAAGCCTGACTGCTTGCAAGAACCGAATGTCGAAACCGGTGCAGAGTTTGCTTGTTTTCAATCAATGTTGCAGACATTATACAGTCTCAGAAGGCCATACAGCTGATAGAATTACTCTTTGGTTGTTTCGGTAAAGTCACGTAGGAAGAAAATAAATTAAATAATAAAATACGACGTTTCGATTGCAACACACGCAACCGTCATCAGGTAGAACTAAATTTGAGAGAGACAAAATACAGACATGGAGACACACAGACAGACACACAAGCAGAGAGACAACACAGACACACAGAGAGAGACACACAACATAGGCACATTCATTTATTTTCTTTCTACGTGATGTTACCCAAATAACCAAAGAGTAATTCCTGCAGTCACGAAAGCTTCAAATCAAGTTTGAGCTGATAGAATGTTTAAAAAACTTTTTTTTTACGTGGAGTGACAGGAAGGATGCGGAGTCTGCTTATTCTTTTGTTTCGTTCACACTGGAATAATCGTCGCCAGTTATCGTGACTCCGCGTTACAGATGGGACAGAGACGGGCCGGTTGGCACCGATGCACACAAACCCGTGTCTTTTTGGAAAGCATCGAAAAAGGTCACGGGGTCGTCATTGTGGCGCACGCAGTCGAGTGAGCGAGTGAGCAAGCGGCCACTCACCTGCCATCCTTCATGTCGTTGAGGATGAACTTGTTAAGCCGGCACAGCGTGTGGGTCTTCACCTTGCCCTGCACCACAAGCGGGTTCAGCTGTGTCGCCAACATGACGGCTGTAGTCAGGCACAAAAAGCGGGGGGGGTACCGTGGTTGAGATGCAGCACAACTCACAACACATGTATGGCCAAACAACCCCCATTAACAGCACAGCGTGGGCATGCCCTCATCTAGCTGTGGATTGACACGGGGCTGCGCACGTGTACATTTCCTTGATGAAGAATGTTATTGTCGGTGTGTGTGTGTTATGGGCCTGCCGTGGTGCTAGCCACCCACCCTCCTCGGGTGCTGTGCCGGCCTTTATAGGTGCTACTCGCAAACAGCACTTGCCCCAACAGTCTGTTCAGGCTATGCGGGGGATATGTTTGTTTTGTGATGGGTGTGTGGTGGGCAGTGCATGACGGACGTGTGTGTGATGGGTTTGTGAGAGTGATGTCTGTGATGGGTGTGTACTGGCTGTGTGTGTGATGGGTGTTGTACCCTGCTGTGTGTGCGTGAAGACTGTGTGATGGGTGTTTGTGTGATGGCCGTGCGCGATGGGTGTGTGAGAGTGATGTATGTGATGGGTGTGTACTGGCTGTGTGGGTGATGGGTGTGTACTGGCTGTGTGCGTGATGGGTGTGTGATGTGTGTACTCTTTGACTTGATTACGCACACGAGTGGGAGTGGACCCCGTCGCTGATGAGCACGCGATAGCGCTCAACAGTGTTGCCCTGCGTGTTGGGCACCGGCTTGAGAGCCTGCAACCCACATCGTCACAGCAATCACGCAGTAGCATCATTGGTCATGCTCATTCCACTGCTGAAAGGCCTTCTCCAAGCCTTCGTCACCTCTCACAATCGAGCGATGCAACAATCCTGCCAGCACCTTCACATGAGTCGATCTGGTCACGGAATGCACTCCAACAATTTCAGTGCCTTGTGTGCGTTATTTGTTTCAATAATGCAGTTCACTGCATGTGGATTTTGAACGTGGAGTAAGAAAATGTAAATTAACATCGATTATTACATTTTGTGTGCAAGAATCTGTTTTCAAATTCGTGTATATCCTGCAAAGCAGATTTATTTCGCTGGAGCGTCGGACAATGATTGCTACGCCCAAAATAAACGTGGCATGGCTGGTGACGGTTCGATCTCCCAGAGATTTAATAAACGGTCACGATCTAGGCTTGCGATCCGGGGTCGCAATCCGGGGTCACAATCCAACTCAAGGATCGATTAACGACTTCATTTTATCATCTCTTTTGTATTGTTTTATTTGTATTGCTTCTGTGAACAGTTTTGTTCGAGCAATTGTAACATGAGCACAGATTTCACCTAAATTGTGATTGTAATTATTACTGACTTTTATCGAAGCGTGATCTCCATTCTATCTATACTTCAAGTGTAGTCATTGTTACTAATTATTCTAGGATTTTTCTATTTCAATCGGATTCCATCTAAACACCCAAACTTTTCCCATTGCGGGAATTGCATTCTTGAACATAGCAGCAATTGGCAATTCCGTGATCCGCAAACTCAAAGGAGAATGGGGAAAAATGTGTTTTGGGTCACGGTTCATAATACGACATCCACCCCTCCTTTTGTTTTATGTTACGCTACATTACCCCAAATATGAAACAGTATTTTTTTATTTTGATTTAAAGCTTTCGTGACTGCAGGGATTCATATTCTTGGTTCTTTCGGTAAAGTCACGTAGAAGGGAAGCAATAAAATAATAAAAATATAAAACAATAAAATTCTCATGACGTTTCGACTGCAACACAAGCAATCATCATCAGGTGTGAAAACCACAACAAGAAAATTTGTAAAAAGTATTTTTTAGTATTTTTTATGTCAAATATTACTAATATTTCTATTGTCTTAAATATAACTCGTGCAGCAAATGTATAGAATTAAAAAAAAAGATAAATCGTGAGGCTGAACCTGCCTCACTGGATGCTGGAAACATGTGAACTGGCACCTGCGATGGGGTGTGTACTCTTCAGTAGCAGCGTCATCGCGAGCAGTGCAGTTAAGAGTAAACAGTACTTTTTTATGATGCATACAGGGCATCTCGTGGCCAACCGTGGATGGTCAAGCCACACAGGGACGCAATCGGTGATCTATATATCTCTATATTTGGCGTGAAAGTTCAAATCTGTGATGGGAAAATTTAGTTTTCTGAGTGTAAATATTACTATTACTGGCTTTCATAGAAGTAAATTATTTGTATCCTGCGAGTATAGTTGTAATTATTATTGGCTTTTACTGCATTTTAATTGGATTTTATCTACACTTGAGTAGTTTTTTTAATGTATGGCGCTTTGGGATATTTCGATATGAAAGGCACTTTATATAATTAAGATTTTTTTCAAACAAATCTCGAAATTATTTTCATTGCTCGATGCGATGCAATTTCAGTACCAGCATTGCAGTCTTACCGTCTTTTATACTGTATGGTACCTGATGATCGCAAATACTACAATTAAATGCATTATACGTATCGTATTGTTCTAAATTGAATTTCATGACTTTGCAATCGGCATGGCCGTTATTCTAATTGTAACAGCCGTGATGCGTGCTGTTAACCTTTCATTACGTAGGCTGTTGTTGTGTTGCAATGCGCATGCTTTCATTTATTGTATGGACAAGGGTTGACATAGGCAAAGCCATCATTGCCATCTCTACAGGGTCATAAAAAATGTAGGTAAAAAGCAAGCTTTTCAATGCCCACACTTTTATTTGTACTCTAAAGTACAAAATACATTATTTTGACCCCATAATTAATCACATTTGATGTGCACAAAAAAGTGGGTGGCTTTCACTAAGAAAATGTAACATATTGAAAGTACGCCACCCACTTTTATTCAGCACATGAAATGTGATTGATTCTGGGGTCAAAATAATGTATTTTGTACTTTTAGAGTGCAAATAAAAGCGTGTCCATTGAAAAGCTTGCTTTTTACCAAAATGTTTTGGAGTCCTGCTGTTGTAGTAGTGTAACATGCAGCTGCTGTTGTGGTTCATCTGTTTGGCACTCACCAGAACCTGCACCACCGGCCTAATGGGGGTTTTCCCTTCCACGATTTGCTGAAAAAAACCAAAGAAATGCACACAACGCAGTCCAACTGTGATCACACAATTACATTAGCATCGTTGCAAATATAAAGTTCCCCCGTTTTAGCTGTTCGTGAGCACCTATAAGGCTGGCAAGAAACACGAGGTAGGTGGCCAGCATTTTACTCGGCCGCCCTTGTCCCCCTAGTGGCGATGTTTAGACATAGCACCAAGTACTCATTTGAAGCAGCGTCGATCTAGGGGAGGCCCAGAGTCGGTTCAGATATTCGTCACCAATGTTGGCCATGAGTGGGAATCAAACTCATGTTACCAGCTCCGTCGTGCAGCGAGCTAGCGGCTACACTACCGTTACACACACACACCAACACCAGACTTCCACCTAAGTGGTACAGCTATTGAGGATTGTGCGGGCAGTGTAACTGCACCAAGCCCAGGTGCCAGGCTAAGAGGAAGATGGGGGGGGGGTAACTGGACAGGGGTTAACTACCAAAACCATGGCAACTAAGCCTGGGGTCAAGTGTCTCCATACCCAACATGAACACATGGCACTGTTCGCCTCTCGTGGGTGCAACGAGCCAATGGTGGAAATTCCACATTATCATGGCAGGAGAGTAGTCTATTCATTGGGAGTATTTCAAGCTGTTGTGCTGCACCAAGGCACATTGATTATGGAGTGTGGTTGGCATGCGTGGTTGGATCGTGTTTTTTTTTACTTACGAGATTTTGTTTGCAGTGTATATTGTTGGCAAGGGCACAGCTGGAGTGTTGCAAACTGCCCTGTGACCTCAGCTATATGAGTTCGATTCCCGGCCACATCTAACATCAGTGGCGAGTAGATACCTGAAACTGCTCTAAGGACGCTTCCCTCTAAACCCCAACCCGAAATTACCAGCGTGGTGAAGTATGGTCATATGATAATGGCGGCAATTTAACTCGAGATCACTCTACCAGTACTGTACAGTAATGGGAGGTGCAGTCAACAGGTTGTGAGAGTAGCATCGGGGTTGGGGGTGGCCAGGACCGGTTGGATCAGACATCACTCGCTTGTGATATTCGCCGTGGCCTGGAATCGAACTGGGAGGGAGGCGAGGGTTCCTATGGGGCCGTGTCGCAGCGGGTAGCGCGCTGCGCTATGATCCCCCCCCCTCTCCATCACCAACTCGTGTGATGTATGGTAAAACAAAGATCCCCCGTGTAGCCTTTAACAGACTGTTGGGGCAAGTGCTGTTAGCGAGTAGTAGCACCGATGGAGGTCGACAAGGTACACAATGGGGGTGGGGTGGCCAGCACCACGCCCGACCGCCTTTGTCTCCCCAGGGGCGATGTTTACACATCCCCACCTAGTCCTCATTTGAGGCTGAGTGGACCTACGGGAAAATCTTCACTGGTGTTGGTGGCCGCGAGCGGGAATCGAACTCGGGTCGCAGGATTCGTAGCGCTAACCGGCTACACTACCGCTCCCCACCCCCGCCGAGACGACTTGGCGAGGCTCTCCCATCCAGCAGTGGATCGAGCTCGGGGAACTTTGCAAGCGCGCCACGCGGACTGCACAGGCCTAGTTTGTTCGATCAACAAACAGCCCGAACAATCAGCAAACAGCGTCGATCTGGACAATACAGTACATTATTGCTCTTGTCGTAAGGTGATGATTAATTGGCGCAAAAATGTTTCCGTTGTTTTTAATTAGCCGGCATGAACACATTAAAGGGTTTTCGCGGGTGCGTTTTCGCGCCTTCGCTGGGCCGCGATGCTGAAACGTCACTCAGGGTTCTCCCCTCCCCGCCTCGCCTCTCTCATCCAGCAGTGGATCGACACACTGGGATGTGCAGCATGCCGCGGTCTCTACACGTCTCTTCACTGCTGGATGAAGGCCCACATATTCATATATACTTCACTGCTGGATGAAGGCCCACATGTTCATATATACTTCACTGCTGGATGAAGGCCCACATACTCATATATACTTCACTGCTGGATGAAGGCCCACATGTTCATATATACTTCACTGCTGGATGAAGGCCCACATACTCATATATACTTCACTGCTGGATGAAGGCCCACATGTTCATATATACTTCACTGCGCTGGTCCGGATACATCGCCCGCATTTACAGACACTGGGTTCTGTTTAACCGTTCTATACACTGTACTGTTTATGTAACTTTACGCACTATTTTAAACCAATACTCATTTACGGACCTCTGTAAATCCACTGCTGGATGAAGGCTTCCCCAAGCAATGTCGGTCATGGGGGGGGTTTAACCATACTTCATCGAACTATCAGTACGAATTGATATTGGGAGGGGGTGCCGTACCGGTTCAGATAACAATCTGTGATTTATGCGTGTTAGAATGGACTAATGTGCAAGTTGTGTACGAGAAATGCGCACGTGATGTGTACTTAGCATGTGATTTGGGACCTAACCAGCCGGAATGAGCCCGATCCCGGTCAGATTACGGAGAAGCTCTGCAGTTGTGTGCCTGGCTAAGTGCTTGGAAGCTGCGGACGTCTTGCACAGCGGGTTCTGGTCGCGGTGCAGCAGTAGAGGGAGCAGTACAGCCGAGTTAATTGTCGGACTGTACTTCTATGCTCCAGTCTATGCTCCCACAAAGCACAGGGAGCCAACCACACGAACGGGGGTAGGGGACTCTCACTAAGCCGCAGACTGACAAAGGTGATGTGTATCGCTATGTATTCGTACACGTGTGTGCAGCTTATTGTGCATTAATATCTATTAACATGTAGATTTAACATTGTATAGTCATGCTTTTTCACGGGTGTATTAGTGTGTGTGCTAGAATAGCAGTATACACGCGTGTATAAGTTTATACAGGTTGTAGCACGTGTCGCAGCAGTAATTGTTGAGTAGTCGAGCCGTCGTGGCCGAAGCCGTCTTTGCCACCCATATTTATATCAATACAACTCGGCACCCTCGTCATGGTGCTATGAAAAAGGTCCATTGCCCGAAACGTCACCTTTTATATTTATTTTGCCTGTTTAAGGCAGTAATCGACCAACGCGTCGAGTGTTTGTCATATGTAACTTTACTTTCGATATTTTATAATTGTGCTTTTGCACATCTGCCAACGTAGTGTGTCAACCTAGCAGTGATAGAGGAGCCGAAGAGCCTCCTCCCTCCCCAGTCTCACCGCCACGGCCCCGTCCGTGATCCCGAACTTCGTGTAGCCGCCGTGGCCGATCATTGTTCACTTTGTTGCACCAACGTCTTCGATGAACGCCTCTGCTGCGACCTCGTCGTCTTCTCCCCTCTTTTTGTTTAACGCGAAACTCCGCGAACCGACGACCCTTTCTTTCCCGCCACCAGCCACCTCCCGCCAAATCCCCGCGCCACGTGACGAGGGGTGACGTACGTTCCCCGGCAATCAACCAATCGCCGCGCGGCATCACGCTCCGTCACCCACCCCGAGTCTAGCAACGTTCATTACCCGCCCATTCGGGCGCACGTTGACCAATGCGAGAGTTAGATGGGCCATGACGTCACGCGGATGTGTTAATCGCGCCGCCATTTTACCTAGGGGAGATAAAACGTGTTGCGAATGTGACGTCATACCGTATTCGATTATAGTTGTGATGGAAAAAAAGGGCCAATTCTTGAAACGTCGCCAGTTATTCATTGTTTTAAATACATATTTTAACGGCATTGTTATTGACTAATGGGGTGTTTTATTTATTTATTTTGTGCTTGTGCGCCACTGCCATCGCAGAATCGGCATCAACACGTTATTTGTATGAAGGGATGGATTGCGTCCGAGAGGACATCCACCCAGGAGACGGAGAGATGAAATAAGCCCCGTGTGCTGGTGCTGAGTGGATTATTAATATCGCAGGATCTGGAGAGGTAGCGGCTTTGGAGAGGAAGTGGACTGAACATGGCTGATGATGAATATTGAATTCAATGTGTGATTTAAACAAATATATTTAAATGTATAAAATCATGGGCATACAACACAGTATGATATCGTATATAGACGGTCGTATGTGATACACTGTACGTTTAATTTTCTAGAAGGGCTAGAGAGCTGAAATGTAAAAAATATAGCAATTTTTCGATTTAAAGCTTTCGTGACTGCAATGATTCATCTTCTTTGGTTCTTTCGGTAAAGTCACGTAGAATGAGAATAAAAGAATAAATTGATAAAATAAAATAACAATAATATTCTCACGACGTTTCGGCCACAACACAAGCGGCCTTCATCAGACAGTCTCGTCCCTTCACCTGATGAAGGCCGCTTGTGTTGTAGCCGAAACGTCGTGAGAATATTATTGTGTTATTTTATTTTATCAATTTATTATTTTATTCTCATTCTATGTGACTTTACCGAAAGAACCAAAGAAAATATAGCAATGTCAATGGTTATCAGAAGAGCAATCGGGAAGTTCCGATGGTATGATTTATGTGCGTCAGCAATAGGGGAACACACGAGTTCTGTGACGTATATTTAAATCCCCTCCCTTGCGCGTCATCTCTGGTGACGTCATCGCGCTTGAACCAGCAACGGCTCTGAGTTGTCATCAATGTACTAATAAACTCCTTAAAAATACTTTTTTTAAACAAACGGTTTTATTTTTAAAGTGCACTAAATAGTAAAAAAATAATATATTTTCACGCGTCACCAGCTGATCAGAATATTTTTTGACATTGTAACTAAAAAAAAACCGTGGAGCGCTCCTTTAATATTTGTATGCATAACTAGCTGTACTACCCGGCTTCGCCCGGGACTTGGATTCACCACACCCGGCCGCCTTTGTCTCCCCTGTGGCAATGTTTACACACCGCACCAGGTACTCATTTGAGGCTGAGTCGACCTCGGGGAGGCCCGGGACCGGTTCAGATAATCGTCACTGGTGTTGGCCGTGAGCGGGAATCGAACCCGGGTCGCCAGATTCGTAGCGCAGCGCGCTAAACACTACACTACAATGCGTTACGCTTCCACATGCGAGCGTCACGTGACAAATTTGGCGTCAGCTCACTTGCCGTGCAAAAAATAAATACATTGTTGAGCTCCCCCCTCCTCTAAAAAACACAAAAGTGTATTTTTTTTATTTTTGCATGGTGTACAGTCTGGAAAGTACCCACATGGCAAATTTCAAGTTTGTTGCATGTCGGGAAGTACGCTAAACATTTTGAACAGACACACATTCACAACTTTGCCTTTTATATATATGGAGATGAGTTGCTTTAGCATTTTTGTTTGGTAAAAGTTTATTTGTGTGATACAATGTATGTCTAAAGTATTTTAAATCATCAGTAGTAGAAGGGAAAATGTTGATAATTATGTAATTTAAGAACATTTACAAATGTTTTGAGTATAACGCAGTGGGCTCGCACGATATTATTATTTTCCAAGACCAAGGCAAACCTTCGGGCTACCATCAAAGATGTGTCCATTAAGCCATCCAGATATATAAACAGAGACAATTCCAAGCGACAAGATGGTATAAACTGAGCAATCATTGGAAGGACGTTATTAACCAAGCAAAGTCGTAACTTGCTGTTGTGCTTCCATTCTTCCCTGCCGTTTGGCTGTTATCTCCGACTCTCTTGAGTTGCATTGCCCAGTTAGGTGCCTCGGCATTAACGGGCTGGGGTCTCACTAACATGGCCACCGTTGCGGTGGTGCTTCGCTGGAAGTTCGCCACCGTTCTCGTTTTCATCGATGCAAATTTCTCACATTGACATGCTAATCTCTCACAATACAATGGCCACCCCCACAGCTTCGTCGTCGTGGGAATTGCTCAGCTCTCCGATCTTACATTTACATGCAAATTTCATATCTAGCCCCGCCCATTCACCCTTGGGCTACACCCATCTCAAACCTTTATAACATCCTGCCTTAGCAGCTGTCCCGCCATATATTTTTCCTGCCTCAGCAACTCTCCCGCTATATTTATTTCACCTGATAACGATCGAAACGTCCTGATATTGTTATTATTATCTTTTTATGATTTTTTCTATCTACGTGGCTTTACCGAAAGACCCAAAGAATATGAATTCCTGCAGTCACGAAAGCTTTAAGTCAAGCGATGTTTAGCTCGTCGGATTCCTCTACGATAAATCCATATTCTGATTCCGATGTTGTTTTTAAGATACCGCATTGGTGGTGGTGCCCAGCATAAATAACAAATATTTAACATTTTCGTCAATAACGCCCCAAAAAGGAAAAATATTCGACGTTTCAGACAATGGCTCTTTTTCATTGTTGTTCAACCACCACATTGCTGGCCAAACACACTTGTCTGCTTCCTCCCTCGCACTGCTCGACTTTGGATCCCCCTTGAATAACCTTGCTCGATTCAAGAAGCGTGTTGAGTCTTCATCTGTTACAAATGTGTTTGCGCTGCGTATTGCTGGCCGCTTGCCGTTTTGCTCCTTTGCTCGGGAACTTTGTTCAGTCCAATGCTGGATGAGGACCTCCCCACGTCGTGCACATGCCGGATAATTGGGGCAGTTTAGTTGAATACTGTTTATTATTTCACGGTTGCTCAGCATAGGTCCCAAACGCCAAGCGTCCAGCAACAGACAGCATTATTGAAGGTAGGATAGATAAGAGTCCACTCTTTTTTGACCAGAGCAAAGTTATGATAAATAGGGAAAGGAGTAGATGGGAGCGAATTATAAAGTAGAGGAATGCGAGGGAAGAATCCAAAAGGGAGTCGTTGTGACCTGCGGTGATGGGTGCAGATGAGACGAAACAAATCAGCCTGGTTGGCTTGAGTCCTGAACATGGGTGGAGGAATTCATGAGCGAAGTTGGATCGAAACGGTAATCATGGTGACGATAGAAGAGTCATCAGGAGGCTAGTGACCGCCTGTGAGCGAGTGATTGGAGTAAATCGGTGAGTGCAGTTTCATAAATCACACTGGCTGCTGCTTTACTCTGAATTCTAGCAGGAGCAGTGAGGCAAGAACTGGGTGTCCAATCCCAGATATCACAGCAACAGGATTTCAACTTCGGCCGAATTTGTGCTTTGCATAGCAGCAATAATTGTTCCGAGTTAAGCCGGCTTTAAAACGGAAAAAGAAAACGAAACTTCTTTGATGCATCTTTAATCGGATTCGTATAATTATAGCCATTTCATGGCAGGTCTGATGAACGCGTTGTTCCAAAGAGACGAATGAATTTACTATGGCCGAGAATAACTTTGTTTATTATTATGGGATGAACTTATGGCATGTCCTGCCTTACGTGGTATGATCATTGACTGGGTTTGAGATGAATGTGACCGGGCTGGTGTCACCTCATTGTTAAATTGTTTGAAAGTCAATGGTGATTTATAGTAAAGTTCGGGTAAAATGTGCACAGCATTGCCGGAGGAACGCTAAGAGGTAACGGTGTGAAGGCAGACGCGACGAGGCAGAGGTTTCATTAAAACTTGTAACGTTTATATAAGCCAAGTATTTACACTTTAAAAGTGTGAAAGATAAAACAGTAAACGGCAATTGTACACATACATAGAAAAAAGTTACTTCACAAACATGCGCCGTGTACGAGACTTGACTTTTCCCTCCGGGTCCGCCCGCAAGTTAAAGGCGACTGTACGCGTTTTATGTTCTTATTACTATACTGTACTCTTTTCTTACAAAAAAAAAGTTTTAATGGTCTTTTTTTATTTTCTCTTCCTGTTTTGAAACTCGCGACACACCTTCATAGCAAAACTACATGAACGGCACGCGTTGTATGCACGATAATAATTAGCACGTCCTGACATCACAGATACAACGTCCGTGTGCACCACTCGCTGGCCGGTTGAGTGACATCACCTCTCGCTCGCTCATTCGTCCATTGCGCACGCGTTTTGCACGAGGGTTGCCGCGATATATATAAAAATCCCCATGATAGTGAATAATAGTTAAAAAACACGCAATTTAGTCGCTCCTTGGCCAATCCACTGGTGGATGGATGATCTTAGTTATTTAACGCTTAATTTTTCTGAAAATCCTCACGCAGTTTTCAACTCTTTTTCGGAAGCTCCTTCTAGTTTTCATGGTAAGGACACGAGGTGGCTGCGTAATCCCAATCCAGTAATTTGCGGGTAATATTTTCAGCAATGGGATGAATGGCCATGTTCATTTTTAGTTATTGGAGGGAACCCATGCAGAACAGATGGGAGAACTTACGAACTCCACAGTCAGAAATCCGAACCCAGGCGTTTCTTGCTGAGGCACCAATGTTATCCCACTGTGCCACCAGCCTGCCGCCAAACACGATCTGTCGATAATGGTGGTTGTTCAACTGGACTTCTGCGTAAGTTATTAGCGGTTGTGCTGTAGCCTGTATGGCTCTCCAATATTGTACGGTGTTGTTCGACATGACCGAACAGCACGTGGATCGAAACATCGCAATTGCCGAACGAGTAGTACGACCCCAAAGCAAAAATATTTGCAAGACCATACTTCACCACGATGGGCAGTGCGAGTTCGGATGGTTGAGGTGGGACGGTTCAGAAATCACTCGCCACTGATGCTAGCCGTGGCTGGAAATCAAATTCGGGTCATCACATTCTTAACTACGGTGTTATTCCATTTCCACAATATGTGGAATGCCATGAATTTGTAATTGAGATTATATTGTTGCAGTCTTCGCAGTATTCGCTGAACGTTGAGCCAACGCTGATCCAGCGATCCCAACCACATGCCAACGTTGGCATGCTTACTCGGCTGTTTTTGAGCTTTGCCGAACGGTTGATTACCAAAGTTCAACACTTCACTCAACATACGCCTGCCATGTCTTCTCATCATTGCAACGTTATAATCTATAACACTCATATAACGTACACGCCGTCAGGTGCCCAAGAAATAACTGCACCATCCACGGCAATAGTCTACGTTTACTTTAAGTTGTCCGTGCAGGAAACAACCAGGTTCATTGGGACATTGCGATTTATTTAAAAATGTAATTACTGTTTGTGATTTCACAACTATTCTTATCGGAGAATGAGATATAAAAAGTAACCAGGGATATTTAGGTAAATCGAGAGATACATTATCCTGGACAATCGCCAGATCGCGACCACCCTAGCGTGCAGGACCACCCACGTACGCAACGCGACAGTGCGTGTGCACACATATACATAGGTAAGTTAAGGTGAACTCTTGCTACTACATCGTTGGTCACTGTCACGACAATAAGTTAAACCTCTTGATAAATCCACTTCTGGATGACGAGACTCCTGCCCCCATGCCGTGTGTGGTTCGTAGATGATCGGGCGATTTGTTTGACCATACTTCACCACGCCAGCCGATCAGTGCGGATTAATGATGCAAGGTAATTTTAAAAGGGTAAACATGTGCTTTTACAAAACAGGAATTCAATTAATTCGTCAACGTCGAGACCTGTTGTTCACAAACTTCAGTTATTCCCTTTACGAGACAGATTTGAATTAAATGTTTTTAAATAGGTCAAAGTGCCTCCATGATTGCGACGGCATTAATTGGTGCTCGTCTCAATCAGCGGACCTGAGCCAAAAAGTGGTACTAATTTTATCGACATCGGAGGAATCATGGGCTAAGTCAACCCCCAGTTGGGATTTGACCTTGAACACAAGACCTTCCCCCCGTTTGTTCGAACTGGTAACTTAATCTGTATATGTATTGCATACGCACTAAACACTCTATAAAGTGCATAGACCCTCCTGTGTATTAATACGCATACACACACGTATATAAACGCGTGCAGCACGTATGTTGGCATATGTACACGTGTGTGTATTGCGGGGGGGGGAGGGGGGGCTGGCTTAAAAATCGTTCGATCGCATCAGAAATCCCACTCAAAGTTGTGTATTCAAAATGCATTATCTACTTTTGAACGGAAAAAGCCAGCCACAGATGGTGGTGATCAGGGCTTAATTTCAGCCGGTGATGTCTAGGGCTCGGCTCCAGAAATTAGGGGGAGGGGGGTGTCCGAGGGGGTTTGGGGGCCATGAGAAATTAAGCCCTGATGCTGATGATCATAATAACAACGAATGTGGTCATAATACTACAATCCACACGCCACATGATTGTACGTGTACAAAACACGTCCTGTATGTACACATGTACATATGTACAACACATACGCCAGTAGTGCACACGGCAAGGCGCGCGCACACACACACACACGAGCTACACTGGACAACCACTGCACGACGCGACGCTTCTGCTGGGAGTCTTTCCACGACCATCGTTTAAAAACCCTTAATAATAGCAATAGCTTTAACAAAAAAACCCACACAAACAACAAGAGCACATAATACGTATAAAATGGTGCAACCACGACAACGTAGTAATTATCATCACTATTATTAAAAAATAATAATATAACATTAAACAAAGTAAGAGAAGACAATCTCATATGCCAGACCCTTTGGGTCCATTAATTCACCATGTGGCCACAAGACAGAAATGAAATGACACACGAAAGTGTAAAGGAGCTGCGAGGTCTTTGGCCCGAAAAATAGGGCGTCTCAAACTCCAGCCCACTACGACCCGCACCGCTCCCGTTTACTTTCCATATTCACGGAAACGAATTTTGCACCGCAAACGGCGAATAATTGTAAACACGGTAAGCCGGGCTGTGGTTGGGACCAGACCGGCGAGGGCTGGAGTTTGGGAGGCCCTCCACACTGACAGCTCCCTCCATCGTCCCTTTTGCATTGTCTCTTGAGCTGCTGCTATGCGTGCGGACTGCTACTGGGTGTGGGGAGGCTTCAGTCTCAAGTACGCGGTGACTACAGGTGGCTAGAAACGTAAAACAATGTCACATGTTAACACTGTCATCTGGCAGCGCGAGCTGACGGGTTATGTTCATATCCGCATTTGGTTGCATATAAAAACCACTAAACGGAGTTTGAGTGATGTGTTAGCAGAGAGAGCATTGTTCAGGTGGGCACACAGGAAATCGAGAGTATAGCGGAAATTTGGCCATTTCCCTGCACCAATTAAAAGCTGGAAAAAAAAAGAGTGTACGACCAAAGGATCGCTGCAGTCACGAAAACTTCAAATCTAGATTACGACCAAAGTATCAACTGTGGTGCTCAAGTGTTTTTTTCCCCACTGTCAAATGTCCACCCAAAAGTGCCTGCATGTGAAAATAATCTCCGAGTCAGCATTCCTTCCCCATTGGTGGCCCAGAATCAGTTGTGGAAACTCTGAGGTGGAGGGGGTGGGTCAATTGCTCTACAACACAATCGATGCTGACTTCCCATAAAATGTTACTAATTTTACAGACATCGAAGGAATGATGGGGCTCATTGAGCGGCATAACCGAGGATTGATGTGGCTCAGAGAATGTCACCTTTGCGGGTGGTAAGTGGGTGGAGTGGGGGGGTATTCACAAAGTGTCCAAGAAATACCGGGCTAGTAAATATCGGTTTTCTTAAACGAATCGCTATTGTTTCCACAGCGACAAAAATGTAGCATATTTACAAGCCTGTATTATTTATATTGCTCTTCACGTTATACAAAAACATAAAAAGGAAATATTAACGCAAGGTCAAAACACCACTTAAACCACCAGAAACCGCAAGCCGAAGCTGCAGTAGTTACCGCGCGGCGCGTTATTTCAACCGGGATCCCCACCGGCGCGCGATGTTTCTCTGCGCCTCATGGAGATGTGGATAACATAGACAGAATTGCTTTGTACGCTCTTCATTTTTGTTTGCTTCACAATTGCGATATTCATTCCCACCCCCCCAACCCACTCAAAACTCCATTACGCGCGCACGCCAGGATGCAAGCGCCAATATTATTTCGAGGACACACGTGCAGGTAAATTATCGGTCGTACGCAACCAGAAACGCGACGCTTTAACAAAAAACCTCACCGAAATGATATGGAGATTGTGAGCGTTTAAAAAAAAAGTGAGTTCCATGAAAAGGAGCGAGACCGTGCACATCTCTTTCATGATCTTGTAAACCGATCCTGGACACGCGGTTGGCAGATCGTGTGCGCGAGACACCCAACTATGGGGGTGGGCCACTGGGGTACCAGCAGAAGGCAGTACAGCGAGTGGGTTGACCTATTCGAATAGCTGCGATTGAGCGCCTGCATGCATTTTTACCGTCGTCTCCGTTATCCCCACTCGTGTCTTCCCAAGCGCGTACAGAGAAAACTCAACTATATTTATTTCACCAGGTAAGGCCCACCGAGCTATATAGCTCTTTTTCAGAAGATACATGGCCACAAATGATAGCTCAACGAAGTGGGTCATCATGTGGAAACGTATAGCAGCCAAATACTCTAAATGCATGTTTCTAAATGTGGAGGGAAAACCCAGAGGACTCGGGAGAAAAATCCACGCGACCACGAGGAGACCTGCAAACTCCAAATATACAGGCGTCAGGGTCAGATCGAATCTACGACCTCCCGTGGCACATCCGACAAAACATGCATCTCGATAAAAATCTTGAACGTCAGGAGAGGCATCCTTGCGGAGAGGCCGATTACTATTATTAAAATATGCACATTGCAATAAATGAGCAGCGTTGGGCCTGTCCAATGTATTCCCCTCTTCATAGCCCGGGTGCCTGGACCTCGGTGCAATTGTATCGCCTGCACACTCGACAGCTCCACCACTGTGACGGTGTTACCGTGATGTGAGACATTGAATTAACCACATCAGTCGTCAAGGATAATTCAGAATTCTTGCTTGGGATGTTTGCCGTAGTTTTCAAATGACTTGTAATGGTTGCATTTTAGACCGTTAAATAAATACGTTCCACTCCTATGTCAATGTACTATTGGATGAATGCCTACCCACGATCACTCGGTCATGATTGTTTGGCCTTACTTCCCCACTCTGGCCAGTGTGGATTGGTGGGGGTGCCTTGGACCGGTTCAGATATTATTCGCCACTGATATTAGCCCTCAACGCACTGCACCACCCCAGTTGTATGTGACAAGAATCTTAAAGTGCGATAAAAACTCAAGCGCTCAGTATCTTATTGTAAACCTACTTGCTGTACTATCTCATGCAAACACCACCTCATTGCTCATTTGGAAGGGTATATCGTTTCTGGAGTCAGTTCACTAATCCAATCACTGCATGATCCACCAATCCCACCTCCGATTCTCAATGAACGACCCGTGCACGAGTAGTCGTTTGCATTCTTAGAAGTTTGTAAATGTTATGTTCACCATCTCGTCTGGTACAAAACTCGTCTCATCGGATGCATAATCCAATACATTACCCTCATCTCATCCAATACAGAACCCTAATCTCATCTCGGGAAACCGGATCCAATTCAATACAGAATCATCTCGTACATAAACCTCATCCCATCCAATACAGGACTCACCTCCAACATACGACAGTACATCCACATCTGTCACATACACCCTGACCAATTAACCGTGCACACCCAGTGCAGTATTTTGTGCCCGTCATTTTATATAGATTTCTACGAAACCGGCCTATCCATCTACACCTCAGTCCCCAGCAAGACGGACATGTGAAGTTGGACTGGACACGTTTCATGCAATAAAGAACTCTCTCATTGCATCCGATACAGAACACTGTCTGATAAAAGAAAAACCTGTCATGACACATCCCTCGTCTCATTCGGTTGATCCTCATAGCATCCAACCCGCATCTCATCTCATATACAACCCTCATCTCATCCGACACGGAGCACTCGTTCTCATCCAAAGGATCCCCTCGGCTTTTGCGAGATGATACCGAGCAAGTACACACACACACACGAGCACGCCAGCAGCCCCAGTGACAATGCTAGCACCCAGACGGCAGCTTCATCAAGTATTAAAATAAAATAAAAAAAGTCTTTAATACATTATAAAACGAAACTCAGGACGCGTAAATAGCGCGGGTGCGTGCTTTGTTATTGTCATGAAGCAACAGCTTCCTGTGACGGGAGGCTGAGAGTGGGTCGGGGGAAGAGGTCAAGGGTGAAGAGGGAGGTCAAAGGTGGGGTCAGACGGCAGTGAAAGTTTGCGCTCTTAACTTCCCCCTCCCCGGAAGGCAAAAGTACAGTTGGTATATATATAAAAAAAATGTTTCATCACAAAACTCAAATACAATCATCAATGCACAGCACAGGAAAGACAAAAATACATTAGCTGGTATCTTCTGCCTACTCGGCGCTAATAACATACAGGCTCGTCGACGATACTAGAAATGTAAAAAGTCGTATTATCATTATTACAATATTACTGAAGACAATAATAACGATACAAAGGCGTACAAACAACTTTACTAACGCATGTGCCTATATATACGTGTGCGTGTGCGCGCTACTCGTTCGCAGCCAGGTGGGTCTGACGCCTGCAGCGCCGTCCCCTCTCCTTTCTATAAATCCCCGGCACAGGACGTGCGAAAGTGCCCTCCTCTCCTGCGCAACTGCACAGTGGCCCAGCGTGTCGCTCGGTCGATCACACAAACGGCATCATGATTCAATACAAAACGCCACCAAAACAAAATAAAAAAAATGTAATGGGGGGGGGGGGGGGGAACTGGCGTGCTCAGGGAACGGAGAAGGACCTCGACACGGACGACTGCTTGTCCAAGCCGCCGCCAAGCGTCCTGTGCTGCGCCCCCGCACTTCCACACTGTGCTGCGCCGGCGGTCGCTGTTGTCACGGCGGCCGTGCCGTCAGTCGACCGCGCGTCAATCCGCGCGGTCGACTCGGAGGCGACAAGAGGAGCGAACTCGGCCACGCTGAACACGAAGCGCAGGCAGCCCAGCTGCACGTCGCTGCCGTGCCTCAGCAGCGCTGTCCCCTCCCAGCCGGCAAGTGGCGGACGGCCGGCGCTCGATGGGCTGCGTTGGCCGGCGCTCGATGGGCAGCGTTGGACGCCGCCGTCGCAACCGCCGCAGGGGTGAGGATGCGCGAGCCGGGGAGAGCAGCCACAAGGATTGGCGGCGGAAGGACGCAAGTCGTCGGCGCTCATGACGCCCAGGTCGGCGGCCTCACTCGTGCGGATCTCGGATGTTGGCTTCTTGTTGTTGCCTGCCGTGGAGAAGTTGCGTGATCGGAAAATGAAGCGATTGGGTGATATGGTGATGGAATGACGGGGTGGTGGGATGACGAATTTGAGTGACGGGGGCGGGCATAGGATGTGGTGTTGGGAGTAATTGGATGATTTGAAATTATGTGATGGGGTGAAGGAAGAGGAATGGCAGGTTGATGGGATGTGGCATTGGAGTTATTGGGTGATGGAATGATGGCATGCATTGATGAGATTTGAGACAAAAACGTACATTATTTTCATCGTTATCCTTCATATTTTTTCCAACTCTGGGTACACCGTTAAAGCTCACGTATGTGCGTGTGCGCACGACAAGTATGTATGCGGTACGTGCATGCATACGTGTCATGATATGCGCATGTGTCCATACGCTTGTGTATGCGAGTGCGTATGTGTAGGCGCTGCTACTCGCTAACAGTACTTGCCCTGACAGCCTATTGGAGGCTATATGGGGAATCTTATCTTTGTATGTATATCTGGGGAACGGTAGTGCAGCCATTTGCACACTGCGCCAGGTATCCAGCAACCAGAGTTCGATTCCCGCTCACAACCAACAATGGTGACAATTATATGAACCTGTCCTAGGCGTCCGCGAAGTCGTCTCAGCCTCAAATGAGTACCTGATACGGTATGTCAATATCACCACTTGGGAGACAAAAGCAGCCGGGGGTAGCGCTGGCCACCCATCCCCTTGTGTGCCACGTTGGCCTTCATCGGTGCTCGGTAACAGCACTTGACCTAAGAAACTGTCAAGGCTATAAAGAGGATCTTAAGTCTTTGTGCATGCTGCATAAACACGTGTGTATAAAACACGTGTAAGTGCACGCGTGTTTGAAACTGCACTTTTATAATCGTGCTTTAGTTCATGCATTCGCACGTCCAATTAGCACGGTTTGTTACATACGGTGCGAAAGAAGTTCAACATACATACATACATGCGAGTGTGCATGTGCGAATGCATTTGTGCACGGGTGTGCGCGCATGCACGCGTCTGTGTGACACGCACGGATGATGCTGCGAACTCGCGCCACGAGCGGGCTGGGGGGCAGCGTGGGGGGCCCGCGCGGCTCGAGCAGCGAGCAGCCGTAGAGCGCCCCGTCCACACGCGTGCCGTGCTCGCTGTAGTTGAGCAGCTCATACTGGCTCGTGCTCTGCACAACGCGGAAGGCGCACAGCAAATGGGGCATCACAACTGACGGGAGGAACGGACGTCAGTGTCGAGCTGGCTCCACAACCCTAGGCTAAACTAGTGTTCCCTCGTTATTTGCGAGGGATATACATTCCGGAGATGCTCGTGAATAGCACACTTTTTGCGGATAATGACATTGGCCTACAAATATATCGTACGTGCAAAGTCTGCAGATGCTTCAAGAAGTTCTCTCTCATCCCTTTCTCTCTCGTCTCTTTCACACTCTCTAGATGCAGTCATCTAGAGCTCCAGATGCGATTCACAGAGCCAAAATCGTGGATAGCAAGTTAAACCTGGTCCCTGGATGGTCTCAGCCAGGTCACACCGATAAATGCACAAAACAACCACCACATTAACTTTGGGTCTGTCCTTAAATGTTGCTACATTCCAGCTCTAAGAATGAAAATATAAATTTTTATGTCATGCGACGAGATTTACTCTCAGTGGCAGGGCGATTGGGAACATGCTGCCCCCCTCCTGGCTGTGTGAAACACAGATCACTCTCAGAAGTAGCTGTGATATCCACTTCTGCGGGCCGATCTCTAACATGGAGGAGTTCCACTTTCATCATGGGTTGATAAAAACGAGTACCGCTATCTTTGACAACACACCAACTGCACCGTGCTCGTTTGAGTCGGAAATAACGTTTCAACTATTATGTTGAACAATGGGGCTTTTACAGATCAGATCAAGTCCTTGATCTTTAGATCAGTGGTTCTCAAACTGGGGGTACGCGGAACCCTGGGGTACGTGGCAATGTCCCAGGGTGCACATGAGGCGATTTATAAATGTGTGAAATTAAATTATGCATTAGTCATTGATGAATAAGCATGTATGAATCTGCCAATATAAAATAACGATAACATTTAAATTCATATACTTCAACGATATTACTTTCTAAACTCGTTTATCGTAAACAATGTGGTTTCCAAGAGTAACCAGCAAGCACACACAAATTCCATCGTGCGTGCAGAGCGTTCATTGAATTTTGTTTTATTCGCTTGCAGTTACTCGCTAGTTAGGATATCTCACGAAATGTAGAATTGGTTAAAATATTTATGTTCATTATTCATACATTTATTTCTCAGAACCATGTTGGGTCAGGCAAGGGGGGGGGGGTTAACTCGGTTGAAATTAAATTCAACAAGGGCTGGTGTACAGTAGCCAAAACATGTTAAAAACCACTGCTCTGGACGTTATCTGACGAGGCATGTAACAGATTGAAAATTCACAAAAAGTTACGATGGCGAAACCGACCTCATCGAAAAAGATGCAGGCGTGCTTTCCAGAAACGTAATTGCAGTGGCCAAACTTGGTCAGGCAGAGATCCATGTCGGCACCTTTGAAAAGAAGAAAATAATAAATAAATGATTACACCATGAGGCGCTTAGCAGGAACATTGAGCAGTATCTTTTTATTTTAAAACAATAAATGTGATTGTTTAGTTCCGTGTCAGATAAGTGGGCTCAATTTGCCTTGAATGTGTAGCATCTGTGTGGCCTGTACATACAGGATGCGTTTCAGCTGTACCTCTATTTATCATGGATGGCTACGTAAGGTGCGAAAGAAGTTCAACATACGTGTACTATGAACCGGAGGTTTTTTTTTTTTTACTAAAGTTGCCGAGCACAGAACCAAAGGCTCAAAAAGTCAAGCCGACAGCAACATGTGTATCTGTGTGTGCTCGTGTGAATTTGAACATGTGCTCGATTGTATTTGTGGGTGTGCGCACGTGCCTGTGCCGATGTACAGGGCCCTGTAGCGCATTCGAACCGGCTCCCCTCGCCCGTCCACGGAGCTCAGCACTGCGCGTGCTCGCACCTCCGTCAACGCCGGTCCTGTGCACGGACAACAAAACCACAATGTCCCAAACGCCAACACCACCTGGTTCCAAAAGCCAACACCGCGGTGTCTCAAATGCCATTACCACGGTGCCTCAAAAACTAAAACTAACCTCGTGCGCTAGCCAAGCGTTCAGCTCAAAGTCAGACACATTAGTAACAGTTAACTAACAAAACACCTCCTTCACACATGTCACTCCACGTTAAAAAAATGCTTTTTTTTCCACGTGCGATCAGCCGCACGGCCTTCTGGGAGTGGACAATTTGAACTACATCGGTTCAACAAAATTAAAACACTGGACTGGTTTCGACATTCAGTGATAAATCAGCAGTGAGGTTTACTTGAACCAACACTTATAGGCAAAGAATCTGTTAGATGTGGAACCTAGTTATTCGCAAAATTATATAATACATAACACAAAATATAATGCGAGTAACAAATAAGTAATTTACTCTTGATCGATGTTATTGTATCTGCTGAGGGTGTGGACCAATTTTCTTTCTGCTCCATTCATTTCAACTGCTGGTGGCTTCCCGACAGAAATGAACCATTTCTTGTTTTCCCTTTTTCTACCCAGTTTTTACACTTACAAAAAGTTTATTTTCTTAAACATTCGATACGCAAGTGGTTACCAATCCTCAACACAATATCAATGGACATCATCATATACTAAAATACCACAGCACACTTACAACAGAATGTTAGATTGTATTACTTTTTGATGTTGTGAATGCTTGTGTTTGTATTGTCTTAAAGGACAACGTTCTCGTACGTACTTAATTAAACAACTTCTAAGTAGGTCAATAGAGGCTGTCCTGTTAAGACGCTGCAGCAGGAATGTGTAATTGCTACCTACGCGCTGAAGGCTGCCAAAGAGGAGGAGGCCTGCCCAATGTTCATTTTAGCGCGGAGACACTTCCGCCCTTGACATCATCGTAGATATCACCGTGAACGTAGATCTCCCATTATCGCAAAGAAGATTCCCGGCCACGTCTCCGGCATCCTCCCACCTGCGGCTTCTGCCTCCGGGGCGGCAATCCTCGCGGTTGGCGCGGGTAGTGCCGGGGTCTTGAATAGGAGGCTCGGCGCGGGCTTGAGATCGTCCGACGCCCGGGGGATGGCGGGGACAGTGGCGGTAGCAACGGCGGCGGTGGTCATGACAGGCGGCGTGGAGCGACCGCTCAGAATCTGCTGTATCCTCTGCCAGGCAAGCACCCTCACCAGCCGCTCATCCAGGTCCGGCAAGTGGGGTCCTGGGCGAGGCAAAAGGCTCGGTTGCTATCGGCAGGTGGCACGGTTCAATACGGCTACGTTAAAACACAACAAATACGTTACCCATGAACAGCGGATGATAAAGAGCCCGTGATATTCTTCTAAAAAATGAGCAGGCCACGTGTGCTGGCGTCACATTCCAAATTGCTCACAAATTATATAATTGGGTAAAACCAAATAGTGACATCACCTCCTACCGGCAGACTGTACTCGTCTGTCTTCTTTCGTAGGCTGGTCAAGTCAGATAACCACGTCAGGAGTAGTGGAGTGTATCGCTGTGAGTTCTCCTTAATTTGTGGATCGGGCATTATATCATTATGTTGTACTAGCGGGAAGTACGCGGCATTGCCCGGGGTAAAAATATATTTCAAAACTTATCTTAAAAACATAACATATACATACACAAGTACTAAGCTATTGTGAAAGCCCGGCGTTCCGTTTGTCCATTTGTCCACCAACAAAATTATCAGAGGGTTGCAGAAGTCCAAAAAGTTATAGAAAGTAGGGGGTAAATAGTCGATCTAAAAGGTTTCCGAAAATTGTCAACCCCCAGCCCCCTGAAAAAATGTTTTTATCCCCGCATAGGCATATATACCTACACACCCTACATACAAGAGTGAGGAGTATCTAGTGACTCTGTAGTAGTAACTTTCCAGACTGTACATAAAAATAGACTTTCGTATATATATATTTTTTTTTGGGGGGGGGGGGGGGGGGGTGGGCGCAATAATGGATATATTTTGCACGGCAAGTGAGCTGTGATGTCACATCTGTCATGTGACCTGTGTGCGGAAGCGTAACGGAGTGTGCCTGCTGATCGCGGGTAAAGTCAAATACAAATGTGTTGCAGATCTAAGGCGTTCTTCGCGCAGCATTGCTTTATTATTTCAGTCGTTTACTGCCGTACGCACCATGAAAGTTGTGTCTGCAGCAAGCGCGTGTATGTGTACCTATGAACGCGCGCGTGTTTGTTTTGTGTGTGGGGGGAGCGGTAGTGTAGTAGTTAGCGCGCTGCGCTACGAACCTGGCGACCCGAGTTCGATTCCCGCTCGTGGCCAACACCGGTGACAATTATTTGAACTGGTCCTGGACTGGTGTGGTGTGTGAACATCGCCACTGGGGGGACAAAGGCGGCCGGGCGTGGTGCTGGCCACCCACCCCCTCGTGTGCCGTGCCGGCCTTCATAGGTGCTCGCTAACAGCACTTGCCCCCTACAGGCTACACGGGGGATTTTGTCTTTATCCTGTGTGTGTGGGGGGGGGGACTGCGTAGCGATTCGCGCGCTGCGCTACGAACCTGGCGACTCGAGTTCGATTCCCGCTCGCGGCCAACACCGGTGACGATTATTTGAACCGGTCCTGGGCATCCCCTAGGATAACTCAGCCTCAAACGAGTAACTGGTGTGGTGTGTGAACATCGCCACTGGGGAGACAAAGGCGGCCGGGCGTGGTGAATCCAAGTCCCGGGCAAGGCCGGGTAGTAAAGATAGTATAATAATAAAAGGTAATAAATTGTTAATTTAACTACTTTAAAGTTGACGGACGCGAAATTCGAATCGCACTAGCTCACCACGGGACTTATCACGTGGTACCTGGGTATTTTTTTTTTAAACGTAAACCCCACGGTTCGCGAGTTAAATCCGTCGCAAGTTTCGTCCACACAGACACAGACAGACACACACAGACACACACAGACAAAAAATAGCATAGGTAAGATGGTCTGTTCTGGATGACTACAGGTCGCTCACTGGAGAGTTTTTAAGTTTCCATTTGTGCAACATAGCAAATTCACAATATCCTTGCACCATAAGAATGGCGCAAATACCAAATTAACGGATTTATACGAGGTTTTAGTTATGGCTAGGTTTAGAGAGTGTTAAGATTTGTGGGTTTAGTTGTAGGAGATAGCAGGGGTTGGGGTTCACGTTTGAGTCAGGGTTGGCATACCTGTCTTGCCGTCCATAAGTGCCAACAGCGACGCGTTGAGGTGGCAAAGGGCGGCCGCTGTCGCCGTCAGCGCTGTCGTGGCTGCATCGCCACTCCCCGTTGGGTCCCCAAGTGGCCCAGTCCCTCCTGGGGCTCCCGGTTCCACCTTGGGTCCGTCGGGTAGGAGAGTGCGCCGGTCACCCTTCTCCCCCACCAGCACTACTGTCGTCGCACTACCGTACCGTGCTTGCGGCGCATGCGCTGCATGCGCAAGGTGATTCACGACACCGCAGCCACCCTCCACCCCTAGGCCACATGCCTTCGTTTGGCCGGCCAGGTCTCGGTGCTGTGCCAAATCCGACGACTCGCAACACGAGTCCATCGCATCCATTTCAGCCACGTCACAACCAGCGCCGCCGCTACCGCTATCCTTGCTGCCTAGCGAAGGGCCATTGGACCTCGAGGGACTGTGGCCCTGCTCCGTCTCTCCCTTCACCTTCATGTCGCTAGAAAGAAGTGAAGGGAGTTTCACGTCCGTGACCGAAGGCGGCGATGATGATGTTGATGACAATGATTCCGGCGCCACTCTGCTCCGAAGGGGACCGGCCACGTGGAGGCGAGGGAGGGCCGGGTCAGAGGTCGCGAGCTTCGACAATCCCTCATTCGGGCCGCACGCCGAATGGGGTACGGCTGAGGGCGCTTGCTTTGCGGCGAGGTGCCGCGCGATGCTAGACTGCAGCGCCAGCACATTCCGCAGCCACTGCACGCGGTCGGCACAAGCGCACACAATGAGAACATCGACATTGAGTTTTTGTATTGAGAGTCAAGTGGTTCCCCAAGTGAGTGGAGGTGCCCTTCCCAGGTGGCTAGAGGTGAATCTGTTCTCGCGATGTGCAGTAAAACGCTTCAGCAGAAAGCAGAGATTCCTTTACCCAATGGTCAGGGGTGTGATTTACAGTGAGGGAAAAAAGTATTTGATGCACTGCTGATTTTGTATGTTTGCCCACTGACAAAGAAATGATCAGTCTATAACTTTAATGGTAGGTGTATTTGAACAGTGAGAGACAGAATAACAAAATCCAGAAAAACGCATGTCAAAAATGTTATAAATTGATTTGCATTTTAATGAGGGAAATAAGTATTTGACCCCCTCTCAATCAGAAAGATTTCTGGCTCCCAGGTGTCTTTTATACAGGTAACGAGCTGAGATTAGGAGCACTCTTAAAGGGAGTGTTCCAAATCTCAGCTTGTTACCTGTATAAAAGACACCTGTCCACAGAAGCAATCAATCAGATTCCAAACTCTCCACCATGGCCAAGACCAAAGAGCTCTCCAAGGATGTCAGGGACAAGATTGTAGACCTACACAAGGCTGGAATGGGCTAGAAGACCATTGCCAAGCAGCTTTGTGAGAAGGTGACAACAGTTGGTGCGATTATTCGCAAATGGAAGAAACACAAAAGAACTGTCAATCTCCCTCGGCCTGGGGCTCCATGCAAGATCTCACCTCGTGGAGTTGCAATGATCATGAGAACGGTGAGGAATCAGCCCAGAACTACACGGGAGGATCTTGTCAATGATCTCAAGGCAGCTGGGACCAGTCACCAAGAAAACAATTGGTAATACTACGCCGTGAAGGACTGAAATCCTGCAGCGCCCGCAAGGTCCCCCTGCTCAAGAAAGCACATATACATGCCTGTCTGAAGTTTGCCAATGAACATCTGAATGATTCAGAGGACAACTGGATGAAAGTGTTGTGGTCAGATGAGACCAAAATGGAGCTCTTTGGCATCAACTCAACTCGCTGTGTTTGAAGGAGGAGGAATGCTGCCTATGACCCCAAGAACACCATCCCCACCGTCAAACATGGAGGTGGAAACATTATGCTTTGGGGGTGTTTTTCTGCTAAGGGGACAGGACAACTTCACCGCATCAAAGGGACGATGGACGGGGCCATGTACCGTCAAATCTTGGGTGAGAACCTCCTTCCCTCAGCCAGGGCATTGAAAATGGGTCGTGGATGGGTATTCAAGCATGGCAATGACCCAAAACACACGGCCAAGGCAACAAAGGAGTGGCTCAAGAAGAAGCACATTAAGGTCCTGGAGTGGCCTAGCCAGTCTCCAGACCTTAATCCAATACAAAATCTGTGGAGGGAGCTGAAGGTTCGAGTTGCCAAACGTCAACCTCGATGACTTGAAGATCTGCAAAGAGGAGTGGGACAAAATCCCTCCTGAGATGTGTGCAAACCTGGTGGCCAACTACAAGAAACGTCTGACCTCTGTGATTGCCAACAAGGGTTTTGCCACCAAGTACTAAGTCATGTTTTGCAGAGGGGTCAAATACTTATTTTCCTCATTAAAATGCAAATCAATGTATAACATTTTTGACATGCGTTTTTCTGGATTTTTGTGTTGTTATTCTGTCTCTCACTGTTCAAATAAATCTACCATTAAAATTATAGACTGATCATTTCTTTGTCAGTGGGCAAACGTACAAAATCAGCAGGGGATCAAATACTTTTTTCCCTCACTGTACTTGTTCGAGCTGCCATTTATGCCTGTGGTGAAAAGTAGGTCTTCAAATATTTGCCACCCCTTCAACAAGGCCAAGATTCAATTCATGGATGAATCTTCTTCCCTATACTACTCTATATTGTGTCTTGTATGTAACGTAATGTCTCATTTGTATTGTCCGTCTCGTTTGTTTATCGTCTCGTAAGATCGAATTTCACTTGTATTGTTTATTGTGTTTGTACTGTCCACCGAGTATGTTATGACCATCTTGGGTGCAATGTCTATATTTTCCGTTCACATTTGTATTGTTAGTCGTTTCTTTCATCTCACTCGCATTGTTTGTCTGATTTGTATCATCCAATTCGTCTCATTTGCATTGTATTTCTTGTAAAAAAAATGTTTTTTAATGAATCATGACAACTTCATTTTGCATTTTTTATAACTGAATCTTACACACGTTATTTGATGCATTAACTACAGGCAAAATAATTTAATTTAAATCAATGAAACAAGTCTTATAAGTGAATAGAAAATCGTAGTACGACTGATCGGCAGAAATTGCCCATGCAAAAAAGTCAATCGCACACAGAGTATTAAATGCAAGACAGCCACTTCCATGGGTAACTGCATACATCAGCGTTCACTCAGAGGACACGTGACTTTACCGAAAGACCCAAAGAATAAGAATAATTGAAAACCCTCGTAATCCCAAGTTAAATCACAACCACTTGAGAAGCCTAATACACACAAAAACCCTGCATATAGCCTCTATCAACTATTGGGGCAAGGGTTGTGAGCAAGCACCTATCAAGGCTGCAACGGCACACAAGGGGTTGATGACCAGGCTTCACAGCACAGTACACGAAGACGGGAAATGCATTGCACGCTTTCAGATGCGCTTCTGTGGCTGTCTGGAAAACCACTGGAGCGATGCACTTTTAAATCATATAGATTGAAATCCCATTTATTTTTGTGTTTAGTTTATTGTCCTTCCCCCGCACCTCCGACGAGCACGGTTGGCTATGTATGGTGCGAAAGAAGTTCAACATACATACAAGCACTACAAAGACCACCCCCTTTTATAGCCTTGACAAGACTGTTGGGGCAAGTCCTGTTAGTGAGCACCTACGAAGGCCGACACGGGGCACGATAGGGGTGGGTGGTCAACACCACATCGCACTGACCTAGAAGAGGACCAGGACCAGCTCAGATAATCGGCACAAGTGTTGGCCATGGGCGGGAATAGAATCCGGGTCGCCGGGTCGGTCCGTAGCGCAGTAGCGCTAACCGCTACACTGCCACTCCCCACAACAACCACTACACCGCCCTCTGTCACACACACACACGTATGCACAATTCTGGTGCCTGTTGTTAGCATTGCTTGGCAGACACAAAGGCAATGGTGCGCAATTGACCATTACTACCGAGAGAGAACTCACCTCCTCCTGCTCGCGGTCAGCAGCGAGGCGAGGCCCGGCACTGGGCGGCTCCGGCTCCGTGCACACGAGCTGGCACTGCCGCACGCCCGCGGGCGGCCCCAGCGGAGGGCGGTGCTCGTAATGAGCTTTGATGGCAGCCGGAACCTTGAGACGGGGGTCAAAGGTCAGGTGTCATGTCAAGCCAGAGAGCAGCAGCGGGAGATGATAGGAGGCGGCTTGCGTGCCGGGTTGTCGGCGCCGCAAAGTTTTTTTTACGGTACCATTACAGAAAAACTGCATATCTGGATAAGCCACGAAGGGTCTGTGAAATACCATTCGCACCAGCCAAGCTGACCAGGCAATATGCAGGCAAGGCTGCGCTTGGGTGTAATTTAGAATTGCAACTTGAACAACCACATGTACAGCCCTTTTGTTCATCCACTACTGGATGAGATGTTCTCCCCACGACCAGCACTGATCATTGCGGATGGTGAAAGCACAGGTGTGCCACCGGAGAAATACAGGACAAAGGATTTTTCTATACTACCCTCCGCTGCCATCAAAGTAACCCTGCAGCAGACTAACACGTATTGTATGCACGGTGGTTGCTCATCCAGGTACCACCGAGGCTCAACCTCGTTGAACTTCCAAAATATGTCGAGGTTGGACGCGTTCGGATTATCTCGTCGAAGGCTGGCGAACACATACAGCGACGATACAATAGTTTCAAACTAAAAAGCAACGCAATATGTAGTAGTGGCCAGGTCAATACGGCGAGCACGGCCAATGTCGCCACACCAACCTTGAGGGCCTTGCGGGCGAGCGTGGAGGCGATCGTGGCGGTGGTGGAAGCGGGGGAGCGGTTGGGTGGGCGCTTGCGGTGCACGCGGCGCAGGAAGCCCAGGGAGACCGTGTGCTGCTGCACGGGGCCCTGAAACCGCGAGAAGAGCTGGCAGCGCCCACTCAGGGGCAACGCCACCCCGCTCAGCTACAGCGAGCGAGGGCAGTGGAAAGGGAGAAAGAGAGCAAGGGGTGGTCAGTCGTTGAGTGCACACCAGCGGAAGTGTGTACAAGGGTGCATGACCGTGAGCGTACACGAGAGCATGTGTGCAGGAGAGTATGGATAAATGTGCGGGAGTGCACATACGAATGTTTGTGTGCGCATGCGTGCAAGCGTGTGTGTGCGAATGAGTCTAAGTGTGAGAGCTTAACAGCGTGTACGTTCGTGTGTGCGCGAGAGCAAGTGTTCTTGTGTGACCGTGTGTGAATATATGCTTGTGCGTGCGCGTGTACTCAAGGTACACATAGCCTGGCACAAGCGTCGTGGTGACGTCACCGCCACTTAGTAGCGAATGGCGGTTGTTGAAGCGTGTGGCGTACCGGCCGGCTCTCGGGGTGGTTGGGACACATCCACCTTCCCGTGGGCATCGAGGTGAGTGGCGGGTCTAGGCAGTCTTGGTGGAAGAGCAGCGCGCAGTAGTCGCACTGCACCAGCGGAGCCACCCGGCAGCTCCTGCCAACAGCAAATGGCATCAGTGGGGACACAAGCCAAAGCGAGAGAAACGAACGGAGTTTTAAGAACGTCAACACTGTCACCGTCCCTGTCACGAGTTGTCAATCTGGTTTGTATTTTCTTATTAATCTGTCTGGCGTTAGGCAAATGTTGCGTCTCATTTGCAACGTACGCCTCGTTTACGACGTCCATTTATCTTTTACTGTGCGTCTCGCCTAGATTATCCGTCCCATTCATAATGTCTCGCACAGATCCGTTCTCTTTGATCTTTGTTCCGTGCAATTTGCACGAACACGAATAATCATTTGCGACACGTGAGATTTGATACACCACCCGCGAGCGTAACAATCGATCCGACTGTCGAGACTCGGCGGATCGTTGCGACTCCCACGGGTCTACGGCGTGCGCAAGGTTGAGGCACCACGCTCACCTGCTGCACAGGTAGCAGAGTCGCGCCGGCAGAGGCACCAGACCGTGGGTGTCCAGCTCGTGTGGCGACCGCCGTGCGTGCTTCCCGCCCGCTTCCTCCTTCCGACGCTTCTTACTCGTCCCTTCAACACACACACAGAGCACCAAGTTGTGTTCGCGAGCACGAGGAGGTTGATGCTGGTTGTGGTAAAGGTGGTTATGGCGATGACAGTGGTGGTCGCAATTATGGTGACCATGATAGTGATGGCAGTTGTGCTAGTGAATGTGGTGGTGCTCATGGTGGTTGTGACAAAGGCGATAGTGATTGTATGATGAACTTCTTTGGCACCTTACGTAGCCAACCGTGCAAATCGGAGATGTGGTGGGAGGACAACAAACTAAACACAAAAAACAGTTCTAAAGAAAGAAATTAGTTTTCAATCTTGATTTAAAAGTTGTGATCACAGTAGTGAGGATGGTTGTGGTGGCGAGGTGATGGAGCCAGGGCCCATCGCGACCGCACACCCTCAGTGTTCACTCACCAGGCAAGGGCGTGCTGCAAGTGAGCTCGTATGGCAACTGGAACTGCGTCGGGTTCCTCTCTGTGGCGGCCACCACCAGCATCTCAAACGGGTTTCTTTGCCTCGTCACCGTCATTACCACCGCCGGCGTCGTCACGGCCGTTGTCACAGCCGACGCGGCGGAGAGGGGTGGCGCCGCGGTCGCGGCCATCCCCCTGCTCGACGTGGCACCGCTCATCCTGGTTCCATCCTCATCCAGCTGTCCCATCAGCATCGTCGTCGTCCCACCGTTTCCGTCGTCTCCGCTGCCCTCGTCTCCCGCGATCGAGTCCCCGTCGTCCACCTCCACCGTCGTGGGCGTGCTGCTGCCCGACTTGGACGTCGCTGGGGTCAGGGGTCGGGCTGCAGCTGAAGTCGCCGGGGCCACAGAAACCGTCGGGGCAGCCACAGCTGCAGTTGCCCCATCCCGCGCCTCCGAAGGCCCCGCGATGGGCGGCGACGACGCTACTGTCGCCGAGATAGCGGCAAAGTCATCGCCGTCCTGCGAGTTTGCTCGGAGACCCGGCTTGGCCGTGCAATTAGAGCCCTCCCGCTTGCTGTCGACGCAGACCGCCACCCTGTGGCCGCCAGCTTCGGTGAAAGAGGAGGAAGGCCCGCCAGGCTTATGCTGCTCGCAGAGCGGCCGCGACACGGCGGCGAAGGCGGCGGAGATGGCGACGGCAGTGGTGGTGGGAGCGGCATAGGTTTCCCACTTGGGCATGGCGGTGGTGGTGGCTACTGCCGTTGCGCGCGCTGAGTGGAGAGCCTGCAGCTTAACGTTCTCGAGCTCGGCGTCGACGGGCGTGAGCAGCACGGAGGGGCGCTTGCTGCAGTGCTTTTCCAGGAGGCCGTTGATGAGCCAGCTCTTGCCGCCCGGTTTGAACTTGCCCTCCTTCTTCTGCAGGCAGGGGTGATGGCAACGGGGTGTGAAACAGATGCTGCTTAAGAATAAAATAATTATTACGTATGTTTACCAAGGAAAGCCTAACCAAGTCTCTTAAGGCTTATTTTCAGGAGGGTCCTGCCAGGTTTTAGCAGTCGGGTGTGATGTTGCTGTGTAAAGCCAGGTAATTTTTCAGCAATGGGATATTTTACATTTATTTAGTTACAATAATAAAGCTTAATACTTTTTCACATTGATATTGAACCAATGGTTAACAATCAAACAAAGACGGTCACTGCTTTGCGCGCTTTCAGATGCGCTTATGTGGCCGTCTGAAACGCTCTTCCTTCTGATAATAGGAAGCTACTGGAGCTATATACTTTTAAATCTAAATTGCAATCTCATTTCTTCAGAACTGCTTTTTGTGTTTAGTTTGTTGTCATCCGCACGCACCTCTGATTAGCATGGTTGGCTACATACGGTGGGAAAGAAGTTAAATATACATACAATTAACTAATTAGTGTTAATACACGTGGCAGGAAACCACGAAGGGTTGTTCTGCTCTGCGAGGGTTCCAAACCAATCGTTTGGTCTCATGACATGATGCTAACAGAACGATCATGGTGAAATTGAAGAAAAACACCAAGCATTTTATTTTTAAGCAGCAAAGGTGGACATGTTGATGGTGTCTCACTGTTCTCCTCATGGTGCAGCGGTGGCACATCCACTCTCCAGACGGCAGCATCTCGGCACTGAGCGGTGGGTCACTGAAAGGATCCAGAAGAGGGAGCGAGGAGGGTGGGGTTAGTAACCACGCCGCGTGCTTCTACACTAGCACGCACCAGAGTCCTGTATCGGTCGGGTACCCGCAGTCACCCACACCCGTATCAGTTTAGGGTCGGAATAAAGACGTTTTTACGGCTTGTGATTCAGGTAATGTGCATCTTATGTCACCCATGGGGGACCGACGATAAACTACTATAAGATGATTTTAATTTCGAATGTGCCATACACTGCGAGAATAATACAGAATCTAAACAAAGATGGAAAATGTTGAAAAAAAAGAGGTGCTGGTTTGGATCGGGATGCGGGTGAAATGAAAGCAGTTTAGATCGGGTCGGGGGAAAGATGGCAGTGTTGAAGCGGGTTGTGGTTTCGGGTCCAGCTGTAGGTCCAGGTCACCAATCAAAAATTAGACCCATGCAGGACTCTCGTGCAAACTTCTTACCGCAGCTGATCTATGGAGCGGCTGGTTACCAAGTGCAAGCAGTGCTTCATTTGTCACCAAAAACTTTCCGGGTAACTGAATTCCGGGAAGTGGCACGCAACTATGAGCTACAGCCATAATGAGAGGGAAACTTGATGTGGTGTGGCCAGGTGAGGAAATATATTCTGGGTCGCTGACCTGAAGGAACTCAAATTAAATTAAATCTTGTGCACAAGCAAAGCACAAGATGCACAATGAAATTTCATAAACTTTCACGGGGTTTGATTTCTAGGTCAAGCTGTGCATCCGGTTAAAATTCACAGATGGTTGCCAATTTCAATCGGCAAATAATTCGGGATTGTCAAAACATTTCGTTTAAGCTAGAGTAGCCACGTGGAACAGATAAGCAAAGGGACGTAACATCCTGTGACATGACTTCCTGTTAAGACTCTCAGGGTCCCAGGAACAGGACAAACAGAATGCGACATCAGAGTGCACATCCATTGCCAAACGGTTTGCCGAGAATACCAGACTTTATTCTGTTGTCGTTAAAGATGGAGCAATTGTTTTGGCAACAATCATCTCTTGTAGATATCACTTGGTGTTGACCAGGCTTAAAAGGAAACAACAGCGTTTTACCACAATCGCGTGCCCTTCATACGTCGCAAAATTAGGATGCGCTCCAGTTTCCTAACTAGCAGTGCCCTTTCCTCAAAACCTTGAGTTATGATCAAATAAAAACAACCTATTTCTGTGTTGGAAGACGCATAGGTCAACTCGTCCACTGGCAAAGACAAATAACTAGAAAAAAGTACCAAACGTTCAAGTAAACGTAATTAATGAGGGATTGTTATCGTTCAGTCTGCAAGGCTGCCACGGGAATTGATCTCAACAATGCCTTAATTCGTTCCTTCGTGCAACCAGAACCTTGCTCCAAGGATTTTAGGCGAAATTGTAAATGCAAGGAAGATGCACGACAAAAGAAAACATAAGGTGCCCTTCGCAGCCGTTAACGACATGTACAAATCAGTATTTGCGTAGACGTCATTCCGAAAATATGGACTTATAAAGAAAGCTTAATGAGCCAATAAATATACCGGTAATTAAGACTTTTATACCAAGGAAATTTAAATGTAAAAGAGCAGTACCACTTTGAGGAAGGCCAACAGTGTCTGCATTATGGAGAGACTGCCTCCTGCCATAACAATGAGGAATTTCCACCAACGGTTCATGTCCACTAATGGAGATTTGCACCGCTAAATGCGGGTATGAGCTGCAGACTGTATGACATGACTATTTCCTGCGCTGGATTTCCGTGTGTTTATTTTATCTCATTGTTACCCTCGCGGTGAACCGGTGCCACAGTAGTGGGGTGCGTGGGGGTGGTGGAGGAGGGTGGGGGAGGTCAGTGGTGAGTGCCGAGCGAGTGGCGAATGTCTGACGTGAGCTTCTCATTACACCGGCAATAGCCGTACGGCTGCCCCCAATTTGTATTTTAAAAAGGCCACGGTCCTTTAATCACACGGTGTTTTAAAAGTCGGCAGATTACCAAAGCAGAGCCATATTCCACATAAAATGATTATGAATGTGCTGCTTAACAACGGGGAGATGCATCTTCTGGAAGATGATTCTGGTACAATTAGCTTAAAACATTTCTTCCAGAGAGAAACTGCATTGCTATGGAAAACCATCTTCCGTAAAAAAATATTCTGAAGTACATTAAAGCACATAATCCGTATGACAATGTATTTTTTTGACTAGAAGACACTCCCAAATGTACAGGGGGAAAAATGCACCGTATAATCTGGAGAATTTGGTAATTGTCATCGTCAGACTTGGAGATCAGACTGCAAAACTTGCCAAGCCGTAGAACGGATGCTCTGCGGGGTTTGAGACTCGTGCCAGAAAGAAAGAAACAAACGAATAGGTCCTGCGTCAGGTGGGAGAAGAGCGTGGACTCATTCCATCTATCAAGAAGAACATCTGGATTGGGCAGGAAATAGAGGGAACAGCTCGCTCCGATTAGCAAGGTTGGTTACGTACAGTGCGAAAGAAGTTCAACAAACAGATAGGGTAGGGGGTAGAGAAGGGGAATGAGCTGAATAACGTGATCAAGGGAATATTCTTTAGCAAAAGACCAAGAGGATGGGAAAATAACGGCGATGCTAGAAAATGTTCAGCAAAGGAAGCACGTAGGGACAGAGGAAGAGAGCAGCGGCCCAGCAGCATTGTGTCGCCTCGGACCCATTTACAGACAGAACACCAAGTGAACTAATGCGCCCGGGGTGGGGGGGGGCGAGTGAAGTACGCAGCAGAGGTGCCCGCTCACCAGCACTGCAGGTGGAAGGATGCGGGGCAGTGGTCGCAGCACAGGAGGTCTCCGCCCTCGCGGCAGCTGTCGCAGGTGTCATGGTTGTTGGCACGGCCGGTGCGTCGTGCCGCATCCCGCTCGTGCCTCCGTGAGGCAGCGAGCGAGGCGGCACTCACGCCGCCCCCGCCGTGCTCCTCGTCGCTCTTAGGAGGTGCCACCAGCGCTTGGATTTGCTGCTCGGATGCGGGAGAGAAGCGGTGGTTAGGGAGAATAAGACACAGATGGGGCGGTGAAGACAAGTGCAAGGGTAACAAAGACAAAGATCGCCCGTATAACCTCTAACAGACTTTCGGGGCAAGTGCTGTTAGCAAGCACCTATAAAGGCCGGAACGCTACACAAGGGATTGAGTGGGCAGCACCACACCCGCCACCTTTGTCTCAACCATGGCGATGTTTACATACCGCACTAGATACTTATTTGAGTCAACCTAGAGGAGGCCCATGACCAACTCAGATAATTGTCAATGGAGTTAGCCGTGAGCGGGAATCAAACTCGGGTCGCCGGGTTCGCAGTGCAGCGCACTAACCATTGCACTACCGCTCCCCGCACCACACACATTCGAGCTGGGATGATTAGGTAAATTTACAAAAATCGGGAATCGAAAACAATATTAACTATGGAGTGGAGACCAAGAGGAGGCAACAGAAGCAGAGGAAGACAGCGGAAGAGATGGCAGCGAGATGAAATCAAAGAATTTGGAGGCCAATGCTGAACAATTGAACCTGATGGCGGTACCCCGGGGTACCATAGTACCCCGGCTCTCGCATAATGTCCGTGATGCAGTCATTTTTAGTCTGTTGATGGTCGGTGGTGCGGCAATCGACTCATCTCGACGAGCTGTACACGATGCACTATGGTGTATACGAGCGTTCAGGGTTTCAGCGCAATCGTCCTCGCTGCGTTTCGACATCGCGGAGTAGCACTGATTGATTGATTGGTACCCCAGTCGCGGAGTGAAGTACACCCCTGGAAAAAATAGTGTCCCAGAAATACAATATTTAATTGCCTCGTCCATTTTGTATTATTTGGTACCCCGGGATACCGCCATAAGGATCAATTGGACAGCCCAGCTCTTATGCACAACATTGGTGGTCGTGGTGGCCAGGTGGCTCAAGAGGTCAAAGCGCTGAGCTGACACCGGTGAAGCTTGGTGAAATTAACTACCATTATTTGCAGTGTGGTGTGGCCCTAATCTAGCAATGGATTAACTACAAGCTGTGTTTGTACATGTGTATGATCCTGCATGTCAAAAGTGGATTTATTCATAAATCAATCTTTTAAAGGAGGTGGATGGCAATGGGTTCAATTTGATAATGCCCTTTATAAATCCGGGAATGCCTCCCCAAGTGTCAAGACTTTTTATCCAGGGGGAACCTATTGGGATGTTTGCCTAATTCCATTCGTTTTTGCATGCGCATCATGGTATAAATCTGGTGACCAGAGCACATTTCTGGGCCACGGCTGCGGCGAATGATATCTGAAGCAATCCTAGGTGCCCCTTCACCAACCCGCATGGACCAGTGTGGCGATACGTGGTCAACAACCTCGCATGGACCAACAATAGTGTGGAGAGACTTATCCAGCAAAGAATTGACGAAAGCCTATATCTTTACACTTTATTTTGCATGTAGGACGAAACTAGAGAATCCCAAGGAAACCCACACATGAGGGGATGACGCTCAATGCTCCACGCCTCCAACTCGCGAATAGCTCTGCTTGTGATGTCACAGCTCCACTTAAAAATTAGCAAGGACAGACTGGCATGCGATCGATCAGCTTGGCTATGGTCTGCCAGAGATTTCACAAGTCTTGCAAACAATGTAAAGGAGAGAGAGAAAAGGCAACCAAGCAAGTGTGACAGATTGTGCAACATGGACCGACAGTCAAAGCTCTGGCAGAGGATCAACCAAAAACAACTCCTGCATTCGCGTACACCACTAGGTGCGAGTTTATCTCATTCCATCTTTATGCCAAAGTGGTAGATAACTGTACTTAAAACCTCTGCTATTGCACTGCAACTGTTACAAAAGTGGTGTAGCCCTAACATGAATGTACAGGTTTTTTTTGGGTTAGGTAATGTAAATATAAATGTGTCGTTAAACCCGCCCACAACGCACTCATTACCAAGCTTGCATGTGGATGAAAGCTATCACACCTCTTGGAAGCAAAGCAAGGTGCCCTTATATCCAAGATGTGCTTGTGTCAGAAGTTACCATTTGCCCTCCCAAACACCACCAGTGTGTTTGAAGGACATGTTGCTTATATGAGTGCTATACTTATATAAAGGTATGATTATATCCATCTTCTACTGTTTTATGAAGTCATGGTTTACAAGGGACAAAACTACAGGCAACTGTATAAGTAACGGTCCACGTATCTATATAAGGACCTTGTCCAGCCAATCTTAATAATAAATCACAGCGTGAGATCATTACTATTCAAGTTCCAGGATTCTTTATTTAGTTTTCGAACAATCGTGGGATCCAGCTGAAGGAGGGGAGCGACTACGGCATGTGCCATCAATGGAAATAGTTTCGAAGCCCCTTTTGAATGTAAACTATCGAGCAGGTATCAAATTCTGCCAGCTGCATATAGCGTTCCACTACGCTGCATTGAGTTATGATATGACATGACATTACGATTAAGGAGGTGGAATGCTGCCCTGGTGTAATACTAAACTATTAAAACCAATTGTCAATTCGAATCAATCTCCTGGCGTAGCAGTTGAAAAAAATGGTGCAAGTCTTTTAAATCCTCCGTACAACTTCTGTCCATCCACCAGCATAAACTACCTTGCCTGGTATACAAGAGACGTGGGTTCGATCCAGACCCTGATGCCTGCTGTATACTTGGAGTTTGCGGTGTCTCTCCCAGTGGTCGTGTGGATTTTTCTCCGGGTCCTCCGGTTTTTCCTTCCAAATTTAGAATCAACGTGTGTTCAGAGTATTTGGCTGCTATAAATTTCACGTGCTAAGCAACTTCATTGAGCTATCATTTGTGGCCAGGTCGCTGTATAACTCAGTGGGCCTTACCTGGTAAAATAAAAATAGTTTAAATAGCTTTTAGTTTTAGTTTAGGTAACTTGCGGTCAGATGAAGCGCAAGAACTCCCACCTCATCCAAGATGTCTGGCCAGCTCGAACTCACTCGAGTGCAGGTCATTCCACCAGCAGTGGCACAGGTAAAAAACACTGCAGGGCTGAACCTATACATTTACCCTTTTAAGATAAATGAAGGATTAGGACCAGTTTGTTGTTATAACTTATCCTTCGACTGCAGAGCTCGTTATGTGGTGGCAACAGCTGGAACCCAATACAGCTGGATGACGATGCTGTGGTTAGAGCTAGGGTTTCTGTGCTATGGTGAGAACTGTGATATACCGCACGATATAACGGTCCACAATAATTATATTGTCTATTTTGTAAAATTGTGATATCCTTATTTGTTTAGTTTGTTTTATATCTTCTGCTGTGACAAATTATGTGAATTAGGAACAACCACATTCGATAATGTTCTAAATAACTGTATAACCCAAACATTATAGTTTTTTCTACATAACTTCAGTAACCCTATTATATTGTGGTAGTACAGGCTAAATTTATGCCTACACTTTTGTAGTATTCATTTCCTAATATTGATATGGCAAACTTGTATACAATGTGTGTTATAAGCATTGTATATCGTAAAAGGTTGCAATGATTCGAAGACTCATGGCAGACACATGCCGAGTGAACTGCAACTGATGAACTTGTAATTAATTTTGAATCTTCTTTGGTTCTTTCGGTAAAGTCACGTAGAATGAGAATAATAAATTAATAAAATAACACAATAAAATTCTCACGACGTTTCGGCCACAACACAAGTGGCCTTCATCAGGTGAAGGTACGAGACTGTCTCACTGTCTCGTCCCTAAAAATAAAATATTTTATTTTATCAATTTATTATTCTCATTCTACGTGACTTTACCGAAAGAACCAAAGAAGATGAATCCTTGCAGTCACGAAAGCTTTAAATCGAAATTTAATTTTGAATCGTACTGGAGGTATGACAAAGCACCAAAACAATCAAATTGAGAAATACAATTAAAAAGTTACAATAATTGATGCAGCACACAAGAGAGGCCTAGTACTAGCTCACTTTTCCTCCCTTCAATATACCGTTTGCAAAGCAGCACTCCATAACCCAGGAGCCACTCAATTAGGTTACTGAAGAAGCTCCCAGCAATGTGCAGAGAAACGCCAGAGAAGTGGCATTACAATCTCAAAACACACCAGAGCTGTACAGCACAACGGGGAAAAGCGGACGGAAAATGTATATCACTTGGTGAAAAATGTCATCGCAGCATTGCTAGTTCATGCAATTGACTCCTGATTTGAAGGTTGCAAAGTGAGTCCCCACTTTGTGGGAGATCAGTAGTGATTGTCCTGTAGACTTGTAGTGTGACACAGGCCCCCTACTGCTTGGGCGTGGTATTGTGATGCACACAGAATGACAGCTGCCACTCGTATACACACGGGAGAGATGGCTTTGGCCAGATTTACTTTGAAGTGGCCCATGGGTAAAACACACATTGATGGAGCACAGCTCACCAGTGTGAAGGGGTTGGGGGAGCGGGGGAAATTAATATTTTTTTATGTATTTAGGTAAAGTGTATGCATTGCAAGGTACAAGGGGGCAGAGGTTGGTATGTCCCTTCATTGCCCAAAACACCACATCCCTATCTGGAGTGAGCCTCTCTATCTAGAGGCAACTGCTGCATTTCAGACGACCATATGCGTTATTTTAAACATTAATAGCTCGAACTGCTCATCGCACCTCTACACGTTAAGCAAAGAGGTGGGCCCTATGCTCACTGTTTAACTTATAATCGGAGTCAGACTATTTGGCCCTGATGGTACGACCATTACCGATACCTACCCCACACAGAGAGAGGGGGACAAATGAATAAGCACACATGCAATTTAAACTTATTACATTGACAGTTAAGACATATAGCTTTTGGTCGCAATAGCCCGTGGTCGAGACTACTGACGGAGTGGCAGCTAAAAGATGATAATGTACGAAATGTCATCCAACGCGGAGATGATGCGATCAAATTCCCTCGTGTGCAGGAATTATATTATTTAATACATCGCAGGACCATTTGATATGGGAGGCTCTTATATTGCAGTAGACTAATAATGGCTGATGATGATGTACAACTACCGTGCATGTATGCATGCTGCAGACAATAGTTTAATGCTATCAATAATAATAACAATAATGATGGAACACATGCACACCCATTCAGAGTAAGAACCAGTATATAGAATTGCAAGGACACAGCAATAAAGTTGAGCACGATTGCGTCAAAACACAAGACAATTTTTTTTCCAACAACACCAAATTGGACCGCCTCAGATAAACACACGTGCAGCCCTTCATGAATCCACTGCTGGATGAGGATCTCCCCATGCCGTGCGGGGTCGTTCGTACCGTACTTCACAACACTGGTCAATCGGTATGGGTTGGTGAAGTCAGGGAGCATAGACGTGGGAACAAAGTAGAACTTTACAACAACGGTTTTTGGTGCTGCTGCACCACACTCTTCCAACCACAGCCCCGATTGTAACATGTCATGCATGGTTTTGCTCATCTAAGCACAATCATCCACCATCAACCCTGCTCGGCTTTCGATGTCTGACGAGATTGGACACATTCCGGGTGATTGGTCAGGGCATCACACAGCACCCGTTCATTAAATACAAGAGACAGCCACCACCAAGTAATTCCACCTTCAGAAGCTCCGTAAGATCCAACAGGCATCACAACGTAACCTCCAGCGGCACATGTTAAGACAGGCACATACCAGGGCCATGCACGTGCGCATGCAAAGGACATCTCGCAAGTAAGGAACAACCCCGCCTCTCGCTCCTGCACATGAACGTCCCACAGCAAGATTAAACAAACCTACACGTTTGCTCGGGCCACAGCCTTAAAAAAAGGTATCAGCAGTGGCAACAGCAGCAGCGTCACCAACAAAATGCAACACTTGGGAGACTGACGGACTTGGCAGCAGCGATGGTTATGCTGGTGGGCATCAAAGCCATTCCTGCCACCTTCATGTCGAAGCCTGCAGGTGACTCATGGTGCTTTCGAGGCCCGCCAGAACGACAAGCCCTCTTCACCAAATTCATATGTACTTTGAACAACCACCAGATGCTTTGTTCCAGCAAGGCTGCCATCATTAAATCGTCCCAGCTCCGAGCCATCATCCCCACCAACACCTACACCACGTGTTTTGTTCTCAGCCCCTGTATAATTGCACGGTAGTACACAGTACTGACACTGTGGGACGTGGGATGGGTAGACAGATGCAGATCAACGAAGCAGCGAGATTGGCATAGGACAGAGCGAAGTGGAGGGAGGTGCGACATACCACCAACCCTCTAGAAAGACGGTACCAGAAGACTACTACTGACACTGTACCTACACATGTAAACCTAGCCACTCGCGCGTAGCCGTGCAGTTTGTGGAATTGGCTCCCAGGGCTTCGGGTATTTACAATGACCCCCGAGAATGCTAAAGGTGACGCTGGAGCATTGCTACTGCACACCGAGAATACTAAAATACTCTCCAGCCTAGCTGGAGTGATTTTCAAAAGTAAGCCGAAAGAGATCCTAAGGGTGTCTTGGTATGCTCGAGACTGGCAGTTAACCGTTGTAATCCTAAGGATGTTTTCATTTTGCTCACATAACCTCCAGCATCGTGATCCTCATAAGAATCATATGGTTGCGTTATTGAGGCGCTATTAGCCGTATGTAGTCTATATACGCAACAGAATAAGACGGAGAGTGGGGATCCACAGCTTGTGCTACAACACCAGAGAATACCAAAATCGTCATCTAGGCTATACGAGTCCCATATATTCACAATTCAAAAATAAACAACAAGAAACACTACCGGTGGTTTAGTATGGCCGAGACAGGGGAAGTGTGTACACCATAGGTAACCCCTAAGGCTGCTTGTTATACTTTGTCTCTCTCCGCCTCCAGCATTAGTATCAGTGACCTCGGCAAGAATCAAATGGTTGCATTCGCCAGTGGGTACGACCCGCAGGTACTGTACGGTAGATGAAACCGAATAAGATGGAGAGTGCGAATGGGAACCCACAGCTTGTGTTACAACACGCACGCACGGCGAGACGAGGCACTTTCACCACCAGGGTCGCCTCGCCTAGCCCGTGCTGCCGACAAAAAAAACCCGTTCAACGATCTCTAACGAGACGCCGCCTGGACCAAGAGTGAATGTTTTATTTCACAATGAAACACAACCCGTGGCGTAGCATACGAAAATACACGGGCATGCACGAACGAGGGTACCCATGGGCAATATCGCGAGAGCTGATGAACCTGTAGACTGCCGCTGCCTTGTGAAGACTTTCACAGGGCCACACATGTGGCCACGTGAAAGGGGCCATCACACGAGGGATGGGAGCAAAGTCATTGTACGGGAGATGCAGGGAGGGTACAAAGCATCAGAGGAGACGAAGCAACGGTGGTTAGAACCACAGGAACAGAGAAAATTATAGTGGGAAAGCGCGAGAGGATACGCATAATTAGAATGACAAGCTGGGGACGAAGCATCAGAGAGACACACCGAGAGAATCAGAAGCATCAGGAGAATCCAAGACGCACCACAGAGGAGCAGGATCAACAGAGATAGAAGTAAAAGAGGCACAGCCGCCTTAAGCCAAACCAACAGCATGATCGTTAGAGAAAAAACTGCGGCGTCAGAGGAAAGGCATGAGATAGCAGCAGAAACAGCAGGGTTACCATAGACTAGCATGACATTAGACAGGCACATCATGAGGAACAAAAGCACAAGAGAAGGGGCATCGTCGGTAGCAAACGCCACAACCGAAGCATAGCACACCTACGTGAGTTTTCCCGACGAGTCGAGGAACAGCGACACAAATGCAAAGCCATCAGATGAGCGAAAGCATTAGAGGCGCACGACAAAATTAGAAGAGAACAAAACATGAGCAGCAGCGTTACACACACAGTACCTACAGAAGCATTCGAGGCGTAGCAGCATTTGAGCCAAACAAAAGCATACGACAGCAACAGCAGCGCCACAACAGGAGCGTGACACAGGCCGCCACCAGCCTCCCCCTCACCTCCATGAGCCCTCCCGACGTGTCGAGGTCGTACACGATCTTCTCCATCATCGTGGCCTCCCTCCTCGCCGCGGCCGATAAACAATCTGCAAGCGCCTCCTCTGCTCAGTCCCTGCGCTGGCGTTGCACTTGCGTTTGGGTTCACTCCGCGCTCCCTAACTCAACAAAAGACGCAGCGGCCGAGAAACGCGGCGGAGCGGTCGCCACTCAGCCGCTGCTGCTGTCGCTGCCGCTACTCGCCGCCTGCGTCGCCATGGCGTCCCGAGGCGCAGCGACAAAACAAGGCCCTGCGGGGTCCTCGGTCTTGCCTGGAGCTCCCCGCAGGGAAGCCTGCGCTAGGCCTCCCGTCAGATGCGGAGGCCGCGCCGGCAAGGCTGGGGGCTGAGGCGAGCACGAAGCACGCAAGGAATCGTCGTCCCCTCTCTCTGGCTGCACTCCCACCCTCGCTACTGCCGCTGCTGTTGTCGTTGCAAAGACCTTGATAACACGGCCGCTTATTAACGGCGGCCCCGCGCCGCCTCCTCCTCCATCACCGCCGCGTCAAGTTGGCGCTAACTTTGCAATAGCGGTAGTGCGCATGCGTAGACACGCCCCGCCAGCCGCGTGGCTTCACGAGCGCGCGGTTCCCGCCAAAAGCGCGTGCTCGCCCATTGGTCAATGTCCGGCAATCCTGGCGCGCGATTGGACGCAATCGCGTGATGTGACGACAAACGGTGCGTAACGGCGGCCATCTTCGGTAAGGAAAGAAGTCGTACAGTAATATTGTTGTGAAGGATGACGTCTTCTGTAGCCATTTCCGGTCAGATATAATATTAAATTATTACAAGTTAATTATATTTATATTACTGTTCATGTTAACCACAGGTTTTTTTTCCTAGTATGGAGTTGCGTGACTTCCATAATGCTCTGGAAAAAAAGATGAAGTGAACGAAAAATGTGCTTATTGACATACATTACAGCAATGCCTGAGGAATCAATTAATCGGTTGGGTCGCAGATTGAGAATCGATCCTTTACAAATCTCATTTACATGGAAGTCATAGATGCCCATGTTAGCTTAGTATACAAAAAACAGCACAATACAAATGTGAAAGGCAATAACATGCGCACGTCCGCTGCTGAATGAATGCCTCCCCTACGCCGTCGTACGGCCCCTGGGGGTGGGGTAATTTATTTATATCTTTAGATTATTTGGCTGCTATACATGTCCGCATGATGAGCCACTTCGTTGAGCTCTCATTTGTGGCCAGGTCGATTCTGAAAAAGAGCTCCGTGCTACTTACCCGGTAAAGTAGAACGTTTTTTGTTAGCTTAGTTTTTAGGATGCAGTGCGTGGACCTGACCGCAAGGTTTACATCCACCTCCTTGTCAACAATTCACGTGGAGAGATCTAGAATGGGAGACCACGGCTACCGGCATCTCTCAGAGGTCAGGACTGGCACCTCTCAGTCCCTTGGTTTGAATCCAGACAGCCTCCTGTGATTTTTCTCCGGGTCCTGCGGTTTTCCCCTCCACATTTAGAATTGACATGCGTTGAAAGTTTGTGGCTGCAATGCATTTCCACGCGAGAAGCCGCTTCGTTGAGCTATCGTTAATAGCCAGCTCGCTTCTGAAAAAGAGCTGTATAGTTCAGTGGACCTGGATTCTCAAAGGCGGTTGGTTGATGGTTTTGTCGTGGATACAATCTTATAATAATAAAAAGTGACGTCAACTGCGCGAGATACGTTTTGGTTAAATACACCCGCAATATTAACCAGGGCGGACGCTGGGTTCTAACCGCGAAACTCTACTACATGCGGCAATTAACGCGCTATTCAATATTAACCAGGGCGGACGCTGGGTTCTAACCGCGAAACTCTGCTACATACGGCAATTAACGCGCTATTCTATTGTTGCGGATGATGGGAGCAACAGCAACTTGGTTCAGGAGCTCGACGTCAATGTCGCGGTCTGCTGCTGCTAGCCACGACGAGAGGGCTCCATCAGAGAGAGAGAGTTCGTGTCGCTCGCTGTTCCTCCTCCGTTGGTCCACATTTTGGGTTGCAAGGCCACAATCACACGCCTGTGTCTTGTATTTAACACATTCCTGTGGAGGGAGCTGGTAGGAACGTTGGGTTGCTCGGTCAATGGCCAGGGTCAATGGCGGCACCACGTGGTGTATTCCGCAAATATGCCCGACTTTGAGGGCGGGCACAAGCCGGCGTTAGTAGGTTACAACGTTGAGTTTTATAAGGGCACCACGGGGTGACCAGCCACCCCCCTACCCAGCCCCACCCTCCCCACCCAGCCCCACCCTCCCCACCCACCACCCAGCCCCACCCAGCCCCTCCCCTCCCCCACCCTCCCCACCCAGCCCCTCCCACCCCCCACCCCCCACCCAGCCCCACCCTCCCCACCCAGCCCCCCCCACCCAGTCCCTCCCCACCCAACCCCCACCCAGCCCCACCCAGCCCCTCCCCGCCCCCACCCTCCCCACCCAGCCCCTCCCACCCCCCACCCAGCCCCACCCTCCCCACCCAGCCCCTCCCACCCCCCACCCAGTCCCTCCCCACCCAGCCCCACCCCTCCCACCCCCCACCCAGCCCCACCCAGCCCCTCCCCGCCCCCACCCTCCCCACCCAGCCCCTCCCACCCCCCACCCAGCCCCACCCTCCCCACCCAGCCCCTCCCCACCCTCCCCTCCCCACCCAGCCCCACCCTCCCCACCCAGCCCCTCCCCACCCTCCCCACCCAGCCCCTCCCCACCCTCCCCTCTCCACCCAGCCCCACCCCTCACATTTTTGGATGCACGACTAACGGACGGACACAATAATCCCCTGTGGGCTGGTTGTGTAACCAGGAGGTTCCTCCCAGTAAAATCTCGAGATATCTCTGCGTCTCTGCCTATGGGTTTAGTAGTATAGTCGGAAACCAAAATAAAAGAAGTGCAATTTTTGTTCGAATTCGGTAAACTCAATATTTCAAGAGCCACAATGCACGTGAATACGATACGGTGGTCGTTAATACATCGCGTCACGAAGCAGTCCATAAAGAGCCGCAGGTTTCCTACCCCTGGTTTACTATATGGTCCATAGTTTGGATTGCATGGCCACAATAACAATCCTCTGGTTTTGTCTTTAAGTGTTTTTCTCGCGAAGGAGATGTGGTGCGCATCGGCTCGCTGCTGTTGATGTTCTGATAAAGCGGTTGATGGTTCCGCTAGTGCCTTCGAGGAGGAGGAGCGTCAAAGCCAAGAAGAGGTGGTGCGATTATGTCTGGAACGAGGTGTCGTTCATTCTGCTGGACGCCCGCGTTCATCCATTCTGTTGGGTGGCTCCACCGGTTAGGATGCTTTCGCTTCACAGGAGACCTGTTGTGTAACGAGCGTGGGGACAGGGGGTGCCCCCCCCCCTCCCTGGTGGCCAAAGCTACGAGTTGGGGGCCCCCTTGACAAGCACCATGAGATTTTTTCAACAAAAGTGTCAAAGAGCAACAAAATCATTTAAAACGCGGTTTAAATGCTGTTGTTTTTTTATGAAAATGCTTTTATTTACGTTCCACGCCTTATTTTAATTCAATTAGAGCAGTAAAGTTTGGCGACCATGCGACACAAATTCAATATTGGGGGACCCCACCTGACCGATTGCCGGCACCCCCTGGGTTGATCACGGCATGACTCCGCCACTGCCTTCGATACACAACTCTGACACCGTCGCCCGAGGCCAGACGGACGCCGTTCGTGACAATGAACGCACGACACCACGTGCCGCTGGGGCCGCCACGGCATCGTGAATTCCGTTAACCTCTTACAGTCCCGTACATTCACCTGCGAGTGACCTCCGCGCCAGAGTGTCGAAGAAGGTGGGTGTTTTTTTATAGTGGGGGGGGGGGGTCACAGACCGCAGCTCACTCCTGCGCCTGTGGCGATTAGGGAGGCGAGGCAGCCGTGCGCACGGGTGGCTCAGAGCGATAGCTCTCGGACACAATACGGCGAATTGTGCGCGGTATTTTCCTGCTACGCACCGGTGGGTTGCCAACCAGCATCCTCGACCGCCGCCTACCAACCCCCCCTCCACCCGCCCTCGCACGCCCGATCGAAATCACGCGGGGAGTTTGAGCCACGCAGCACTTGCGAGCCGACACTCTTCACCCGGTGCCCTTGTGCGTGTAGATGCTGCACGGTTATGTGAAGAGGTGGGTACAATGTTTGTTTTACTTTAACTGGTTTTGTTTAGCTCGCTCTGTCTCTGCTATAAAGAAGTTGGTTTTTGGTAACGATGCTGTTGCTTTGGCAGTGGTGCAAAAAAACTGAACACGTACGTAAATAACACTGTGTGTGTGTGTAGCCTTAAAGGGCAGTGTATATATAGGCGACGTTTCGGATTGTGGAGCTCCTTCAAAGCACAGTGGGTCATTGCCCCAAACGCCGCCTATTGTATATTTTAACGCGCTGTTACTATTTTCGGATGTGTTCAAAGTTGTTTTAGTTATTTGTGTGACAGTTTTGGATGTCCCCCCCCCCCCCGCCATGACGGGACGTGGGGAAGCCTTCATCCAGCAGTAGATTGGCATAGGGCCGCGATTTCCATCGTTTCACCCACTCTCGAGTGGCTGTGATTCAGGCACTCCAAACCTCAATGAATTCCGGTCGGAGATGAACAGGCTTGGCGTGGGGGGGGGGCGATAAATTGAGTACCACTTTAAGGTAAGTTTAACGATGGGTGCGCGGTGGTGAAGCTGATCCTTGCCATGAGAATGTGTAATTTCCATGACCAACGGATGTGAACGCCGCGGTGGCGCCTGGTATGCAGAAGGCCGTGGGTTCGATTCCTACCCTGACGCCTGTGGTCGCGTTGATTTTACTTCTCGTTTTTACCTCCACATTTAGAATTAGCGTGCGATTAGAGTATTTGGTTGATATAAATGTCTACGTGATAAGCCACTTCATTGCCCTTTCATTTGTGACCAGGTCGCTTCTGAAAAAGAGCCACGTAGCTCAGTGAGCCTGACCTGCTAAAATGTAAAAAAAGAACACTCAACCCCAATGATTGTTTAAGCAGGGAGACACCGTGACTCAGTCAACTATTCGTGACTGATCGGAGCTCTTTGGTCAATTCACTGCTGGATGAGAAACTCCCCATGTCGCGCCGGTCATGGGGGGGGGGGGGGGGGGGGTTGTCTGACCATACTTCACCGTGCTGGTCAGTGGCAGCGCATGACCGACCAGTCGCGTGTCCTTCGTGGCCGGGGATCGAACTCGGGTGTGCCGGGTTCGCAGCGCGGTGCGCCAACCGCTGTGCCACCACTCCCCACTCCCATTCCTCTCCGTGTTTGTATTTCACGTTGCGGAGAGGCGGTGGAGGTGCGCCGATGCTAAAGTCACGCGGGGGATCGATCGTGTGCGTCACGGCGATACTGCTCGGAACTTCCTCGAGTTTTTAATAATCGCAAATACAGTCCGTTCCCCTATAACGCGTGTAGTTTTCAAGGCGCGAATTGGATATAACGCGATTGAGTGAACAGAACTGCGTCGCGTGAGGAGGAATACGCGGCTGTACGGCTGCCTCGGCGTAGCATCGCACAAGGTGGGATGCTGCTGCATCCTTCTCGATATTACCCACGCGCATCAGTCTTTGATCAGCCTGCATACCCATTTGACGTGTTATCGCGGACTGTGCTTTAGCCTATATTATTTATTAAAGTGCGATTTTTCCAGACGGTGATCCGCAATGCGCCCCATCTTGTTGAGCCTCGGCAGCTAAGCAGGTTTGAGCCTGGATAGCGCTTGTCTGGGCAACCAGCGCTATGGGGCGCGTTCATCTCCGTTGACGATCAGACAGTGGTGTAAACTCCACATTCTTATGGCGGAAGCAGTTGTGTGTGTGTATGTGGGGGAGTGGTCGTGTAGCGGTTCGCGCGCTATGCTACGAACCCGACGACCCAAGTTCTATTCTCGCTCACGGCCAACACCAGTGACGATTAACTGAACCGGTCCTGGGCCTCACCTAGGTCGACTCAGCCTCAAATGAGTACCTGGTGCGGTGTGTTCAGACATCGCCACTGGGGAGACAAAGGTGACCGGGCGTGGTGCTGGCTCACTAACAACACTTGCCCCAACATTCTGTTCAGGCTAAAGGGGGGATCTTTGTCTTTGGTCTACTTCTGTATAATTGTATTGCGATTCTTCCGCTGTAGCTGGATACGCGTGTCCAGGTAAACTCACCTGGAGGCGCCGTGGTGCTTTCTGCAGGGCGGGCGACATGACCACTGTGCAGGTGAGAGGTTCGCTCACCTGGTGGTCTCACTTGGCATTCTCACCTCGTGGTTTCACCTGGTGGTCTCACCGCTCTACAGGGTGGCTCAAAAGTCAGGATGCATAGGGTTATTTAATTTATTCTAACACTGGCATTAAAGCATTTTAACAATTTACTCTTAAACTTAATATGTTATCTATTGTCATGATTCTTATACATTTTTCGTTTTCTTCTTCCTGCTGCTGCGGGGTCACCTGAAATTCGTCGTTTTACAAAACATCATTGGTGACTGTTCAAAGATTACATCGGTAAACTTTTTTTAAAAAGTCCTGAAATAATTTCAAAACATAATTAATGTATGCATGAATCTTAGTGGAAGTCAGTTTGAGCATTTGTTAAAATAAATTAAATAACCCTGTGTAATTTGTCAAAATATAATATCCCTATGTGTCCTGACTTTTGCGCCACCCTGTATATTGATGAGAATGCGGCACGTGACCAAATCACCCAGAATTCGTCCATGGGTCAGAGCAGAAAATGGTACCACAGAAGGTGGCAAAGCTTTGGCAGTTATGATGTATTAATCCATGCGCTTATGCAATGCAAATTGAACCCCGATGAAGCTTGGAAAGCTGTGGTTCAAAATAACTCACAGACAAACACCACGTTGTGAAAGACCCAATGCAGAAGATCCCTGGGTTTGGTCTTCCACGAAGCTCATGGTCCACCCTAAGCCCCATCATCCACTGCACAAACCATGGCAGGTGCGTTAACCTGATGCACAAATAGAAACCTCTCTAGTGTGCGACTATGGTCGTCCAGATCAGACCGCACAACACGTATTTACATATGTTGAACTTCTTTCACACCGTACGTGGCCAACCGTGCTAATCGGAGGTGCACATGATGACGCAACTCAAAAAAACACGAAGGAGACATCGCAGCGATACACTCCGCCGCTCCTGACGCCGTTGTCTGGCTTTGACCACCTGAATGTGAGATTGTAGTCGTTGCTCTGCATCTACATTATCACCCGTACGGAAGAAGACAGATTTAAAGCGGTTATCGCATACTTTGCTGGAATTGGCCACACATCAAGCGATTGAAGCCCGCGAGGGTGATGCCACCTCGAGTGGTACCGACAAAGTGCGGCATCCACTCTGGGTTCATGGACTTAATTCAGTCAATAACGTGGAAGCTAAGCAGGCTTTGCGCCTGTACCGTTCTTGGATGGGCGACCACCATGCACAACAGGTTGTTACAAGTTGCTGCTGCGCCGCTACGTGGCAGGCAGCAGAGGATTGTGCAGCAAAATACACTGTTGTACTGCACTTCTATGCCCCCCGCCCTTCGGCTCCCACACATCTACGTTCCTCGCCTTCATGAACCCGTTTTAACCGACGTGGTTGAAGTATTATCAAATAACCCTCCAACGACGTGGAGAGGTCCTCATTCAACAGTGGAACGACGCAGGGGCTGCGCACGCAGATGCGTTGTTGTGCCACAAGGCAGTGTTGACGGGCACGGCGGTGAGCTTCTCGTCGTTGTTGTGTAAACAGTTTTGTAACCTTCCCTCCGTGCGGGAGTGTTCGGCGTGGGCGTGAGGCTTAGTGCCGGGCCGTAAATCCCGAGAACATCTACTTAGGCGAACACAGTGCGGGCATTATAGTAAAGCGATGAGGAGGGCCAGAATTGAGAAGCATGACGATGAAAAGTAATACACCACACAAGGATCGACCGACGGACGGGTTCATTCCTATCGCTCACCACTGATGTTAGCTGTGACCGGGAACAGGGGAGCTTGGATCACCAGTGTTTATAGCACGTGGTGCACCAGCCACTGCTCTGCCACCACCACCCCACCCTGCAGTTGTAATTATTAATGTTTTCTTGAGATGAGGTCGCATTCAGATGCTGCACTAATCCAAACTATGCAGTCGTAGTATTCTTACTGCAAGGAGGAAACGATCGTATGCGTTGCGTTTGTCAGGCCAGGTTTTTGGGGCGCTGCGTTGGCAAGATGTTAACTACCTCGCCTAAATTTTTGTATTTGTATATGTGGCTATCCACATATTTGTTTGTATATGTGGCTATCCACATATACTAACACAGAGACAATTTCAACCGAGAAGATGGATTCTGGCTTAGCAATCATTGGAAGGATTTGATAAACCATTTCAGGTCTTAATTGATTGATCACGTTTAAGGTGGCTTTCAGACCGCATCCATTATTTTTCGTCTCCCCCCTCCTCTTTTACGAACATAGATGGACTCGTCCATCTGAACAAACTGTCAAATCTCTCTCCGTGGTGCTAACGTTAAAAAAAAACGCCACTTTTTTCAAATGTTCTTGTTGTGGTTTTCACACCTGATGATGATTGCTTGTGTTGCAGTCGAAACATCGTGAGAATTTTATTGTTTTATATTTTAATTATTTTATTGTTTCCCTTCTTCGTGACTTTACCGAAAGAACAAAGAATATACCTCGCCTAGTATACAGGAGGTCGTGGGTTCGATCCCAACCCTGATGCCTGTATATTTGGAGTTTGCATCTTCTCCCTGTGGATGAGTGTATTTTTCTCCAGGTCCTCCGGTTTTCCCCTCTGCATTTATAATTTACATCACCTTGCATTCAGAATATTTGGCTGCTGTAAATGTCCACGTGATGAGCCACTTCTTTGAGCTGTCATTTGTGACCAGGTCGCTTCTGAAAAAGACCTACATAGCTCAGTGGGCCTTACCTGGTAAAATAAAAAATAGTTTAATCGTTTTTTAATAGTCAAGCCAGGTTTTTGATGGACAACAGCAACTCTAACGGATGAGTAGAGAGGTCAGTTTAATTGCAGACAGGCGGATGTGTGAGGCAAGGAGATCAGAGTGCTGGACTTCAACAACACAAAGAGATAACAAACTTCTGGCCTCTCGATACACGGCGTACTTAGGTGTCGTTCGGAAATTCATGGAAGAACAGGCCGAAGCAAATAAGAAGTTTTGAACAGAACACTAAAGCAGAGAGCGACGAGGCCATGATGGGTGGGAAGTATTGCGTATGTAGGTATGTATATTGAACTTCTTTCGCACCGTACGTAGCCAACCGTGCTAATCTCTGGTGCGGGAACCGCGTGCAGGGAGGGGGTGGAGGGCAGGTCGCCGAGATCGGCATTAGCGTAGCACCCATAGGTCACCGACCAAAGGCCTCAAGCCACAAAAATCGAAAACTAATTTCTTTAGAACTGTCTTTTTGGGTCTAGTTTATTGTCCTTCCCCCGCACCTCCGATTTAGCACGGTTGGCTACATACCGTGCGGAAGAAGTTCAACAGACATGCATCCCTCCGCTTAGCACGGTTGGCTATGTACGCTGCGAAAGAAGTTTAACATACGTACATACAGTACATACGACAGGGCCCAGGGGTAGCGTGAGGTTCACGAGTTCGAATCCAGCGGCCGTCCTGGTTACTACTGCAGGTGAAGCTCCCAGTACGCAGAGCAGAACATCCGGACATCTTACCAAACAACGTGCGGTGTAAACTATAAACTATTTATTTAAACAAAACATGTTTTTTAGCAGGTAAGGCCCACTGAGCTATACAGCTCTTTTTCAGAAGCGACCTGGCCACAAATGATAGCTCAATGAAGTGGCTTATTATGTGCAAATTTATAGCAGACAAATACTCTGAACGCGTGATGTTGATTCTTAATGTGGATGGGGAACACCAGAGGACCCGGAGAAAAATCCACACGACCACAGCGAGAGAAAGAGACTATCAAACTCCAAATATACAAGCAGGTGTCAGGTTCGGAATCTAACCCATGCCCCCCTGTATACATCTGACCACCATGGTGTCCACAGAGCACTTACTCGGCACAAGCAGAAAAATCAAGCTGCGCCTTTTATAACGATCTCAATTATCTCCACCCCTCATCCTCAGGCTTCGAACTCGTCCATGGCTTCTCGGCACGCCCTCCTCGTCTCACTGGCGCTGCTTGCTCTGCACTGGCAGCAGAGCCACGGGATACCGACTCCTCAATTTCAGAGCCCCAGGGGCACAAACCCAGGGACCGTGGACAGGCACCTTGGTCCCACAACCATCCAGGCGAACATCCTCAAAGCGGAGGGCACCACCGCCACCAAAATTGGGCAGGGAACCACCACTCAAGTTGATGAGCGCCAGAGTGTTGGCAGTGGTGATAACATCACCACTGCCAACACCACCACGACCACTACCACCAACCCCACGACCACCATTGCTGTTAGCAAGTATGGTGATCATGATAACGACGATGATGACATCACCACTGGTAATAATGGCAAACGGACCTCTGCTACGAGCAGCAGCAGCCTTGGTCCCAGCGAGAAACTCACGGGTGGTGGTGGTGGAGACTTTGGGATCACCACCACTTCCGTCGGCTTTTCAAACTCCAAAGCCACCTGTGTCGAAGGCACAGGAGGTATTGGCGGCAGCGGCACCATGAGCGGACCTCCCGCGGTCCGCGACTCCGAGACTGAGAACCCCATGCAGGGCCACACCACTCGAGGTCACCGCAATCATTCCCGGGAGCACGGGGACCCGGCCGACGTTGTAACCGAGAGCCCGGACCCGAGAGGCGGGGAGGACAGCGGTTCCCGAGCCAACGTAACCACAACACACAAGGACTGCCACGAGTTGGGGCGGCGCTACGGCCTCATCGTCCTGGTCCTGGCCTCCACCACGGCCCTCTTCGCCAGCATCTCCATTCTGCTGGCCGCACGTTGTGCGTGCAGGGACCGGCGGCGTCGCCGCGGAGCCTCCGCAAGCTCCGGCCGTGGCGGTGGTGGTAGCGACGGTGAGAGAGGTCGGCGGCCGCATGGCAGCCGTGACAACCTCCTGGGTGCCATCCCTGGCTGGGCGCCGTGGTGGGAGGCCAAGGGGCTGTTGGCGCATGGCGGAGAGGCGGCGGGGCCTTCACGTCCTGGGAACGGAGCGGCAGGCGGTGGTGGTGCCGCTGTCGGTGGTGGTGCCACGCCGTTGGTGGTGGTGGTGGAGGCCGACGCGGCACGCGAGCCATCGATCAGCGCCGAGACCCTGCCCGGGACTCCGCAGAACCGGGGCAGTGCCGCATCGCCCATTCTCCGGGAGATGCGTGGAAAATGGGACCCGCAGATGACCGCAGAGAGCTCCCCGGCCTAGCGTTTTTATGTCACACGTGTGCATGCACACTCACACACACGCACACGTGCGTGCGAGCTCATGGGTCGCTAAAATCAGTACGCACTTTGTGGAAAACCGACGGTTTTTCTACAGCTCCCGAACAAACACGCCGTGTTTGCGTGACAAACCTTATTAATTGGCTGTCGGGTGGTGGCGGGTTTAATAATCTCTATTATGGATATTGGTCACGAAAGCCTACGTGTTCAACAGATAACACTCTATTGTGTATGGCTATAAAAGAAAAACCTATATAACAGACGACGTTTGGGGCAATGGACTTTCTTCAAAGTGCATATAAAGGCTATATTCGTAGGGAACAACCTCGTGTAATGCGTGAAGCAAAGAGTCTCAGTGTGTATATTGCCTCACTCAAAGCAGAGTCGGAAGGTGCTGTAATAATTTCTGCGGGCTATCCTGAGCAAGTATTGTACATTTTACTTATTTGCCTGTGTGGAAGTTACAAGAGTCCACAAATGTATGCATTTTTTAGGAATCTTATCATTGTTGTACTTCAAAAAAAAGACAAAGGATGGAATAATCATGAATTCTAGTGGTGTTTTTATATTAACATTGTCACATGGTTAGCCACGTGATTCGCCACGTGGGTGGCCGATTTAGATTAATTATCTCATTCTCCCCCCCCCCATCCTTCCCCACCGAGACATTGCACTGGGTTGGAGAATGTACGGAAAATGCCCACGCATACTTGAGAATATCCAACCCTGCCACACAAACTAAAACAACTTTCAACACATCCGTCAATAACGCTGCTTGCTTAAAATAAAAAAAATGTTGTGAACAAGAAGCATTTCCTGAAAGTCGTCTATGATATATTGTATCCCTTTCAAGGCCACACAGTGATATTGACGAATGTGTTGAGTTGTATTCGTCGGTGCATGTATACCACTGCCAACGCAGCAGTTGCAGCATCGGTATTACCGGATAATTTGTTTGTACAGAGACAGCTAGTCTATACCCTGCTTGTTGTACTGCCTCGGACAGGCACGAACTCCGTTACTCACCGTGCAGTGGGCATCTTCATATACATCATCATCACCACCACCACCATCATCACTTCTCTTATTCCAGCGTAATATACCAACCAGACTGCTGGGGTTCGGGCACTTGGCATTAACACTCTCCACAGCCTTGCCGGGCCCATGAACGGTGTTCTCTTTAGATTCTAGCATTCTATTCCACCCTTCCTTGCGTGTGATGGAAGCACACGCAAAGCAGTGTGTTCAAGAGCCTAGGTGCCCAATGTCGAGATCTGCTGCCCACGACAAGAAGGCTTCAGGAGAGAGAGAGTTCGTGTCGATTTGTTCTTCCTCTTCTGTTGAAGGAGAGCAGACCACAGTTTTACTGTAGGGATCCATAGTTGCATGGCCACAGTCACACTACTGTGGCTTGTCTTGAATGGATCTCGATGTGCACCTGTGTATTTCTTTGAGTCTCTGCGTATATCTCTTGTGTGTCTCGATGGGTTTACTATAGTGGTCCATAGTTTGGCGTGCATGGTTGGAGTCGCTCTACTACAGTGGCTTGTGTCTTTAATTTTCCCTTAATGAAGGACATGGTGCGCATTGGCCCACTTGTTGATGGTATGATGAGGCGGTTGATGGCTACACCACCGGTGTCTTCGAGGAGGAGGAGGAGGAGCAATGTCACAGGCAGGAGGAGGTGCGATGATTGGCTCTCGAATGACGTCGGCGTTGCTTTACTCTGTACGCACAGCAGCAGTGTTGTTCTTCTGAATCTGGGTGAGATACGCGGATGGTGACAGCAGCGCCAATTTAAACTGAATTAGTGCGACTCCTATAGGTGCCCGAGATCTGGCTGTCTTAACCCTCGGGGACTAACAATGAACCCCGAATGTTGTAAGGTGCCTTTGTCTCTCAGAGCCTCGAAGATCCACACTTTTGCCGTAAGGATCCATGTCCCCCGTACGGGTGCCTTATTGTGGCTCGCTGAGCCTGCGTTAAGAACTGGGGTTCGCGTGGAGATACGACGTGCAATAGCGCACTCTGTCCAACAGGGAGCGGCGGACCATCCACTGGAGATTCGAATTCAGTGACTGCGTAGGTTTTTTTGTTTGTTAATGTTAACGTCATCTCAAAATGTATGTGTACAACACGTGGTCAATTTCAATACCGCGGGATTCATACTGGCCAAAGCGAGCTCTCTCACTGGACTACGTGTAACCAGATTAACAAGAAGATACATTTTTTCGAATTATTTTTAAACAAACGAATCAATATTTCAAGAGCCGCGATGCATGTGATGAATACGAGACGGTGGTCCCTTAATAAATAACGTCTCACGAAGGAGTTGCTTCAAGAGACGCATGCGGCTCCGGAGCCGCGGCTTTCCGACCCTCTGAATGTGTGGGACGAGCGATGCCTCGAGTCATCCCCTGCGACTCGCAGCGCGCCCCAATGCAGAGCGACAGAGCGCGCGCCTGCGCCTCTCAGCCCAAGAGGGAACGTCGTTATCGGGCCCGGCGCGGCGTGGGTGCGCGGCGTTCATCGGGAAGGAAACGCGCGTGTGGCGGGGGAAATTCGGGTTGCGTGACGGAATCACGGGTGGAACCCACCGCACCGTAGCTTCTGTTGCCATTACGACCGCCACCACCACCACAGACAAAGATCCCCCGTATAGCCTGTGGGCAAGTGCTGTTAGCGAGTGCACATATGAAGGCCGGGACGGAAAACGAGGGGCTGGGTGGCCAGCACCGCGCCTTCCAACCCTGGCTCTAACCTCCAACCTCCAACCCTGGCTCCAACCTCCAACCCTGGCTCCAACCTCCAACCCTGGCTCCAACCTCCAACCCTACCTCCAACCTCCAACCCTGGCTCCAACCTCCAACCCTGGCTCCAACCTCCAACCCTGGCTCCAACCTCCAACCCTGGCTCCAGCCTCCAACCCTACCTCCAACCCTGGCTCCAACCTCCAACCTCCAACCCTGGCTCCAACCTCCAACCCTGGCTCCAACCTCCAACCCTGGCTCCAACCTCCAACCCTGGCTCCAACCTCCAACCCTGGCTCCAACCTCCAACCCTGGCTCCAACCTCCAACCTCCAACCCTGGCTCCAACCTCCAACCCTGGCTCCAACCTCCAACTCCAACCTCCAACCCTGGCTCCAACTCCAACCCTTGCTCCAACCTCCGTTGGTCGCCAGTGCCAACGTCAAGAATTGGAGCCTGGCCGTTGGGTTCTTACCCTCGATTACTGCAGTGCAACAAATAAAAAAAACCTCAAACATTTCACTCTTTGGAGCCGATCACTTCCCGCTGTTTCTAAACTTGATCCGACTAACGCGGGTCCCGTTAAGGGATCCTTATATTATCAGCTGTGTGTAATACTGTAGTCATTTCCTGAATATATTTTAAGCCGCGTTGCATTGATGCTTTTTTACCGTAATATAATTCATACCATCAGCACTTATATACTGTAACGTGTTACATGAAATGTTAAGAAACGTGCGCGCGTGTGTGATGTGCTAAGCGTGATATAATCATTCGATATACGGTCCATGTGCAACACAGGCTGATCCATGTACAGATACACCACTGATTTCCAATGCCCCCTCTGACTTTATTACCAGCAGCCGATTGATGATCGTGACACCGATTGGCTCCGTGTCTATAACAGAGGAGAGGGTTCAACTATTTAACTCGCACATTGCGATCGGTGGGACACGCGTGGAAGCTGTGCATTACAACAAAGTATTCTCCATTTCAAAATGTTAGTTTAGTGGTATATCTATAAATGGATCGCCTCGCATTGCTGCTTTCCGTGTGAATAGTTCCGTGTGATCTTCCACGGAGCTCACGGTCCACCCCCTAATCCGCATCTACTGCACACACCATGGCACTAGATGCGGATACCTGATGCACGAATGGAACATTGAAGACCCTCTCCAGCAGTGTGCGACTGGGGTCATCCAGAACAGATTGTACAACGTACAACGACGCAATTCCTCGACCCACAAATACGAAGGAGACATCACAGCGATGAAATACTCCGCTGCTCCTGACGCCGTTTATCTGGCTTGATGACCACCTGATTGTGAGATTGTAAGTTGTTGCTCTGCATCAGCCATACGAAAGGAAATAACGAAGTGTGAGACACTGAATACTGTGACCTCATTGGCTTTACGCGTCGTTCAATGGCTGTAAGCAACTCCCGAGGACTATGTTAGACTAAGTGTTGGGGCGCCACGGTGGCTATGAGACGTTAACGACCTCGCCTGGTATACAGGAGATCGCGGGTTTCGATCCCGACCCTGACATCTGTTGTTGTATATGTGGAGTTTGCGTGTCTCTCTCTCCGTGGTCGCGTGGATTTTTCTCCCGGTTACCTCTCCACATTTAGAATCAACATCACGCGTTTAGAGTATCTGGCTACTGTTATAAATGTACACGTGATTATAAGCCCACTTCGTTGAGCTATCATTTTGCGGGCAGGTCGCTTCTGAAACAGAGCTGTATAGCTCAGTGGCCTTACATGGTAAAAATACAAAAATAAATTGTTTAGTTTTAGTGTTATCAGGAGAGAGTTCTAAAATGTAATGACTGCGGCCAGATTGGTGGGAGACGTGTGGAGGCTTTGCAGTGTTTGAATGTTGAACTTCGTTTGCACCATACGTAGCCAACCCTGCTGCATTGAAATGCAGCGTTTTCTGTAATTCCCTCCCCCCTCCCCTGTAGTTTCAATGGAGTATCTGTAAATGGATCACCCCTGTGTCACTGCAAAATGAGACAATTTTTGGCGATGCTGCTGCCAAAGCGTTGACAGTGGTGCACAAAGCGCAGTGAACACGACACTCGGCACCTTCGTCAATCGCACTGCGGCCTGAAACAAGGAGTATAGGCGACGTTTCGGACAATTGCCCTTCGTAGTATGTTGACTTGTGCTGTGAGGAAGGGCCATTGTCCAACACGTCACGTGATCCATTTTGTTCCCTCTGAAGGCCATGCGCAGAGTGTTTGTTCTTGACCAGCCTGTCTGAGTTTATGCTGTTTTGTGATTCTGCGCTAGGTCTGTATATTATTCCGCGTGTAATGCTGCAATTGATATACCTGTACAAAAAGTTCAGGGACTCTTCTACTTACGAACGAGTTAGGTTCCAGAGGTCTGTTTTCGTCAGTCGATTTGTCTGTAAGTCCAAGTTCACTCCTGTCGTTTCCAAACATGTTGTACGACATGTACACTAAACACGGTGAATGACTTTAAAAGTTGCATATTCTCCTGTACATGCAAATTCCACTGGTTCTTCATGTTCTGTCCGCAGATGTAGATGCCACCACCGCCATCTATTGCGCGGCGGTTGAAATTACGACCCTCGGTCCGAACAGGCAACTGGACATGCGGGCACGTTTGTTCGTATCTCTGAAAGTTCGTAAGTCGAATGTTCGTTAGTAGAGGAGTCCCTGCACGGTATTACGCAGAGTACATGTACATCAAGTCATCCTCGCAGCAGCTTTTGGCTGGCCATCGACCAAAGACGGTCACTGCATCGCGCGCTTATAAATGCGCTTCTGCGGCCGTCTGGAACGCTTTTCCTTCCGATATTAGGACGCCACTGGAGCTATATACTTTAACATCATCTAGATAGAAAATTTATTTCTTTAGAACAGTTTTTTTGTTTAGTTTGTTGGCCTTCCCCCGCAACCCCGACGAGCACGGTTGG